CCACTAGAGAGCATGTGGAACCCAAGCTGATGCCTGTGAATGTCGTTTCTGATAACACGGAGCCCGCCCTGGTCTCATTACCCCAACAGACACTGTCAGGCCAGATGGCCCATGTGCAACATAAAGACGTTGTCTACATTCGGGTCCACTATGCCACTATTTCCACGGTTTACGTGGAGTCTGCTGGGTTTGTGTACCTAGTTTTAGGACAAGACCAGAAGACACGCACACGAGTTGTGGGGTTGTCTATTAACCACGCCTCGGTCGTTTCCACTCCAGCATCCTGGTGTTGGAACGCTCCCAGCTGGCTCTCAGAACAAGACGAAGCAGCATATTTGAGCGAAGTTGCTACAGCCCTGGTTGCCCGTAATCTGGTTAGCAAAGCCCCATCTAACACTGTTCTGCTTCTGGATGGAGCTACTGCATCTCTTCAAGAATCGGTGGCTGCAATGGCCTCCATGAAAGGTGTCAGGGTGCGGTATATCACAAGCACCGAGGTTGCCCGAAAACGCCCAACCACGCTTGTCATTCCACCCCGTAGCTCATCACGTGCAATCTCGCGCCTGTTACCTTCTGGGGTTTCGGTTTTCGCCAGTTTGAGGTCTGAAACAGACACTACCATTGCCCGAATTAGGTCGGCGTTGTCTCCTGCAGTGGCGACCTATAGCTTGCCCGCACTCTACGGCGGCTTGCCAGCCTCAGGGGCAGAGGGCGAAGGGGGCTTCTGCACAAATATCCTGGCAGCATCCTGCATTTTTGCGGAACAACAAACCTCCTTGCGGTCGACTGTTGTCACGATCAAACCAGAGGATATTCCCTCTAACTCCCCAGGCAGTGACCATTCCATCATCGTTGACTGGCTGAATTCAGGGCCTGTGTTGGCATACCCCTTATCTGCTAGCTCTTTAGTAAACTTGAACTCCCACAAGACCTATTTGCTAGTTGGTATGACGGGTGATCTTGGGCGATCGGTTTGCCATTGGATGATTAGCCGTGGAGCCCGTTACTTGGTTTTAACCAGTCGAAATCCAAATATCGATCCTTGCTGGGTCGAAGAGATGACGGCCCTTGGGGCCCACGTCGTCGTAAAGGCCATGTTAGTCTGATCCTTCTCTTTTTCAGCAGCATACATACTTATTGACACTTTTAGGGACGTATCGGACCGTGCCTCTGTTTTGCATGTACACAATTACATCATGGCAGAGCTCCCACCAGTTGGGGGTGTTGTAAACGGCGCAATGGTCCTCCGGGATGTCGCTTTTGATAAAGCATCGCTGGAAGATGTGGCCACTGTCCTGGGGCCCAAAGTGAAGGGCAGTCAGATATTGGATGAACTCTATCACGGTGAAAATCTAGACTTCTTCATCTTGATGGGTTCGTATACCGGTATAGCCGGTAACTTCAACCAGTCTATATATGCCGCAACAGCGGTTTACATGGAGGATCTCGTGCTTCAGCGACGGCTCCGTGGCCAGGTCGGCAGCATTGTCTTTCCAGCTGAAGTGCGCGGCATTGGCTATGTTGCTCGCATGGGAACACAGACTAGAGAACACCTTGCAAAAACTGTTGGGAAATCGATATTGTCCGAGCGTGACCTGTTGGAACTGTTTGCAGAGGCAATTCTGGCCGGTCGGCCTGACTCTGACCGGGATCCAGCTATTATTTGCGGTCTTGCTATGACTGACCCTGCAGAATATCCCGACGTGATATGGTTCAAAAACCCTAGCCTCTGGTCCTACATTCAATATTCTCGACAGTCGCAGGCTCGGGACGGTAAGCAGGAACAAATCCCCATCAAGGCGCAACTGCAGTCGGCAAGTAGCTTAACCGAAGCGGCCGAGATCATTGCTGCAGGCTTCTCTAAGAAACTTGAGCGCAAGCTACAACTGCCTCGAGATTCCGAGCTACCTGGGGCGACCTTGTTATCTGATTTCGGCATAGATTCACTGATCGCGGTCGATCTGCGGGTCTGGTTTGTCAAGGAGTTAGGCGTGGATATGCCGGTGCTAAAGCTGCTAGGAGGGTTGTCCATTGATGCCCTAGCGCAAGATGCGGCTGGACAGCTAGACCCAGCACTGCTACCACGGGTCCAGACATAAGTAGTTATGAGATGTGTGACTTAGCTAGCTGTTCGCGAGTCTCAGTCAATTCAGCTCCTGAAATCGGGAAGGTCATCCCGATTCACGTGCTGGGATTTTCGGTCACTCTGATTCTGATTTGTAGAAGGCACCCAGTGCCGACGAGTTTCTCCGTCGACTCCGTAGGCCGCCAGCTTCCTCCTCATGGGAAGGGTATAAGAGGCCCTGGCTCCCCTCAGACGTCTGTTCCAGCATCTCTCTTCTCTTCTCGCCCATACCTTCTTGCATTCAGGTTACTGCACTCACACGATGGGCTCCTCTCGCTCTTATGACGTGGTCACCTTCTCCCTGGATGCCCAGGTAGAGTATGATCCTTGCAAGCCTTTGTTCATCGATCCCCAGGAGCCCTCGCGGTCTCTCAACGCCACCCAGTTCAAGTTCCTGGTGCACACTCTGATTGCCGGGCTGAAGGCCCATGGCCTGGGTCGTGGTGATTGCGTCTTACTCCATACGGGGAACAATGTACGTCTATCCTAGTCCACTACACACTCCTCTTGGCTCACCTTCTCCTTTCTACCCATCCTTAGGTTCTCTACACGGCCCTGTTCCTGGCCATCATCGGCGCAGGTGGCGTCTATATGGGCTCCAATCCACACAGTCAACTGCAAGAGCTCAATCACACCGTCTCCCTAACCCATCCCAAATGGATCATCACCGAGCCAGAAGGGTCCTCAACAGTGCATACCGTTGCTAACAAGCATGAGTTGGCTAACGACCACATTCTCCTTGTGGAAGATGCCACCATCACCGAGACCATCCGTTTCGTGCACGATCCATCCGTACCTCCTCCTCAGACTACAGACAAAACCACCCTCCTTACCCTTCTGTCGCACGGCACCTCCCCTCCCCTCCCCATCCCCGACGCAGCAACCGCAGCCTCCACCCCAGCAGCCCTCTACTCCACCAGCGGCACCACCGGCCTTCCCAAAGCTGCCGTGCTCTCTCACGGCTCCCTGATAGCCCAGCACGCCTCCATCGCCCATTCCTCTCCTTACCCTGTGACGCGTCTCATCTCCCTCCCTATCTTCCACCTCTTCAGCTCCCTCTGGACGCACCTCTTCCCCATTCGCTACGGGGAACCTCTCTACCTCCTGCGTGACTTCCAATTCCCTCTCTTCCTGTCCACTGTCCACCGATACCAAATCACCGAAACCTACCTCGTCCCTGCCATGGTGCACATGCTCAACCAAGCACCTGCCACTCAGGATGTCAAAACCCGCCTCTCCTCCCTCCGATACATTGGCGTTGCTGGTGCCCCTATCGATCGTGCCTCAATGTCTGCCTTCCAGGACTTGTTGCATCCGGATGCCTGTGCCGGACAAGTCTGGGGTATGACAGAGTGTGGAGTTGTCTTTCAACAACGCTACCCTGCCAATGGCAGACCAGGACAGGGTGACTTGGGAAGTATTGGACCTATCACTGCGGGGTGTGAGGCAAGACTTGTGTCTGGTGCTGAAGTGGTCAAGGATGATGAAGTCCCGGGACAGCTGTATGTGAGAGGGCCTGGTCTATTCACGGGATACTTGGGACGTAATGAGTCCATGGTTGATGCTGAAGGGTGGTTTGATACGGGCGATGTGGCGTATGTCAAGAATGGGGAGTATTTCATCGTGGGCAGGACAAAGGAGTTGATTAAAGTGCGGGGGTATGTTCATTCCCTTCCTTTCCCTATTGACATTTTATTCCATTGACTGACGCACACAATCATGGAACCAGATACCAAGTTTGCCCCGCTGAAATCGAAGCCGTACTGCTCCAGCACCCGCTCATTGCGGACGTTGCAGTCATCGGCACCTGTCTATCGGATGGGAGTTCGGAGGCTCCCCGCGCGTATGTTGTGCGAGCTAGAGCCCCGGGTGCTAGAGTTAGTTCCGATGAGGTGTATGATTTTGCACGTCAGCGGTTGGCAGCGTATAAGGCGTTGGATGGGGGTGTGTTCTTTGTTGAGAGGATCCCGCGGACTGTCAGTGGAAAGATTCAGAGGGGGAAGTTGGCGAGCATGAATGAGAGACGAGATGCGTTGGCAGGGCTGTTGGCGAGGTTTAAGACGAAGGATGTTGGGGGGGTTAGGGGGAGGGCGTCTGTAGTGGTTTAGTGCCATTGATTGAGTGGGTCTGGTTGATGTGTGGTGGTGACGCTGTTTGTTCCACTATCTGGATGAGTCGCTTCTGTTTGTTTCATGTTATGATGATGTTATCTATATGGATCTCGGGTATATACTATCTCTAAGTAGCTCGTCAGTGGATGATGCAACTCATTGTGTTTTATCAGTTTGGTTAACAGATATAAGATCACTGGCAGATTGCACTCGTGTATATGTGTATATAAATCCCGCGAGAGTCGATACAAATCTAAGCAAGCAAAAATATGAGACGATCAATGGAAATGATGATTATACTACTTGGCATCAGGGCTCACCCTACATCATATAGTGTTCCAGGGTACAGCGTTTTTATTTGCCCCCATCACTACCCCTCCCACAACAAAGGCGCACATAATTCCGCAATGACATAAGAAGCTTGATTGTCTTCGTTCTTTATGTAAAAAAGGAAAGAAGAATAAAAAGCAAAATACATACAACAGAAGGTGTATGTTGGTGGCCACCGAGCGTCCCAGATTAGCAGACACTACTTTAATTAGTTTATTCAATTTCAGTCATCTTCAGGGTTATTCAGGGGCGCGCTGTCAGTATTCTGAACAAATTTCTCCAAAATATACTGTGCTACTGGAGTATACTGACCAGGACAGTCAGACAGATTAAATATAAGACTTATTTTATCTTTTATTTATTAGAATCTGTATTTTCTATTTTTTATATATTCGCTTCTTTCTCCGTGCACTGAGCAATACTGAAAAATATAATTATTTGTGATAGGTTACTATCCTGAGGGATGGCCTAAGTAGTGAAACACCACCTGCTCCCGTGTGTACATGTCTATATAAGCAGGGTTCTAGGGATCCGCAGGTAGCTGCGGGTAATGATGGTCTTTTTATTTTTAGCCTTGTGTGGACAACACCCCTAGGTTGTTCTATGACATTATTAAAGATATATAACGTAACTCCCGGCCGCGCCGGCCACCCAGTATACCGCCCAACACGTTTCTACATGCAACCACTCTTTCTATCAAAGGCAGTGAATTAGCAATGAGTAATACAATGATTCTAGGGCGGTGTACTAGGGGTGGCCGGCGCGGCCGGGAGTTACGTTAGTTATTTATCCTGGTATCAAGAGGCAGTACCGGCCAAGTTAGACACGCATCCATCAATTGCCACACAGGACACGCCAGTCCTCAAACTAGCGCTACACTTCGCCATATCGCTGGTTTGACCCGGAGACCCGTCCAGAGCCCAAACGTACTATATTGCAGAATCACATACGAAATGCGGAATTTTTCTAGCCGATAATCCTGTAATTTCTGTACACGGTAACAGTTGTCCTATCTGCTCGGCGGAACTTGGGTTGGGGATGGCAATGATATAACCCGCGAACTGGCGAGGCCTATCAAGCGGTAAAGAGGAAGATTAACTGCTGCATCCCGGGGCATAAAGATTTGCAAGCGCTACTCCTATTTCATATGTATATGCGGTATAAGTGCCACGTAGATTTCCGGCATTCGGTACAATATATTTATCGCTGTAATATATGGACATATTACTAAAAGAAATAACACATACACCAACTAGTTAGTTCGCAAGCAGCAAAGCACAAGACATAAGAACAGCCCCAAGTATGTTGAATAGCAAATATAGAGTTCAATGTAGAGACCATAACGTATTTGCAAGATCACCAAAGAGGGGCATCCAACAAGAGAGCATACAACAGGACAAACGTGTGGCGTTTTTTCTGTCTTCCAAAGTGGCAAAATGGTATTTCAAATTGGATCTTACATGTCGTGGGATGACGAGATGGTCAGCGACTGAACCGCTCGTTTCTTTTTCTCCACTACCCCGAGTGGGTCATCAGATCTGCAAGTGAGAGCGACTATTGGATTTGGAACTGCGACCGTCGGGTAGATCCGCCCCAGCCCTATGACTAATATTGAGTTTCGCTGCTTTGCGCTTTTCTGCGTCGGACTGCGGTTGTTCCCGAGCCTCCGGAGTACAAACACTAACCAGTAGTCTAGACTAAAACAATATATCGTGTCTAGACTATCTGCAGAGCAGATGGAGAGCCATGTCCCAACACATTATGTAGAATCAGTGGCAGATGAGGGGCTGCTCTGGATTCATTCGATACTCTTATGTTCGGCAGGCTTCTACAGGTGGAAGCAAAGCGGCAGAGAGAAATATATATATACTATGTTATATTACTATCTAAGAACGGCGGAGTGAGGTGTGTGTGGAAGAAATAGCTGCTATTGCCTCAGTACTATTTTTCCTTTATTCAGTTAATGGAGGAATCTCATCTCGTTGTGACTTGTGAAACACAATGACCTAAACTATCAGAGATTAAGTGGGCCGATCAACAAACCATCGTTCAGAAATGCTGATCTTAACCCGATCAAACCCCAACTATCACTTTAGTAAACATAAATTTCTCACTTTAACATTGTGCAGAGAAACTTATGCAGACTCATCACAGTCAAAATATCTACGGAGTATGTTGAGCATTGACACACCTCCCTCTGAGGACCTCTATGCAGATACCTTTCTGATTCGGTGGTTATAGTATCATTCCACTTGGGCAGGAGTGCATCTGGAAACCTATTAGGGTAATTGTGAATATGAAAAACTCGAGTGTCGAGTAGGGAAGGCAATTCAGTCAGGAGAAGCAAGTGCATGAACTAGTAATTGTTTTCGACCTCATGATCCACCCCTATGCAGCATCGGTGATACGACATGGTCCTAGTTCGAGCAACTATGCAATGTGATTCAAATATTGCAGAAGGCGTGTTCACATCTCCATCACACGAGGAGAAACCGAATCGACCCCTCACCCAGCATACTATATAAACCCCCTCCATCTGTCGCCAGAACTTCTCTCTATCCATTCATCAGATTCATCAGTGGTTCTCATCAATCAAGCTTCACTTCAATCGAATCAATTCTTCCCAAATCCTTAAATCAAGTCCTCGTGACCCAATCAAACCCAACCAAACCATTCATCATGCGTTTTACTGCCATCATCGCCGCCACCTTGGCCTTCGCCAGCTCTGCCGCCGCCGCCGAGTGCGCCGCCGGTGCCACCGCCGATTGCAAGCCCGGCTTCGACTACTGCGCTTCCACCCTGCAAGACAGAGGTACCACTACCACTATCCTTAACAATGCGTTTAATCCCACTCGCGCAATGAGAACTAACCCGATGATCCGCTTAATTAGGTGATGCGGACTCTGCTATCAAGGATGCGTATAGAAAGGCAGGCTATGGTACTGGGACGATCAACTTCCCCGGCCAGTGGTGGGGCACTCTTTTCCATTGCAACGATGACCATACCTTGACGGTGGTGAAGAGCTGTGGTGGAGTCAAGTGTAAGGATGGTGGTCTTAACAAGAACGACTACTGCGCGTCCAAGAGCTCCGGCTCGATTTTCTAAGCGATCTTTATGATCGGGCATATATGCAGAATGGCGCACTGTGATTGTCGCGACAGAGGAGGAAGTGGGGGTGGGGGGTGGGAGGTTGGATTTAGGGGGTGATTGTCGTGACAATGAAGGTAGAGGGAGATTAGATTAGGTTTAGTTGTGGATGCAATAAAGTTGGTTTACCCACTAGATTTCCGGTCTGTTGATTTGAGTAGGAAACTCAAATGGTAAGTTTTTCTGGGTTATCATACTTGTGGTGTTATGTTTGAATGAACTATGTGACCATTTCTGTAGGGGTGGATAGCTGGAATGGTACTGTAGCGATAAGTCAGATGTTTTAAGCCTTGGGCACTATTACTAACTCTGTTAATGAAACATGGCTGGTATGTCTATCGATAGTGGACTATGCGAGATTTTGGTTCAGTGGCTTAACATTTTATTATTAGGTTCGAGGATATGCCGTTGGGTAAGGTTATGGTGGAATTGAGTCTATATAGAATATAATTCAATTATAGTACGTACTTCTGTGAAGAAGTGATTTAGGGAAGGTTTTATTGTCGGTTTTACAAGACTATTTCAATGGGTTTTAGAGATCCTTTGGTAAATATATAATTATTATTGTACATAGTAACATATCATATATCCTCGAGAGGAACTAGCACTGTATTAGTGGAAAACTTCTTCTATAGGATCTCCAGCTGAGTTCAGAAGTCGTAGACTCATCCTATGATAAATTGGTCTACCATGTCGTAGAACATCTGATCCATGATACTGCCCATAGGTTTAGTATCATCGGATAGGCGTAGCCAGGTGATTCTCGGGTCGGCGCACCCGAGACCATGAGTGTCCGAATGCCACCGCTTTGGACACATGCAGGACGCCTAGCACCCAATCTAAACCCGAACAGAGCTTTGTTACGACATGTGAAGCAAAAGGCGATAGCTTCGCCTCATATCCGCTGGAGGTGTCTCCTATTTCGCTCTGGCTCAGCCACAACATGAACGAAATGTCTGCTCTTGATCTCCTTTGCAGCTCACGCTTCATTGGGAAGTCTGTATGATGGATAGTCAGGATTACAGCCCCAGAATAGTGTAGGAGGGGTTGATATTGAGGCGATGTAGGTCTCGTAGGCCATAACACGGTGGTAACGCGAATAACACCCGATCGCTGCATACCGGCCAACCATATCCCGCAGAGTGAAGTCATCCTGACGTACAGTGGATCCCACCAAGGTATAGAGCTCAGGTTTATTGCGCTACGGGTGGCCAATGCTCATAGCCTAGAAGTATGCGACGTGAAGAGATAAGTGTATCTCTGATAAGTGGAGTCAGTTGGCTTATATACGGGTGTGAGTACCACCGTGTACAGGACGGTGGTGAAATGGCCATTCCGTCGCAACAATATATCAGAACTTGGGCATTGGAGAGATTGATCTCGGAGGAAGAGATGGGTGTCGTGATGTCGTGCATATCAAGTAGCCAAGTATGCTGGGTGAGTATACTCTCTTTTGGCAGTCATGAATCCAAAGGCTTTTCGTAAATCCCATCATCTGAGATATTGCTGCCCGTTTCTTGACCGGATAATGGTTTCTCACGCCAGATTCCGAGCTCGGTTTCCCTTCTCCTAAGGATACGATGGTATAGATAGCCTCCGCTAAAGGTAGATCTATCCATCGTTTTGTCTATTTGGACGAAGGTCATCTGGAACAAGGTAATATACTGGTCCGACCTTGGGGTAAATCACATTCAACCGCACTGTGTCTTCGGTTGAGCCGAGTTATCCGCTTGCAGATCTGTTGTTGCCAGTTCAAGTGGTAACTTCAGGTCCATGGAGAAGATGAAGGAGACTGAATCCCGCTTGTACCATGCATAGCCCCTAACACAGTCCATCATCCGTCGGATGCAAAGACATAGTTGACTTGCGGTTCCGTTTCAAGCAGAAAGAGGTTTGATTGTGGGCCGGTCGGTGAATATACCATCGATTAGAGGCCCATTCTGCAGAGACGTTGTCTCCGTAGAGTTGGACGGCGACAATGTAGTCGGGTAGTAATGTTATTCCGTGGTGAAGTCAGGCCCTCAAAGCAGCCTGACAGGACGTAATAGTCTATCACCCATGGCTCATCGCAATATTTTTGCTAGGATCAGGAGGCGTTGAAGGGGCGATTGAATGGGTTCGAGGAGACATATGGACGCCACTTGGCGAGATCTTTGCCAGACGCTTTTCGGCTAGGGGTATTCCCACGGCATTACATCACGGTTGTAAGAGAAATAAAGTCAGTCAAAAATACAAAAACATACAACAGAAGGGATTCGCTGGTGGTCACCCACCCAACTACTAACCTCCCGGCGTGTGGCTTAAGTACGGCTGAGCGGACGGGAAGCCCTGTTTTCCACACCCTATGGTCGTATGTACTAAAAAATACTTAAGCTAAAATTATATAGCACATATCTATCATCTCAGAAGCATGACTGCAAAGAGCAAGGAAATGGATCCCTGGCTACGCACAGACCGCCGGCTACAGCAGAACAATGCCATAGTAATCATGCACGCCCGTGCAGGTGGCTTGATCAGATAGACCAATCACATCCAAACCACTCCACACACGAACACTGCATACTAGGCCATATTGTGGTTACTCAAGGAGCAAAAATTTATGCAGGACTGTGCATGAATATAGCAATATAGGCCAAGTAGCCAATTAAACCTTGTATAGGGTAGCACAAACATGCATGTCAGCCTCAGCACAGACCATGTTGGAGAATGCGCTAATGCACGGTGTTGCAGGTTGATGGCTCTAAAAGCTGCACCCATACACAAGACTGCATACAGAACTGGAACTCATGCACGGTGTTGCAATGCGATTGCTCTAGAATAAACACTGATGCACACAGTTGCAGGACAGTCGCTCTAAATGAAGCGCTAATGCACGGTGTTGCAGGAGGACGGCTCTAAAATGTAGATCACCACGTGATGTGTCCAATCATATGCCATGATTTCTATCTATAACTGACCCACAGGATATGGAGATATTGGGGATGGACTCAGTTGAACTTCAGATACTTGAAGCAAGTGCTGCTTTGTAGTTTTGAGTAGGGAAGCGCATATATTACTCTTGTATCTAATAGCTAAATTAATATTAGCTTTGGAGGAGAGAAGGAACATAGGTTATCTATTATTGCTCCCTAGAACAAGGACCCATGGTTACACACCTGTCACGGTCGCATATTCTCCATTCTGATTTTTAGCTGATATTTCATCGGTAAATACACTCTAGATGTGACATATGATTCGTTACTATATTATAATGTATCTTAAAGGTGCTGACGAGTCTAACATCATAGGCTAAGCACCGTTCTGCTTATTTCCCTATTTATCCATGTCACCATTGAGCTCGTCCAAAGTATCACCCAGGCCAGGAATATTTCCGCATGCTTCAAGTCCGAAAAAGCGGGAAAATAGGGTTGTCGACAAATCAACGAGCCCAGAAGCCTAAAAGCGATCTCGTATCCGCCATAAGGGTAGTGTGAAGCCCAGCCGTGTTCGCCTTGATGCAGATGCTATTATTCCAAGTCTTGTGACTCACAAAGGACAGGAAAGCCGATACCTGCCGCTAGAAATACCAAAGCCTTGAAATTAGTCTTTGTTTTTTCCTCGATACCTAGCCTTGTGTATAATGCCTAATCAGGTCAAAAAACGATAACGTGGAACGCATTCTCATTCCTTAGACTTACCTATATAAGCCACGACTTGAGCTAGTCCAAAAATCCTTAGATACCTCTGAGCATCTAGGACCGCCAAACCACTCGACTCGTTTTCGGCGTCTTCGTTTCCAGCATATGTAGTCTATGAGTCCATTGGGGTGTCCCTCTTCCTCCACAAAGGTTAATTATCAATTGGAGTTTCTCTCACCCTGGATGCACACATGCTGAGCGTTTTGCATGTTAATTCTTGCCTAAGTCTGACAATAGGCGTGTGCCAACATTCTATGAAGCTGGAAGAGCATGACGAACTAATAGCAGGTGATTTCTCAATTGTTCCATCGTACATTTCAAGCCTTGTCACTAGTAGTTTATGTACTATTTTTTTTTATTAGGCGAATTGTCAAACTCATAGGCCAAGAAAGATTTATCCCGGAAGCTACCATAAGAAGATGACCAGGTTCTTCAGGATTCATACTAGAAGAAGTAGTATCCCATTCTCCATTTCGAGTGGAAACGCCGCTTTGCCAGGGATGTTGGTATTCGTGGAGAATATTTGCCTTAGCTTTCTACCCTCAGACAACGCTGCAGAGGTGAGAGAAGATACCCCCTTCATTTTAATATGTGTTCAGAAGAGCTTATCTTTCTCAATGTCAGGAATAGTATGGGACAGCCACTTGAACGGTCAAGAGCTTATCGGGATGATAATGTGTTGTTGTCTGTGCTCTGAAATAGGAGCAGGTTCCTCTTCGTCGTGTTTTCAACGCTCGCTATAAGGAGCCAATTTTCCTTCCTTGTCTTCTCATAGTACCGCCCACTGTGGTTTGAGTTTCCATATCGACAATGACATTTCCTAGTCATCCCCAACGACTGAAGGCATAACATTACTCTTGAAAGACATTTGACCGTACCAAGTTTTAGCAAACTTGGTCCAGCGGAGGTTAGGACAAGCTGCCACAATTTTTGCATAACTTGTGCCATCAAGAGCAGTCTATGCCACTGATCAGGCCGGTAGACACGACGTGGGCTGGGGCTGGGGCTTGGGCTTACGGCTTTGCAAGACAGCCACGAAGCGACATTTTGAACGTCTCTCACGGTGAAGAGTATAATGGTTGATGATAGCTCGCGTGCAAAGTAGTCGCTGGTTCTCAACAGTAGGAAGAATTTTATTTTTTCTTTTTTTTTTTTTTTTGGCAGTCTGCTATATAAAGTGACGAGAAGCCAATGACTGCAATAGCATGGTCCAACATAAATCACGATACTTGCATCAAGCGACGTTCACGGAGGCGCTCGCTGAGATTGTGTTTTTTTAGGTCCTAATTATAGTAGAAAGCAGGGAATAGCGAAGAATTTCTTGGGTCTGTTAGATCGCATTCCGATCCACAGTTGGGTCAGAAGTGCATCCACCATATCATGTGTCCAATCTGCTTTCGATCTTTCTGATGGAAGAATACTGGATACACTGGTAATTGGCATCCAGTTGGATGCTATATCAAATCAGTAACTAGTATGAGAACATAAGAGGCAGTTGATCGTGGTGCTAATCACGCCTGGTGCAGCTAACACCGTGTAATTAGCCCGCATAAGTGATCAAATCAATGAATCTCGAGAGTCAGGATTTCCATTCAATGGTTACCATGCCTAAATTCCATTTTCGTGGCATGGCCTCATCGGGTTCCAGTTCTCCTAGCATTGTCTCGTCTGGATTCAGTTCTCGCCATGATGTCTCTTGGGTTTCTATTCCGGTAGATTTACCTCGTCGGCATCCCATTTTGCGAACATCAATTTCTCATTGCCTGTTTCCCTGCAGATTGGCCTCTCCATTTCAGCCACAGCCAACGCACGAGTGGAGGAATACCCCACAATCTGATGTAGGGCTTTCTCAAGCGAATTCAGCTTATTTGGATACACCGCACGAGTCACTCGATAGCACAGTAGCTGATTCAAATAGCGGCTGCCGAAGGTTGACTGTTTCCCCCAATCCTGTGATGGTCATATTTCAGCCCATCTCTTATCTGCTGTTTTGGCACTCGTCGAGTGCCACGACCCGGAAGCCCATGGCTAGGGCTCATAATTGTCTGCGTGTCGATATAATCTGTATTCCTTGGCCGTGGTTCCACCTATAGGTATAGAGAAAGTACCAGAGATTTATCTGGTACTCTTGTCAAAATCCAGTTGTTGAAGAGTAGAGACACCCAGGTTCTCAGTAGAGCTGTCAGTGCATACACCCAATATCAATGATATCCTGCTCGCCTATATAATTGACATTCGAAGGCTCGTTGAGATGTTCGGGGAGTAGTAATAGTGACGGTCACGACAATGAGACTGAAGAGGAGCTTTGGACCCTCAATATTCCCCAGATTCGTACATTAATTGCTGACGTGGTATCTCAAATTTCAGAGTATGTAGATGGCTTTCAACCCATTCTTGGCTGCTTCTCTTTGGATTTCTTCCACGATGTGGCGCTACTCAAACCACTACGAAAGCTCCCGTAATGCTAGAGGCTTGAGGACATATAGTGCACGAACGGATAAATCGCCAGAAAGCAGAAGCAAGGACATGTCTCCCTTCAGGTATGCACTTTAGCTTATCTGCTGCGTCTCTCGCTTGATATGGATGGGTCAAGAAGAAGGACTATTATCACAACTCGTCTGGAGCCCCAATTCTCCATTGTTTGGAGCATCGAGTACTAGTTTTTTCCCTTTTTGTCCTTCCACTGTAGAGATTTTGCACGAATTGATTTCTCGCATTTGCACCAAGCAGTCAGGATTCTACCAGTATCTTGAGTCTCTGCAGAGGTGAAGATGTCCCCTGACTTTGACAAATACACCCCTTCTCCCAACAATTATAAAGTGTTTTTCAGTCGGTAGTTTTCCAAAATGGGCGATGGGAGTGGGCAAGTTCGTAGAAGAAAGCCCACATGAGTCGATAGTATTTTTTTGTCCCGCATGTGTTCCCAAATGTTCAGTCAATTTCTGAGCCCGGCGTGGATAGCATCCATTGCTTTGATTCGACGCTTCAGGTCGGCCAAGTTGATTCCATACTATCAGTGTATATATATTGACTGTGAACCAGAAATGGCTCACTATACCCAAGTTCTTTGTTGAGGCAACCATTTCCAGATCCAGCAAGCCATGGATGGAGTCATTAATAGTATATGAATTCAAGAAGCCATCATAAGTTCCTCGGTGCAGATTTTTGCAGCAATAGCCAATCACTATCAACCCTTTCTCTTAAGATCTCTAGCATTTCTTCAATTTCTCGATTTCGAAGTTGGTCAGAGCCAGAATCAACAACTCCTCGTCGGTTGCCTTCACTTTTCTTGACGGTATTTGTTCTCTTGCAATTGCAAGATTGGAAGCGTGGTCGATATCCCAGACATTTTGCTTGGCACTGTATAGTGGCTATATCACCTTCTCCATTCTTCGGATAGAGTAATACTGGTATGTAGGCATGCTTAGAGCATGCTATATGCGTATTTCTTTGAGGTCTTTCGTATGATTTCTGTTGCAATGTTTTTTCTTGGAGATTGGAAAAGAGTATTTTGGGTGAAATTGGCAAATATTATTAAGAAAGTATGAAGATGGCGAGATGAAGAAGATCGGAGAATGGGGGATGGTGGGCATTTACGCTACGGAAGTTGACTGGGAATGATGAGGGCTTACATGGAATGTTGTTCATTGTCTATTAGCTCTGGTGAAGCTTGCATTTGCGGCACGTATTGAATGCTATATTGACTGGGCTTTCAAGGTCGTGAATATGGATATTCCTCGTAGAAAGCATATACCCCCATCCGAGACGAATATTCCTAACAAGTAGCTGGATTGTGAATAGCCTGACCTTTGCAAATTCCCTGAAAAATCATTGCTCGGCATCAACTATCATACTAGCGGTAGTACGATAACTTGATACCCGCTACGGCAACTTCCAGGATAGTGATGAGCCGATACTTCACAGCCGCGATTATGAAATTACCTCCCCAGATACTATCCGTCAGTGACGATATTACCGAACAATTGCCATTGAAACTGTTATGCCACCATTAAAAAACCTATATGTATTATATACATCATCTTATTTCACAGTATAATCATACAAAACCCATTAACGCCCATTTTCCTATCCCTCAACTTACAATACCCATAACAACTGAATCAAGGCACAACCGCCAACAAACCCACCAAAAACCCAGCGAGAGGCCACATAGCCCTCGCACCATTAAGTAACGCCCACCTATCCAACAATCCCAAGACCCTCTCTCCCTCCTGAGGATCCTTCTCCTCCTGCACGCCCACTTTGGCCTTCTCCATCAAAGCATCATTCGTGCCCTTCATGGCCAGAATAGTCCACGGCACAATCGCAATCGTCAATGCAGCAGCAATCGCATACGTAGTGGTAGCTCCCCGTGGTACGATCGCTGCCAATGTGCTCTGTGCCCTCGTCTCCCAGGATAGATACAGGAGGGTGGTGGCGGTGAAGAGAGCGATCGGGGGAGCGCGGTTCTTGCCCGTTTCATAGACGAGGGCCCATTGTTTGGTGATTGTTGATAGGGGAATCCTGTGCTCTTTGTGGGATTGGAGAAGAGCCGGGATTGTCATTAGGGATAGAGAGAAGATGTTTCCTGCAAATCTTATTGTTAGCGAGAGTTTAGGTTGATGATGAATGGGGAGTAGTACCCGAGAGCCAAGCCGCGCCACTGAGGCCGATTGCCTGGGCTATGCAGAAGCTTGTTGGGAGGGTGTCTGTTGTGTACATGGTGTAGTAGTAGTATGTAGGTGGTGAGATGGATTGGATCGGAAATGCTTAGAGTGGATGGGTGAGGGTGATGTGGCTTATATATGAATGCTACTGAGTATGTGGAGTCATGATGCCATCGGTGAGCTTAAATATTTGCCTAAAGGCCTAGACTTGTACATTTGTTATGGCGATTGCAGCTTCCACCTGATTACTGCGATAGTATGCAGGATACATAGCGAGTCAGGCCATTGCTGGTTTCTCGCCCCGCATTCTTCCTTGCATGGTTAGTGGAAAGAAGTTGACTGGTTAAAAACTGTGGATGCTCGGCTTTTGGCGGGTTTTGGACCGGTCGGGTGGGTTTTGGAGTCCGTGATGTTCACCATATCATTTTGTAGATGCAGCTCAGACCAATAGTCCTAGTTATAGAAACTATTGTCTACAGTGTACAATACTAGTACTTATTGTGAGGGTCCAGTATAGAAAGGGACAGCGGAATATATAAGAATTGTTCGGTCGCACTTTCTATCTCCCCTGTGCTTTCCCCTTCGGCAACTGTTGGCACTAAACACCAAACACTACAAAGTCAACCAAATACCACAACAAACACTACATTCACATTCACATACATACCATCAGATTAGATTTCAACACGTCGTCGCGTCTTGATGAGTAGAAGTGGATTTTCGCGATGCTTCAACATCTCGGCCAGCCAGGGTGTATGATTGGTCCATTGAGAAATGATGTCTCTGATATCTGTTTATCTGATCAATCTGTACGGATTACCCTCTGCTAGGAAGTGAATAGGATAAATGGGGGCAGAATTGATCCAAGGCGAATAAGTACTCCCAGGTCAGCAACCATAAGGTACTAGTAGTCAAAGAGCATCCCCAACCGCAGCACATAACACCACCAATCAACTTCTCCATGTCAATCAAATCATCGAAACAACGTGTCTACCTACTCCATAGTAATCACCAAACACGTTTCTTGTCTCCCGCAGCATAAGCAGAGAATCCTTCCCATACAAGCCAAGTTGCGCCCGAAACTTCCAGGATCTTACTGTGTCCAGACTAGTCCCAACAGAGTAAGTACTTCGCAGGTCGTTATGTAAGCCTCACAAGGCTGACTGTCAGAACCTGGTCCTCCCAGCCATGCAATCATCCTCCTACAAACCCAAAACAAAGGAATCTGACAGTCTGACAGGATACCACAGCCTTGCCACGGAGGACCATCAGGGATTTTCTAACACCGCCTCTCTCTCTCTTTCGGCCAAGACTTTCCAAACGACTAATCCCCGGAACTGACTAGAAAACGAATACGGAAGATAGTCTAGCTCGGACGCTGCCCGACCGACAACATTACTACATCTGCAACCACCCATGAACAGGAGGAGGAAGAGGAGAAAGGGACCGAACAAGGGGGTTGCGAGTGGTTGAACACCGTGACCCGGTGAAAACTCGCACCCAACTCCGCTCATCTAATCAGCCAATCCAATCCTATAACCAAGTTAACTATAGAGGAATAATAACCAACTAATCGGAAATTCGCAAATACCTCGGCAGCGATCGTATCCGTATCCGATACCCCAATTCGTTGCGGAAATCATTTCACCTCATCTTCTACCGTCGGAAGTCGCAAAGAAATTTCCCCACCGGGGGAAATTCTCAACAAATGAGATGTCCCGAAGGCAAGCTGAATCTTTGGTCTAACTCAACTTGCATCTTGGTCCCCGTCCTTTTCGTTCCCTTTTTTCCCCTTCAGCCCAGTCCATGGCCCCGCCCCGCCAAGGCTATAAAAAAAGAATAAGCTTGAACGGTGAAAATAATTTCGTGTGATGAGTGGGTTTAGGCAATGTTTGAACCAGACTAGTTAGTTGGTCAAACCCTCATGCACACTCTCTCTGCACCCTGTAAGATGGTACGTAGAAAGTTAGTGCCTGGATCGGCGCCCCGTGCGATGGGAACGAATACGATCTATGCAGAGATAGTAATAGACCGACAGGGCTGGGTGAGAATGGGGTGTGAGTAATAAATATGCGGACTTTTCTCATTGAAGTGATGATATTCAAATCATTTTTCACTACTTACTATCTATACTATCCTTGACATTCTTCACTCCTTCTACACCAGTACTGGTAGTATACAAATACAAAATGTCCACCCAAGACAGCGACGCAGAGAGCTCCATCTCCAGCCAAACAAGGTATATCCAAACCACCACCACCACCACCACCATCAACACCATACATAATTCTAATAAATCATCAAATAGAACAAAAACCCCCAAACACACCTTCCCCCTCGCCCACCCCCCTCCCAAATCCACCCCCTGCCTCCGCCTCACCCCGCGCCTCCTCCTCCAAATCCAACAACTCTCAATAACCTCAAACCGACACCGGGCCCTCCCCATCCTGGAAATCTACCAACCCCCACGACAAGGGAAATCCCTGCCCAACTGTCCGCGCAAAATCCACGGCCGGGATCTCTACATCCTGCAGAGCGACGCTTACACCGACATCACCTCAACACCAAAAACATCATCATCATCAGAACCTACTAGTAGTAGTACCTACCCCATCGCCGCGGGCGTAATCTACAACAACCACAACCACAACACAAACCCAACCCCCAAGAAACCCACCACCCCCACCACCACACAAGGAACCACCACACCAGCAACAACAGAAGAAGACGAAATCTACCTCCCAACCACACACCAAACCTACACCGCAACCCGCACCCCCCGAGGCAACTACCGCTTCATCCTCCGCGAGAAGAAAACCCCCTCGGGGGAAACCGTCATCATCGAATGGCGGCGGAAAACCCAATCGCAGACCCGGCCAAGAACCGCGTCGGGGTCGGCGGTGTCGGGATCAACGGACTCCGATACAGTAACAACAACAACAACAACAGGAAACCCTTGCGAGGAGGAAGACTCCACTACTACCAGTTCCGATGCCAATGCTAATGCCAATGCTAATCCCCGGTTTGTGCTCTGCGTTAGTGCCATCGGAGGGGAAAGAGCAGCTGGCGCCGATCAGCGTGTCAGACGGTCGGGGCTGGCTGGACTAGAGAAAAAGGGGCTGAGGGTTGGCGGGTGGGATGCGAAACAACTCCGGTTTTTGGAGGAGGTGGGGATATTAGGTGGTGGTGCTGGGGAGGAGGAGGTTGTTACGTTGGTATTGACGCTGGGGGTTTATGTTGCGTGGATGGAGGGGTGGTTGTAATACTACTACCATCATTCCATCATTCCATTGTCTACGGAGTATTGAGTTCAGGGGGTATCTGTTGTTCAGTTCGTCGGAGGTGTTGGTGGGAGTGTCCGTCCGGCTTGGCTGGACCTTTTTCTATTTTTCTTGGGGAACACGGGATTTACAGAATTCTCCGCTCCGATGGTTTTCATTACTATCACTTTGGAGATTGCATATTTTTCTTTTCTTGCATAGCGGGTCTATTATGGATATTTTTGTGATACCTGGGAATTTTCATTTTCAATAGATTGTTGAGTTGCGACATTTATTGCAGCTGCTCAACTTATTTTACCAATTATATCTTGCTTCATACCGATTTCCTTTGTCTTCGCCCTACCGCCAAGTCTCTCTAACCGTCGTAGGAAGTGACGCCAATTTCTAGTGCCTTGATCTGTAGCGCCAGCAACCGTGAGTAATACCGACAGACGGCCAGATTGCCGCCCATGAACCACAGGCCTGGGTGTCCGGTCCGCCGCCACATGCGCATTTCGCCCGTCTCGTCGAATCCCCAGACATCCTTCACCTTCTCCCCCTCTTTGCCGAACACGAGCTGTGCCTGGGTGGCCATGTTCTGATACCCTGTCGCCAAGATGATCTCGTCCGCCGGGAGCTCCGATCCGTCCGCGAACCGGAGTCCGTGAGGGAGGACCTCGGTAATCTCCTGGCCCTGCTTCACCTTCACCTTGCCGTCAACGATCAATTGGCTGGCTCCGACGTCGATGTAGTAGCCTCCACCACGTTGGAGGTATTTGACGAGCAGACCCGCACCGTCTGGACCGCGGTCTACCTTGAATCCGGCCCGCGCCAGCCCCTCCAAAGTCGCCCGGTCGTTCTCGTTCTGACGCTTGGTGACCTTGATCTGCTGAGCCTTGAACAGCTCCGCCGGGATACTCCAAAGGTAAAGGTCGGCTTCCTCGGTCCCGGGTCCTGCTTCCTCGTACAAGCCCTTGAGGCCGATCTCCACAATCGACTCCGAGGAAATCACGCAGGTTGAACTGCGCTGCACTATCGTCACGTCGTATCCATTCTCATAGTAATCTTGTGCAATATCGTTGGCGGAATTGCACGCCCCAACCACGACAGCCTTTTTACCCTTCGACTCGGGCTTGGCACCGCGGAACTCGCTGCTATGGCAGATGAGGTCGCCCTGGAAGGAATCCATGCCCTTGAAGTCAGGCACATTCTTCTTTCCAGAATGGCCAGTGGCTTGGACGATATACCGGGGGTTCAGGGTACGGTTCTCCACCATCCCGTCCTCCTTCCGCCGCTGCAAATCAAGAGTCCATTGTTTTCCGTTGTTGTCCCATGAGGACCCCTTGATGTCGGTCTTGGTCCATACATTCAGCTCTAGCAGCTTAGCATAGCACTCAAACCACTCGGCTATCTTGTCCTTGGGTGTGAAGATCGGCCAATTCGGCGGGAACGGGATGTAGGGAAAGTGGTCAAACCAGACAGGGTCATGCAGGACCAGCTGGTGGTAGCGTTGGCGCCAGTTGTCCCCAATGTTCTCCTCTCGGTCGATGATCAGAACATCGATACCCAGCATCTTAAGGCGGGCCGCGATGATGAGACCAGATTGGCCAGCACCTGGTCGGGTCAGCACATCATATAGTAACAGGTTGGTGGGTTAGTAGCATACCGACGACCACAACAGTTGGAGACCGGTCCTTAGCTTCGATTTCGGCCGTCCGACGGTCCTTCCAGTTCTTTCGATCTAAACTTTCGCCGTGCTGTGCTCCCATGGGTCTCTTGAAGTTCACCGCTTCTGGGTGGTCGACGAAACCCTCCATGGAGGTGAAGAGGGTGAAAATCTTCCACTTGCCATCCTTTTCTGCCAGCCGAACGATACCGTGTCCATGGAGCAGGGGGCTGGTAAGCGTAATGTAAAAGAGGATGCCTGTGACGTCGCCGAAGGCATCGATAGGGCCGACGTAGGGGCCTCGGAATGCGGTCGAGCGGTCGATCTCGATTTTGCTTGGGAGACGGCCTGATTTGAGCAAGCCGTGAATGTTCTTTTTGCCTTTCGCGGTGTAAAAGTCCCATGTCAAGCAGAGGTGATCGCGCCAGTAGGCATCTTCCCAAAACAGGTCGGAAAAGGACTGCACATCTCCTTTGCTAAGAGCTGTGTTGATCTTCTCGACGAGCTGTGAAGCGACCTGGTCGGCATTGACATCGGTCGAAGAACAAGTCTGGGGAAATGTGCCGACGGGAACATTGACCGAGCCGGTCGTCACGTCTTCGGAAGGCATTGTGCCTATGGTGAAGGAACACTGAGCTGAGAGTAGAGCAGGGGTGGTATTTCTCTGGGCGGGTCAAAGAGGGGGAAGAGAAGAGGCCAGGTTTAAATGGGTAGTACCAACCCCGCTTCTTCAATGCCACAGCTAAGCACTGCAGCAGCCATGACAACTCACCGGATTAATGTGGTTAGTCAGATTCGTATCTGCACGCCCATTCTTCAGCTCATTCCGGTCGGCATTGGTAGTTCTCCTGCTAGCTCGGGGTGTGCTGGGGGGTCCGACGGGTCGTGGCGGCGCTAAATTGGCCTGTCGGCTCGGTTGGTTAGACACCCCGCAGTCTGGCAGGTCTAGATTCTGCAGACCTCCATCGCAGACCTCGACGAGTGAGATGGCAGCATAATTCTCAATTATACTGCGGTGAACCGTACCAATTGTGCACGAAGTGTGCAGAATAGTGAGTGGTTACATCCTGCTCTGAATCCGGATAGATGTAGAAAGAGGGGAAGATGATTGATTGCAACAAAGGGAAGGAACCCAGCCGGGAGCGTGACCCCCGCAGGGAATCCCACCTTCCCCTTCTTCCTGAGGTTCCACCGTTGATCTCACCTTGCTTCAACCGTGCTACTTACCAGATTCCAACCCCATAAATTGGGCTGGGTCGGTATATTTCAAATTGATTCTGGATCCGAACCAGACGGGTAGTGCGGATTCCACACATCGTCCAGAAACCCGGCTGAGCGACTTCGGAGGCTATCTCTCAGATGGCAGGTAGGACACAATATCTGCTACACTGGCTCGTTCTGTCACTACTCGATTCTGTCAGTCAAGCTTCTGCTTCATACAACTACCCGAAGGAACCGACGGATATTATCTCTTCCAATATGAGCCCGTCACACCCACCCACCCTTGCATGCGACCCACAGCTGCCTCCATCATGTTTACCAGTACAGTATCCGTGCAGACTGCAGTGTGAGCCCGGCCGCTATCGGAATTGGGTGCGATCTTGCCATTGATCAAAGTATTGCCTTCCAGCGCTCAGCTCACCATCCACGACCGACAACCGGACCTCCTATCGACCTTAGTGGATTCTCGAATAGCCCATTCAGCTAGCCACCGCAGATCATAAGCACTCAAAACACCCATCTACTTCTCTCGGCTACGAGGTAGATCTCCTAGTGTCCTCATTGGGGAATTCCCCAACCCTACCACAAACCCGACCCACGACATCCTAACCACCTGTACACGGTCACCAAATCGGCATCAACGATCCCAACCCCGCTGACTCGAACATCTGCAGGTCGGATTATGATAGCCTGCGTGGCACAGGACACCCGACCAATCACAATTCCTTCATAAGACAGGACGCTTACCACGTACTATCCACTGTGGGGGGCTCTCCTCGAGGTGCGGGATTATCTATCATCATCGTGGGTTTCAATGCTTCTAGCGTGAACCATTCTACGTGGTGGTGGGGCAGGGGCCGATGCCGATCGACCCGTCGCGACAAATGGTACTCCGTAGGTAGAGATACAAGTGGGTTGGGTGGGAGCGGGGTTGGAACCAGATATTTGTGGCCGGACTGTGGTGTGGTGGCAGGGGATGAGCTAACAGATGAGATGTCGGCAGCTTTGTGTGAGTACTGAAGACGATAATAGTAGTTGGATGATAGTAAAGTCGCAGGATTGATCAGAGTACTGCAAACGATTCAATTGTTACTAGTCATTTAAGGTGACCATTCAGCAACTCGAAAGTACCGATGTGGTTCTAGTACTACATAGTTTATATATATTCAGTCCCACAGGATTAGAGCCAAGTATTTACTACTAGTACGAGAAAAAGCAACCCAACAGCGAAACCATTGGCGAATAAGTACAAACACAAAAACTCGTTTTCGGGCAGAAAGTATAGGTACAAGATAATGAGATTAACTAGATCCAAGATTCGGTTTTCCGAACACGTAGTCTACTAGCTAATGATCATAAGTGAACTTGCCGGACATAGTCGAAGTTGCTTCGCATAATAACTTTGGAAAGGGCTATATTAGTAATAAGAGTCAATCTGACATCAACTAGCATCATTGGTCTAGTGGTAGAATTCATCGTTGCCATCGATGAGGCCCGTGTTCGATTCACGGATGATGCACACATTTTTTCTGTTTGGAAATTTTTTCTATCACCCTCCAATTATTTTCGGTTTTTCTTTTACCTATTATCTATTTTGTTTTCGAAATTACTCATTCTTTTTGATTTATTTAACGTATATTTTTACTCACTTATTGTCTGGCCTCCATGTTCTAGCTCATTAACTCACTATAGTGTCACCCTAAAAGCTGCATCGTTATCATCAGCATACCATTTTCGTATCTTCTGATTCTTCTCTTGTATGTACAGCATCCCTGCGAGAAAATAAGCAACCGGGGAATTACATTCTATCGACCCGACAACTGGCAAATATATACAGCGAAATTAAAATACCCTTGTATGTACCCGTGATTATATACCCAGAATAGATGAAACCGCCACCGTGATGGAGTTGTCACATCATGTAACAACATCCCTCCTTCTCCGTCTGCCTTTATTCGCGTATCGACTGTCCAAGCCGAGTCGACCAAGCGCCAGAGTCTCCAGCGTCTCCGTCTTGCCACCCCACAATTTACCTCTTCCAGATCCATCCGGCTTTCTCTGGATTGGAGGTATCCAGCATGTGACCATCGCCCCAAAGAGCATGCATACGGCAAAGACAATCAGAACGTAGCCGTGACGCTTTACCGGCTCCTCTCCGAAACCGCCGCCGAAGTTGTAGTAGGCCGAAAATACCTGCACCACTATGGAACCGATCTTACCAGCGCCGGCGCTAAGTCCGTGACAGGTGGCACGGTAACGGGTGGGGAAGATTTCAGCGGGGATGATGTATGTTGTAGCATTGGGTCCTATAGAAATGATGGTTAGAGACATCTATATTCGACTCCACGGTGGAAAGGTTACGTACCAAAGTTGAAGAGTGCTTGGCCGATGACGTACAAAACAACGGCCACAGGACCCTCTTTTTGTACGGTGATAAGCATGCAACCTAGGGCGATGAAGAGTGCGGATAGTGCGAGAAACGAGTACTTCTGTAGAGCGACTCTGTCCAGTTTGTGGATCACCAAGATGAGAAGAAGTCCGCCGACAAAGCTACCCACGTTCAATATGACCAGTGCGTGAGTGCAACTTGCGAAGAACATGTCATAGACGCTTGCACTAGGACTGTCGTTCGTCTCCCAGTAAGGCGCGGGTGCGCTCAAATGAAGAGACCCCCAAGTTTTAGCCAAGAACTGCGGGCTTGAGAGACTGATGCCGTAGAAGCCAAAGTCCAAGAAGAACCAGGACACGGCCGTCGCAGCTAGAGTCCGCCAGTTGCCTTCCACCCAGAAGTATTGTACGATGTCCTTCCACGTTAAGCGCCAGTGAGAATTCAGAGTCGCTGGTTGAAGGATCCCGGTCTGGGATGTGGAGGATCGGTCCTCGGCTGTGATGGTAGTCAGGGAATATGCCTGCCCAGGAAAATTGTGCCAGCTTTCAGTTTCGAGAGTCGGGGAGGAGGAAACAGCATTTGGATCAGTAAAGAGTGTGGTTGCATCGAACTCGACCTTTACTGGATCATCGTCAATCTCCATGAGGAAGCGTGGCGACTCTGGAACGAAGAACCGGAAGCAAGTTGCTATTGCTGCCGGTATCACACCGATACCAATGACGTAGCGCCACATCCTATCGACAGACATGGTCAAATCATTGGTATCTGAACGGCTGGTGGCGATGACAATCAGCGACACGAGGTTTGCCCAGATCTGCCCCAAAGGTTGCATGAAGAAAACCGAAGCCATCATCCTTGCTCGGTGCTTAGTGGGAGCAAATTCGCTTGTGATGACCGAGCTTAAAGGGTAGTCGGCTCCGACTCCAATTCCCACAACTATACGCCACCAGATGAGCCACGCGTAGATGCTCATTGAATCGTTTTCTCCGCGGGAGGCCATCACAACGCCCAGTGTGGACGTGATCATGAGAATCAACTCCAAGCCATACATCTTCTTGCGTCCATTCCGGTCAGCTAGGTACCCAAACAAGACCTGTCCCAATAGCGTCCCACCCAATGTAGCAATGTTGAATAGAGTGATCTTGATCGAAGAGACCTCCTTTTTCCAGTAGACGTAGGAGATCATCGGAAGTGCCATGTTGCTTGCAAACAGGGTGTATCCATCAAGAAAGAAGCCAACACCGGCAACGAAGACGATCAAGTATTGGAATCCCTGGCGATCGATTGTGTCGTACACCTGCCGAGCGCGAACATCTCGATCCTATGGCACCAGCACAGTATTAGCTAGCAGATTCACGATGTGAAGCATCTAAGAAGATTCTACCTGCTCATGCTCAAAATCCTGAGCTCGGTCGGTCTTATACCAACGCGTGCGGAACTTGCCCATGGCTGTATGTTCGTGTTGGCGTTTGGATCAGATGGATTCTAGAAATCAGATTGTACACGGATGACATCATGAAGGGCCATCGAGCTGCAAGTACAATAGGAAGAATAGATCCTGCGGCCCCCAGATCTGAGGATGAAGGTCTAAGAAAAAGGATGGCGCAACGTTGAAAGATAGGGGAGGATGAGTCTGGGAGGGGTACTCGAGGCCCACCATGAGGCCAGAGGCACAATATACTTCTCCCGGGAAGGTTTGAACTAAGCAGAAACGCGACGGGGTGATTGGAGGAAGCTGTGACAGTGCGTGCAGTAGCGGCCGGAGTGGAGCTCAATGCCTGGGGCACCCGCCCAATTCCTCGCTCCACGTGCGGCACGTGCGGGCAGAATGGGGACTCATTGGGGCCCACCTGCCCACTTGGCTGCCTCTGTCAGATGAACGAGAGACGCCAGTAGTAGCATGATCCCGGAGTTCTTTCGGTCCCTGGCCAGGCTCCCGAGCTGCCTTCCACTGGATACGAGGCAAATTTGCCATTTGTGACATTTGAGTTCGCCGAGCGATGAAACCTGGCTGTAGCTGAAAGCCGTCTTACTGGTTCGACCAACCACGTGCCCATTGTGCCTCGTAAGGTCCCAATCTTGTCTGAAGTTTCACAACAAAGTTATAGTATTGTAAATGAAACTGACGCGTGGCCGCACAGGAGCAAGCAAGAAAGAAGGAAAAAAAAAATTATGCATTGTACCTGAGAACCCAACGCCCTCTAAACTCCTTGCTGCAGACTCGTAAACCACTGATTCCATGATAGGTTATTAGTAGATGCTATGCCTATTTTCCGAACCGCGTTTCCCGTGGGTATCATATTCAATGTTGAATGGAGTGTGTTGTATTATTATGTGGTGCTGTCCGTTAGAAATTGGCAAAATGCTTTCCGGTCTAGTGGAGCACGTTAGCAATCCCGTTGGGAATGTTCGAAAAGAAACCTACCCAGATCATCAAGAAACTGAATAGATAATGTCCTCATCTGGGAGAGAATGTCAAAGTTGGGCTGCAACTGGAGAACCACCGGCTTTCCTGCCTTCTTGCCCGGATTGAAGCTGTCGATGCAGTTGATCGGAATGGACACATAACGCTTCAACTCCTTCCGTTGTGAGTTGGCAAAGAAAAGCATGACTTGTTTGCCGTTATGATTACGTAGAATGCGTAGGTTCTGGCTGATGCACTCTTCCCCTCGGCCCTTGGACTTCGCCTCGGCGATGCCTGCTATGAAGACCAATTTTGAACTCAGGACTAATTCTTGGAACTGCACACAATCTGCAACTGGGAATCAGCAAAAATTCGACCACTTCTAGAGTATTCTGCTACCCACCATGCCAGTCATCAAAAGTATAAGAGATCTGTGTGAGGAACACATTGTGGGCCGATTGAACGGTTTGCTCGTCCATGAAGGAAACGCGCAGCGACGACTCGTTCGGGAGCTTTGGATGTTCAAGATGGGGAACTGGAAGCTTGGTATCGTTGACTACAGATGAATCACGACAGGTTAGCATGGTCATCCGCAGGCCCTTTTCGAACACTTACAAGTATGTATCAAAGGAGTCTGCTGACCCGGTCCCCCGCCCAACTCAAGACTCTTCAAACTTCCTGTGGCATCCTTGCGTATGTCGATGCAAGTGAAGCGTAGCTTGAAGAGTTTACTACTCCGGACGAAGGAGCTGTAATGGCTCCATCAGCGGTTGTCGTCTGCACGGGATACTGGGCAATACGCACATGGTCACAGAATGGTTCAGCGGTAAGCGGCAGGTGTCTTCGTATAAGGAGAAGCATGAAGCCTGCCTCGACCGGGATCCAATTGAAGAAGCCGTACGACTCAGCGGAGGCGGGAAAATGGGCGATGTGGCATAGCTGGGACCGGAAGAGCTCGTGGAGGAAGAGACTATGCTTTCTGGTCGAGATACGGACAGCGGAAGAGGCCAGTCTTCGGCTTCCAAATGGGCGCCTGGGTGGCTCATTGCAGATGCAAGGGACTTTAAGTAGCGACGGCCCGGACCCTCAACTGTGCACACTGCAATGTGGCGGGTGACTGACGGGCGACGATCGTGCGGATCCCCAGGAGCTGATCAACGTGTACTAGGGTTGAGAGCACTTGCATCATTCCCAATGTCGACGAGGAGAGTTCCCACAGCACAAGCCGATCCGAAGCAGGGCAAAACGGCTGGTCTTCGCTGATTGAGGGCGAGGTTATAAAGCAAGTGCTTAGTTAGGCAAGCGATAAGGGAACGCTGATGCGGGTGCCATAGGGACCTTATGCCCAGGCCCAGGGCGGGGGAACCACGGACAACGTGCTCGAAAGGCGCCCTGTGATTTGAGACTCCAGCGCGGATGAGTGGAGACGCATCCCTGCGGCCGGTACACCTCGTGGTGATATGGATGGTCCGTGATGCGCTTTCCTAGTCGCTGTCAGTGCTTGGAGAGGATGGATTGAAATGTTTTCACGATATCAACCCACCTATTATACGTTGCTGCTTGAGGAACTCGTGGATAGGTACCCGCTCATCCTGGAGTTAGTGCCTCTGCGCGGGTACACAGACTAAAGTGTTGGTGGGTACCTCGAGTCATAGCGAGCGAGCCAGAAGCATAGATTGCGCTCCTCCCAGTCTAATCTTTGACTCGGCATTGCATACTCGGGTCGGTAGCAGGATGCAGGGAAGCTTAGAAATGCTGGCCAAAAACCTATGGCGTGCATGAAGGCAGAGGCATGTTGTTGTATTGTCTGGTCGAGGCATCCCCCGACATCCCGTGGTCATGTGACGTACGTGTGTCGGATTCGCCGGCATACCTTACGTAAATCACAAGGCGGCTTGCCAGACTAGCACAATGAGAGCACGACCAACTATCGGTGATACTCGGTCCGTTGGCATACTTGGCTTCGCAGTCTCTCATTGACAGTCATCGCAGAAGAAAAAGTGGTATTAGTCTATGTACTTCTATACGGACAGCCCTATCTACATGGGGTATCCTAAGATCAGAATGAAACGAAACCATATGCGAGACACCAAAAACACCGGCTAGGCTTCGCAGAGCTGAACAGAAATACAACGCAGGATGGATGCAACCCAACTGACCAGGAAGAATGCAAGCGAGCGAGCGTTGGTAACAAAGAACTGTCGGGGCGCTCTGCCATGGGGTCATGAAATGGGTATGATCCGCAAAGCCGCCAGAGATTATAGGGTATATAGATGCGAACCGGAAAAAAAACAAATATCTTCAAAACCAAGTCAGAGAAAGCCGATCGTACAATCGTACAATAGATGAACGCTTTGTGCAGCGAGGCCAGCGTGCGATGTTGGGACATTAGCAGGCACTCACTTTATGGACAGAAACGCGCCGCGGCCACAGGACCGGGAAAGATGCGGCGATCAAGTCGACGCGACGAACTCAAATGTGCCAAAGTTGAGTGACTCGCTCTTATCATCAGCATATTGCAGAGAGAGATGCGTCAGACGTGAAACATCCAACCGCGGGATACTGCATGTGTGGAAGCGTCCCATCCAGCTATCACCGTTGGGGTCTCATTGAAACCCCAGCCCACAAAGAATGGTCTGCTTCCTGGATGCAGGGGCGGTGACCCTTTTACACGTGGATAAATCCTCGATGTGCAGCAAATGACCAATTCCCTTTACCCAGTCCTGTTCTTAGTGTGTGTAGTTTATTGAAGAGGCTTCTGGGCGATGATGCGATAACTGGTTGTCACAAGTCGCATGGTATCCATCTTGATGAAAGCCTCGCCGTCGAGACACAAGCGGTTGATCAGGGTCTTGAAGTGGCGGGGCAACACGTGGGTCTTGACCAGTCCCAAAATGACCTGGCGCATGGAGCGGAAGTAGAAGTCAACCTTGTCAATGAGGGGCGCCTGCAGACCTCCAACACTGGCATTGTCGGAGCGGACGACAGAGAAGCCGGCATCGGTAAGGGCCTTCTCGAGACTTTCGGGGGTGGGAGTGCCAACAGCACCGATCAAAGGCTTTACGCGACGCATGAGTTCGGTATGCTCGGGGTTGCTCGGATCGTAGTCGGGCAGGCTAACCCAATCGAGGAGGGAGATCTTGGCGCCGGGCTTGACGACGCGGTAGATTTCGCGGAAGAGGGAGGGAAGGTCTTTGCACAGACTGAGTGCTTGGATCTGGTAGAAAGCGTCGAAGCTAGCATCCTCGAAGGGCAGGGGAAGGTTGTTAAAGTCCTGGACGACGAAAGAATTGTTGTTGAATCCGAGCTTCTCATTGTAAGTCTTGGCCTGGCCAATCTGATTGGGATCGATGTTGAGTCCCGTGACCTTCGCGCCGGAGTATTGCGTCATGTGCGCGGCCACTCTTCCGCGACCGCAACCCAGGTCCAACACGTGATCGCCGGCGCTAAGGCCGATATCCTGCGCAATCGATTCCTCGTACAACAACTGGTTCTCCAGCACGGTCGCCTTCTTGCTCATAAATGGGGGGATGTACATCTTCTCCACGTCGCCCAGCGCGCACAGGTGGTTGAGCACTCCATAGTACGCCTTGAGGCAGTCGCCGACCTTTGCCTGATAGTCCGGACCTAGCGTCTCAATCATCGCTTTCTCGTCAGACCAGTCGAGATTGTAGATGACGTAGGATGCCATGAAGTCATCGACCTGCTTGGGGGTGAGGTTGTTCAGATACCGGAAGGCCTTCCAAAAGGTCTTCCATCGCTTGGGCGATGCCGAATTGTGCAGATCAGGGCGAGTTTGGGGAAGCTCCTTGTTGGCGAGCTTCTGCTTCTCAACAGCGTCCAGAGAGCTGCTCTCGGAGCTCCGGCCGGACTGGCGCGACGCCAAGACGGTTGTTTGGGTATCCATTTCTTCACGCTATAAGATTAAGAGTTTGATCGCGGCGTTGACAGCAACAAAAAACAACGGCAACAGCAACAGCTGGAAGCAACGACAGCAGTGCGAGTTTAGGAGTGAGGGAAGTGTTTAGGGGGAGGGTGGATTGGTGACAGGGCAGTGGGTGAGAGACTAGAGACGGCGGTTATTTTCGTTGACCAGAAAGTGCCATGCCAGAGTCGCAATGCGATTTCTCCCTCTTTTTTTCCCTCGATAGGATGGAAAGGCGGGGCTAGGCTTTAATTTATAAGCACTGCAACGGAGGGAATTTTTTTTTTTTCTGACTCCTCTTTCCTGTAACAGTGAGGTGCCTCTGCAACGGCGCTGGGCGGCGCCATCGGGGGGGATCTTAATAATATTGATTGATTTGCCGTATGACCTGCCATGGGAAGTTAGCGATGGCCACTGTGGATTAGCCATTGTCACCGGATCTGGAAAGCATCGGAAGAGTCGGAAGTGGCAGGTCCAGAGCAGCACGGGAAGGGACGGCAGCGACGAACCGGAGGATGGAGAATGGAGGAGAGTCATGGGCGATGCGCGTTGGCTCTGGCTCCGTTGTTTGGGATTTGCCTTTGGAGAATAACGGCTACCACTACTTGGACTACGGCGGCAGGGTCATCTCCTCACAGGAATCAGCCCCCCTGTTAGTTTGGCGGTAAACTATTTGCTGGGAGAGGGGGAGGAGCTGTCGCTACTACGCACGTTAACTCTTAGTATTCGACTAGATTATCGACCCTGGAATGAGTCAAGGGTCTGCCGGCCACATCACGGACCTCTTCTCCCCTCTGATCACCAGAGCTACTGTGATGCCACTGGGATGTACTGTACTTCGGATAATTTGCTCACCATTGATTGACTGCAAGCGAGCCTAACAGTTAAATACTACTTTTAGACTCCCGGAGTTTTACCAGCAGAGCCGTTGTTTAACAGCTTGACTGGTAACAGTGGTCGTCTTCATGGAGTGATGCGATGGTTCAGGGAGCTGCTAGTGTTGGAGCTAGTAGAGAATTAGTGTTGTAGAGGAGCTGGGTAGTCCACTTCCCAGGGTACTTGCTGTGTACCACTACCACAGTACGTACATGATTTCTTAGCACCCACCACTACCATTAACTAGTGCCGTGATCCGTCCAGGGTGTTTTGCTGACGGTGTCCACCAAGGCTATCAGCTCTCTGGTCTATACACCGAGCCCGAGCCGTTCGTTTATTTGTTCCTGGCGCGCCAAGCTGTCTCCATCGCGTAGTGGAATGCAAAGGCCCATTCACGGATGAGCTGATCAATGGGCACCCGCCGTGCAAAATGAGCACGGCCTTGGCAATCAATGCTTACTTCTCCTCACAAGCACCGCTCCCGAAGCCGGACCACTTCGAATTATGATCTCGAAGGCCTTCATACCCAGGTTTTTATGAGCCAGGCTAAAATTCGCTGCTTGGTTTGCCATTTCCGCCTACCTCTGCCCTATAGGGATGTTGCCATGGCTTGGCTTTGAACGAAGGGGCGATTGTTTGAAGTGAGAAGCTATTGACGATCCATTTGTCGGTTCCCTACCTACGGAGGACAATGGTAGGTATTACCCAAGAGTTTCTCGATTATCCCTCATGTTCAGGCCCTATGGTTCCCGAGTGGTCTTGCAAAATTTTTCTTAACGATCGCATCTTTTTTTTTTTTTTTTTTTCTCGAACCAGACGGCTTCTGACTGGATCAGGCAATTCACCGCGCCTCGGACTTCCCACCCGAGCATCCGCCCCACCCGCGCCTCGCTCTTCTGGCCGTATTTCCGTTAAACTCTTCATCTCGCTCGTCCGCTGGTCTTCCGTATCCGTATCTCCTGGCTCCGGTTCATCTCCGTCTCTCTGGCCTCCTGTGTCAGACATTGTCTTGGTAAGAAGCGTTCCATTCTTCCTATTCTTCTAGCGACTTCTAGGGTCCCTCGGATCGGGGTTTGCGGCACGTAGAAGGCAAATTCCCGTTGGTGTTGGATTTTGAAACCTTTTTCACCGATCGCCTTCGTCGTCATCAGCTCGTGGAGACATACTCGAAGTCACTGCGCGATGATCACAAGGTCATCCACCGTTTAATGCGGAGGGGAAGGGAGATTGGCATGTTCTCAATTCTCACTGCCAGCCAACCGTCCGGGGATGTTGGAGACAAGAGATCTCGTCGTATTTACCTCATGTAGCATGGATTGACGGTCGCATATACTTAGTCGTGGGATGCAAGTCCATCCTGCGGAGTCGGCTAGATTGATGGATTGATTACCTCTTACGCGTGTAGGCCAATCTGGAAATGACGTGGCTGGCCTGGCCTGGCCATTATCACACCCGTTATCCATGCTCGTGCAGGTGTAGTCCAGTGGTCCGACCTTTTCTTTGTCCCTCGTGTGTCATGCCGTCATGGATCGTCGCACGCTTTGATACTACGTGGAACAACAGGAAGAGGCGGATTTTTCCGTCTTATGTGGTATTCGCAATGAACATCATGCGCTTTTTTTCATTGTTAGTACCTTTTTCTCCCTCGCACTATATTGACAGTACCCACTTCGCTCCACTCTGGCTCCGACTCTATCCTCAGCGCGGCAGTCACACCAACAGTAATCCTAGAGAAAGAGAGAAACCCAGAGAATGCATGCTTTCGCTTAGTGTTGCTCGTTCTCCCGTAAGCCCGAAGATAGACAAATTACCACGACAATCAAAACCAGAATTTATCAAACAAAATATTATCACCAAGGAATAAATAAATAAATAAAAATAAAAACCCTACCCTCACAAAAAACACACCAGCACGTGACCACACTGAACCGGCAACAATTTCCGCGTTCCTCCGTACCCTTCATGACCATAGAAACATCACCACCACGACAAAGAAATCATCAAACCCAGGTGTATAGCATCAAAAGACGTCCAAATAAGCTTATATTTAAAGCCCAGCCCTCCCCGGACGCCTACAGCAAGCCATCCTCCAAACGGAGCGCACAGCGAGCAGGTTCCAGGCCCACTCTCGCCATTAGGCAGCCAGATATTTCCCTCCTACTATCCTAACTACTGGGTACATCACAACGGGAAAGGGTAAAGGAGCAAGCGCCAAGATAATTGTCGAACCTCAGATCAGCTGTTCGCCCGCGCTGCCGGGTGGCGACTGCTTTGGGGGGAACTTCCATCTATTATTCGTTCGGTGGGTTGTGGACGGGAGGGTCGGTGGTAGTGGTGGTGGGATTGCCCTCGTGGGTACCGGTGTAGTACTTCTTTTTATGGGATGATCTCGGTGTGCTGAGATGTACCTCCCTGTAGAAGGGCAGGTGTTGTTAGTAGTAGGTTTCTGCTGGGTTCGGTGGGCAGGTAGGAAGGTAGGTGTGGATTCAGGGTCTACTCCGATGGGATGGGTCCGACTTACTTTACTGACTCCGAGTCACCTTTGATTGATTCCGATGGTTGATCCTATTCGTGCGTGCCTTGATCCTGCCTGCTGGTGATTAGTTAAGAAGGATCTTCTTTTTTTCTTTGTCTTATCTAAGCTCTTGCTGCTTTGTCGGGTTTTAGTACTAGATGCACGACCATGTCGGGATGTCTGGCCACTCGGGAGAGGGATTTATCGGTTTTTAAGCTTCCTGAATAAGGGGAGAATACCCAATAGTAGACTAGAATGCTATTCTTAATGCTTGAGTGGAAGTGCTAGACCCAGTGATGTGCTTTTCTTTCCTGTACTGATGCCCTAGGAACATGTCGGATGTACCGGCAACGATAGCGGAGTTTGATGGATGACAGCTAACCTGACATAGAAATGCAGATCATCCCGAAAATCCCGTTAGTAGGGGTCCCAGAGCTTGAAGTTTTAGTCATAGTAAGTTGCCTTTAGCTGTGGGTTTGTACCAATAGAACGGCAGTTGGGTCTCCCAGCTGTAGTAAGTAAGTAGCTCCCGCGGCAACATGAAACATGACTCGCGAAAATCAGTGTACAAGATGAGTACGAAGAGATCAGGTGACCATGGCTTTTGCCTCTTGTGGTGTCTGCAGATGTTGCATGCCTCCACTTTGTCTTGAGGTTTTACTGGCCATCTTATGTGTGCATCTCTTTGTTTCGTTCTGCAGGATTTACCGAGTACTTCTCTATGCAGTCTCTTACAAAGTGCATAATTGCTGAAAGCCTATATTTTTTGATCATATTATGACACATGATCTACTTGTATGTATCAGTTGTACCATGCTGGCAAACTGTTCGTTCGATGTCACTAATGGAGCATAGATTGCAGTTGCCATGATCAGCTGACAAATCGCCTTTAAGAGATGCTCGCGTACATATTATTAGACAAACCTTGCTGCTAAAATTGAATGTATCACACTTACTAATTTTTAATATCAACCAAATCTCAGGCTTACTCTGTCTCATTCCATAATAGCAGTGGAAGTCGGGAGCGGTGTGACGGCCTTCACAGTAGTAAAAGATATGGACCGTGAACAAGGCCCTTTTATTAAATATCAATAATAGAAGCTGTTGAGGCGCGTTCTACAGCAACGAAAGCAACGAAACGAACAAAACGAACAAACAAACACCGGAAGCAAAAGAGTGAGTTGAATTAAGCTATCTAGGAGAGCAAAACAAAGCAACACATAGAGGTGCTTTATGTGTAGAAGGTCTGAGCACAGCACATGACTAGCCTATATAGATGCCTCAATACGGCTCCCTAAGCAAAGGAGCATATGAAGAGATGCTAAATAAAATTATAAATATTTTTTAAATAAGTAATCTTTTATATATTAAGTATCATTTCCTGGATATTATATAGATATAATTAATAGAATTATTTTTAAAAGAATCTGAAAATTACAGAACTTCTTTTAATTTAATACTTTAATAAGACTGTCTGCAGGATTACAAGTACCTGTAATATATTAAATTAATATAATATTTATTTTAATAAGATCTGCTATAAATAAATAATAATTATTTAGTTATTTAGTAAACCATGTATAAATACTATAATTAAGAATTTATAATAAATTAATAGTATTACTAAATAAGAATATCTTACTGTTATCTGATATTTTAAAATTAAATATTTATATTAATTTCTTAATATATAGAATATCTTTAACAGCGGTATTATATATACAGTATTTTATAATAATAAAAAAAAATATAATAATATTTTATTTATTAGATAATTAAATAATAAAGTTATCTGTATAAAATATAATCTATTTTTTTATTAATTTATTATTCTTATAATTAGTATAAATAATATTTATATAAATTTTAATTTTTTTAATATAATCAGCTGCCAGGGTGATCCTGTAAAAGATAATATTATATAAATATTTATATATATTTTTTAATACTTTTATATCTACTATAATAAAAGTATATATATATCTTTATAAATAAAATATAGCAAGATATAAATCAGATCTTATTTTAGTAATTAATTAATTTAATCTATTTATAAAACTTTAATATTTATTAATATTAATTTCTTTAATTAATATCTCAGTATAATCTATCTTTATATAAATAAATATTATAGAAACAGTAATATTTAAGTAGAATTATATTTCAGTAATAATAAAATATTTTTTTATATAAATAAATTATTTAAACAAGATACTGCCTGCTTTATAATTATAAAAAATATTATAATTAAATAAGATTTTTAATTTATCTAGCTTTTTAAATCTAAATATTTTATTTAAATAATATTTTATTAAAATCAGATCTACCTGCTCAGGACTAATAATAATAAAGTTATTTATATAAATAATAAATTATATATTATTATTTTTATATATATACAGATCCTCCAGCAGGAGTTTAAAACTAATTTTCTATAATTTTTTATTAAAAATATAATATTAAAAATATATTACCTGTCATAGTCTATAAAATATTATTTTAAATAAATATATATATTCAGAAGAATTTTTATAGAATTTAATTAATTATTTTATATAAATCTGCTTATTTTTTATTTATATATATAAATAAATAAAAATAATATTATATTATTTTTAATAAAGATCTTTCAGTGTTATATTAATTATAAATATTTTAAAAATAATCTTACTTATTACCAGGATAAAGAATTCAGTATAATTAATATTAGATATCTAATAATTACTGTAAATTATCTAGTAAGTATAAAATTATATAATAATATTTTTTATATTAATCTTCAGATTAAATATTTATTTATTTAAAATTATATAAGTACCAGCAGGTCAGTCAATCATCTTATAAATATTTATTAATTTAATCTTATTAATCTGTATAATTATAGCTTTTTTCTAATATAAAATAAGCAGGAATAAAATAGCTTTTATATAAATATTTAATATATTAATCTTATATTATTTAAGAATAGATAAAGAAAATAAATTAAATTTTTATTTTAATATAATTATTTATTTATTTTTTAGCTATAAAGAATTTTTCTTTTTAATAATTTATTAAAATTATTTCAGTACAGTGACTGTAGCAGTAAGAGATTTAAATTTAATAAATTAAAAATTTTATTTTATATATTTAATAGATAATATCTTATAATCCTGGAGATTCTTTATTAAATAAATTAAAATAATAAGCGCAGGTAGAGCAGAAAAAATAAATTTAATAAATTTAATTAATATAAATATAATTTTTATTTTTTTATATATAAAGTTAGTATCATTATCATATACAGGAAAAGTCTTATTATAATTAATTATATTCTATATATTATATATAATTATTTTATTAAAATTAATCTCAATACTTTGTATCAGCATAATTAGATTCTTAAAAATAAATATAAATATAATAATTATATTACCAGAATCTTTATAATTATTCTTATATATATATTCTTTATAGAATATTATATTTCTTAAGTATTTAATCTTGTTTAAATTAGAATATTATATTAAATATATATAATTATAATCTTTATTAAATCTGATAAAATAACTAGTATTAATATAAGAATTTATTTTTTTAAAGATAATATGGTTCTCTATAGATATATATTAATAATAATAATATTTAAATATATATAGAAACTTAAGTAAGATATCAAGATTTAAAAGATTATAAAATAACCTGTATAAATAAATAAATATTTATTTAATTTTATTTCCTGCAGAAATTAAGTAATTAAAAATTTATATAATAAATCTTACAATAAACAGCTAGAATATTATAAATAGACTTAAATTAAGTATTATAATTCTATTTATTTAATTAAATAAATTATTATAATATTCAGCAAGTCTGTTAACTTCAGGTATTTAAAAAAATAATATAATAATATAAATTTCTTAATTTTTATAATATATCTATTTCTTAAATTTATTAAATTTATAGTTTTTATCAAGATACCATGAAGTAATATATTTATTAACTATATTTTTATATTTATTATTTATCTGAATTAGTTTTATAAAGATATTATTTTTTTACTTTAATATAACTATTCTAACTAATCAAGTAATATTATTTATTATTATCAGAAAATATTTAAATCTTTTATAATTAACTAAAGTTATCTGCTGTATATCTATATATTAGAATTATATAAAATTAAAAATCTTTAAAATAAAATTTTTTAATATTAAATATTTTATTTTTTTTAATAAATATACATCATAGTAAAGATTCTTATAGTATTTAAATTTAATTTACTAATTTTTTATAGTAAAAATAATCTTGTAGAATCTTATATATTTATATTATTTATATAATAATAAAAGATTAACTATAGTAAGAATTAATTTTATATTTTAAATATATATAAAAAATATATTTTTATTTATTTATAAATATTTTATTATTTTATTATTTTTCTTCCTGTATAAAATTAGATTTTTAATATTTATATATATTCTGAAATCCTTTCATAAAAAATCCGCAGAGAGAAGGCTATAAGTAAAATCTAATTAATAAAATATCTTAATCTAGATCTTAAGATATTTATTATTTATAAATAAAAATAAGATCTAGTAGCTAGTTAACTTAATAATATTAATTTCTTTATTAAAGATACTATATTTATAAAAACTAGAAATATCTAAATTATAATAATAATTTAATAAAATATAATTAGATATAAGATATTAAAAGCTGTCTGTATTATAAATCCAGTATAATAAATAATTAATAATATTTCTAATTATTATTCTAGAGAAATTTAAAATATTTAAATTTTTATTATCTAATTTTATATTATATAAAATAATATATTAAGTAGATATCTCTGCTATCTATTTTATAGATATAAATATTATTTTAAAATTATCTTTTAAATTTAAATTTAATTTTTTTTTATTATATTAATTATATTTTTCTCTGAAGAACTAGATATTTAGAATATATAATTTCTACTACTTTAAATATAAGATTATATTAATATACTAATATTTTATTTAATTATAACTAATATATTTATAATAATTATATATTTTATTAATATACTTAGAGATTATTTTCCTTATTTTAATGGTATGCTCTTTATAAAAAATATTTTTTATAAAATATATAATCTTTTTTTACTTTTTCTTAATAGTAGATGGCTTGTTAAATAAATCTTAATTTTTTTTTATAATAATTATTATTTTTATTTTATAAAATTTATTATATTATTTTTTTGCATTTCTACAGATAATATAAAAATTATTATTATTATAAATTATATTTAAGTTTTCTAGTATCCTGTCCTCTACTAAAATAATTTATATAAATATATTAATTTTTATTTTCTATAAAAATATAAATACTATTATAAAAACTAATATTTTATATTATAGAATTCTGTTAAGGGCGAAGTTAGATTAGAAATTTTTAATAAATTTAATTATTATAGTATATAAAGATTACTTTATATTAAAAAGATTATATATAATATTCTAATATAATATAATACTGTATCTGAGAATAATTCTCTAAAGTATTTAATATATATTATTAATATATTTTTTTTTATTAATAGAATCTGTAAATAGATCCAGTATCTTATCTAATAAATTTTAAATTAATTATAATTAAATAATTCTTAAATAAATTTATTATATTTTATATTTTATATATTTATTATCAGATTTAAATAAATCTTTATTAATCAAGTCTAGTAGTCTGATATTCTTAAATATTTGTTTAATTTAAAAATATTATTTTAAGAAATTTATATATTTTTCTAGTAAGAGTAGTAATCCTGAAATCTTATTAAATATTTACTTAGATAATTTATCTATTTATAACTTAAATATTATTATTTTCTTTTCTTTTAAAAAGAGATTCTTAAATAATATTTTATATTTAATTTTTTATATTATTCTACCTGTTCAACATGCTTGGTATAAACAAATAGATAAATTATATAATATATCTTCTTAATATATATAAATAATCTAATTAGATTTATTAGATTTACCAAGACCAGTATTCTGCAGTAGAATATCTTATCTGGTAATAAATAGCTGGCTATAACAAGTCCTGAATAGCTTCACAGTATAAAGGCCGGGCTCATAACCTGTTGAGGTATGTTCTACAGCAACAAAAGCAACAAAATAAACAAAACAAATGAACAAACACCGGAAGCAAAAGAGTGAGTTGAATTAAGCTATCTAGGAGAGCGAAACAAAGCAACGCGTAGAGGTGCTTTGTGTGTGGGAGGTCTGAGCGCAGCACGTGACTAGCCTACATGGATGCCTCAACAGAAGCTTATATATCAAACCAGAAACAAAAATCTGTCAGACTATCTGAGAACTCGATCGATGCGACTCCTCGAGAAAGGACTTCAGATTGCAACTGATGATGAAATTATAGACATATTTGGTGGAAGAATCAAATCTGTTGGAGATACCCGTGGATCCTGCGTACGCAAAATCGGAAGGATCCCACAGAAATAAGGCAGCCTAATAGGCAAGTGCGCCTATAAAAGGGTCCTTATTTCTTATGTGATCATTGAAATTGTGAAAACCTAAACCCGTATTTCGTTCATTGAAGGCTCAACCTAGCAATACTATCAATTCACACATGGAATTAATAATTCATCTTTGTGAAAACGAGTCATTCTGATCATGCACTGCAGCAATTTTGCTTTTATGCGGATGCCTGGAACCGGTAATGCACTGTATGTCGGTGCTCGATGAGAATTCAGCTGTGAATATAATGACAGTCTTCAAGTTATATGCTGGTGAAAATCGTTAAAGGTACTATATAAAGCTTCGGTGTTGATCTGAAAAAGGGTCCCTTCCAGCTAAGCAACCATAGCGTCCGGAAGCATGGCCGCTGACCCCCGATTTATGTTGCACCTTGTTATACCCAGGACCTCTACCTTGGCAATCTATACACACAGATGATACCTATAGCACGGTATATTATTACGCTCTCTAATGGTGTTCACATCTGCGAACAATTTGCCCTAAGCCCCGAAACAAACAGATCACCGTGATGAAGGGGTACACGAACCCTTTTGATAGAGAAAGAACATGAGAGCACCTTCCTTCTCTTGCGCCAATCTAAGCTACACCATTCATCACATTCCTGAGACCATCCTTAGGTACACTCTACTCATCACCGTTTCATTTACCTATCATTTGCTGCACGGCATTACACTCGCTTGAATATCAACTCTATCCTTATACACCTATAATCATCACACTCCATCCACCAGACGTCAGCGATCCTCATTTTTAATCATGCCTCCTAGAGTGAGAAACCCCATGTGCTGTTCTTTACCAACTTATACGCAACCTCTGGCTCATATTTTCTCCAGAGATCCTACAAAAAGAGATATGAAACAGACCAGACCGATCGTCCAAGAGCGCCTATCGAGAATATGACCATGGCTGATGCGGTATGCCACACCAGCCTACATACATATTGAACTCTGTCACTGATGTATGCACCATACAATATCTAGGGACGTGAACTACAGCGACTTACCAGAAACATAATGCTCGCTAAACGAAATATAAAGCGTTGGGAATCCGAGCATGAGGAACTTATCGCCCGTTTCTATAATTCCAAGGGAAAGATAATTGTGCCACCAGGAGTGGCTGAAAAGGCCAATGTGATAGCTCATCATGGCGAGAGTAGTGGTGAAAACTCTACGTTCGAGGGTGGTACAAATAAGCCTGAGCAGACTCCTCCGATTTCCGAGAGTGGCGAGGTCTTGGGAGAGGGTAAAATGGACGTGGATGAGGACGCACAATGTGAGAAAGCCAAAGTTATCGTTGGCAATGCTGATGGTCGCTTACAGGAGGTAGCTACGACTGCTACCGCCGGTTGCGACGATCAGCTTCTTCCGGATTCTGGGGACGTTGGGTGTTTGGACGACTTGATGGACTTGTCGGATGAACCGAAGGGAGTGGAGGATTGCTTAGGTAGTGCCCTTGGATCGCTCAAAATCAATGTTTAGGTTGCTGGTTAGGTCCACTGGTTTGATATGGATTGTTGTTGTTGGAATAAGTTGCAGTGGTCTATGCTGGAAAGAGCAGAGTGTTTGTCAAACCTTAGTGGCTTTTGCTAGTGTCATTGTTGACGTCTTGAATCCTCTTGATGCCAATGCCAGTTACTTACCTATAGTGCTGAGGTGCTTACTCTTTGTCTGAAGATCAGGGAAGGCAGAAGCATTACTAGTAGCTCAGAATCACTAGTATGTTTGCGATGGCGCTTCCAAGCCGCACCGCAGATATTGTCCATCACAACTCGCATCAGGAAAAATATTCATGTAAATAGAAACAGAATTACATATCAGAAGTGTTATCACACAAATAAGTTTGAGACATGCATTCATCAGAGACTCTACTCTAGGACCAACTCGAAGTCCGACCATACCATAACTCGCGGTCGGGCCGTAAGCTGCACCCTTCGGCACCGGTGGGGATAAGCGGATAGGAACTTGAGGAGTGGGAACCAAAATCTCTTGGTTACTCCACTTTACGCACGCAGTAGCTCAGGCAATGGGGATTAGGCGGGCCGCATACCCGCCGTGTCCAGTTTACGTAGTGCCATGCATATGACGGAGCACAGATGCGACTTGCACATTGGGGGAAAAGGAAGTGCAGTAAGTAGTAGTTAGGATAGCCCCTCATTATGCGGGGTTGAAAGTATAGAAAGATACTGGGCTCTGTGATTCCACTTACACACAACAAATAGCCTCTGTTGACCTGGGATTCACCACATATTCTCTTTTCTGCATTTTGTCTGCTCATCATGGCCATGAAAAGCGATTGCAACGTCCACAGCCCTGAGTTCCGTGAAGCAAAACCCTCGCAGGGAGATCCCTCTCGTCCTGTCGCTGATCTCTTTCGTCTTGATAATCGCACTATCATAAGTATATCTCCTGGAATCCGGTACTATTGTATTGCATGGACCTGCTAACAGCAGAGCTTTCAAACAGTCACCGGTGCCACCGGCTTCCTAGGCACCACACTCGCCATTGCGATCCTCGAAAGCGGCGGTGATGTCGTCTGTCTTGATCTCGCACCCGTCCCGAATTCTCCGGATTGGCGTACGTCCTTCCCCATTCCCCAATCCGATAGTGGGATGGGAGTGCCCCTAACTAGCGTCTGATTACAGATAAAGTCGAAGCTGCCGCACAAACTCACGCCCGCCAACTAACCTACTACCCCCTGGACGTAACGGACGAATCCGGTGTAGAGAAAACTTTCACCCAGTTCATCCCTACCCTGCGATATCCACTCAAGGGTCTTGTCGCCTGCGCAGGTCTATCCCGAAATGGTCCCGCGACCGAATTCCCTGTCTCGTCGTTCCGCCGGATGCTTGATATCAATGTGACGGGAACGTTTCTCATCGCGCAGGCGGCGGCCCGGGAGATGCTCAGGACGAATACTACGGGTAGCATGGTGTTTGTGGCTAGTATGAGTGGTTATGTGTCGAACAAGGTTGGGGCAATATCTTCTGCGGTTGTGTGAGAGAGTGGGCTGACATGGTACTTGGAAATAGGGCGTCGATACAGCCGGATACAACGCCTCCAAGGCGGCCGTCCATCAACTCACGCGGTCTCTAGCTGCCGAGTGGGGATCGAGGGTCGCGATGCCTTTGATTAGGGTTAATTCGCTCTCACCTGGGTATATTCGGACTGCGGCGACGGCAGAAGCGCTTCAGAAGCCAGGGATGGAGAGCCAGTGGGTGGGTGATAATATGCTGTTTCGGTTAAGTACGGCGGATGAGTTCCGGGCACCGGTGCTTTTCATGCTTGGGGATGGGAGTAGTTTTATGACTGGGGCGGATTTGCGCGTTGATGGGGGGCATTGTGCGTGGTAGGGAGGGAGGGGCTTATCTGTGTTTGGTTTAGCATGGTGTGGTATGGTGAGGTATTTAAAAGGGCTTCAATTTGGGATCATATTCTGCTTTTAATATGAAGCAAGAGCTCTGTTTGTTCTAAAGTATAGAATGGGTGACTAGTTACAAACACAAAAGGCACGAGGACGTAGTCACCTGATTTTAATGAAGTGGTTCTTAGCCGCTTTCCTGAGGAAAATGAACGCAATTAAATTCCGCCTGACACTCATCTATCGGTTTAGTGATGCCTTCTATTCCTTAACACATGTCCCAAAACTCGGGATATATCCAGCTTCACCATGGCTGATCGACCCAAACCCGAAACGCAGCTCCCCATCAGCTTCTCAATCTACGAACCCCCATCTGCCTCACCTGTCTCCCAAATACCATGAGGATAATCACCCCTCCAAAAGCTGGGAGCGTAATCAGCCCAGCAGAGCCGAACACCCATCCCGGACCAACTTTATCGTTCCATGGGGCGATGAAGACAGCCGAGAGAACTCCCAAGATAAGCCTCCAAACTCCCATGCCTGCCGACACCTCTGAAACATGGTTCGGGAAACATTCACAGAGATACGTCATTGCAACCGGGAGAAGGGAAATGGCACCGAAAGTGAGGAGAAGAAACCCGAGTGCCAAAAGCACCCAATGGTAATGGTACTCTAAACTAGCACCAAATAAGCCAAGGCCTATGGGAAGCATTATCACTGGGACCCAGAGACAGTGAAGCCGGTATTCTGGGCGCCATTCTGTAGGTTCAATGTCCTGCGACTTGGACTTTCGGTGGAACAGGTATAAAGGAAGTCTGTCGCTGATGAAGTGGCCGTATAATTCCGCGAGTGCGGTGCCGATTGCTTGGGTTAGCGTGACTGTGGTGCTCGGGTTAACGGCCAAAATGAACTAGGGGAGAGACTGAGAGCGTACATGAAGCCATCGAAATCTTTGACATTGCGTATCCACCTTCGTCTCGAGGGGCTTCAACGAAGGTGACACCGAGGATAATGGCCATTGAAGCAAAGCCAAAGTCTACCATCATGAAGAAACCTACGATTATTGACACGGGAGAAAAAGACACTAAGAAGATATCAAAAAGAATGGATACCTTATGAATATCAGCCTAAGTTACGAGTGCTGATAGGGTAAGAATAAGACTCACCATGTTCTTCCAGCTTGCTCTAAGCTGTGGTGGAACCGCTCTTCCACGGATATACATGTTCCATTTTTTTTGTGTAAAGGATTGCCGCACTTGTTCTCCCCCCGCAAATGCTGTCTCTTCAATAAAGACAAGGATCAACAGAGCCAACACCCCATTCATGGGTACAGTGTACCAGAAAGAGATAGGCCACGAAGATCTTGCATCAACATATGCACCTAATGTTGGGCCAATTGCAACCCCCAAGAGGAAAGGAATATGCAGTATATGCAGACATTTCCCTCGCTGATGTCGGAAGTAAGTCCGCAAGACGAATTCGGAGCCAAGGACTAAAGGTACCCCTGCGCAGAGACCGGCGAAGAGACGAGAGATCACGAATGGAATGTAATCCGATGGACTAGTCATCATGGCAGACCATACCGAGCTGAAAAGGATGCCGATGGTTGACCAGAAAAGACAGAAGCAGGAGCCGTACCTACGGCTAAGAGGGACGACTAGGATAGAGGAGACCATGATCCCAATGAGCCCGCATGAGACCTCTTACCCTCAGCAACATGTTGCTATATCAATGTGTGCTACTTACGGAGAGAGAAATCTGAGTAGCCGTCTTGTGATACAGAGGTGCTTGGAGATATGATCCCTGCATGTTCGTCATAGCAGTGGCTTGACTAGAAAAACAAGCAATAGCCCATATCGAAAGTACACGCGCCTTTCTCGAGGGCTTCCAGTTCTGGTTTCGTCAGGTTTTATTCGCTTAAACTCGACAAAGAACATACCAAGGGATCATTAGGGTCATCTGATGGCTGCGGGTCGAGCACGAGCCCATCAGGGGTGGTTTTGAGGCCATGAACAACCTCCTGGGTCTTCTCCTCATCGAACATTGTCGCAAAGTTGATGGCTGAGAGATTGTATTCTGCTTCGATCGAGATTCATGATGGCGGTGGTGCTGGTGAGCCCCTTACATCTGAAGATACCGAGACTTGACATTTGACTTCAACTAGCACCATAGTGTACCGATAAGATGTCTGTCCCTTGATTGCAGGTCTCGGTGCGGTGAAGTTACTCCGTTGCTATCGGAAAAAAAGTTAACAATGAACAATGCAGAGGTCGTGCAGCTGGCCCGAGCTCCAATCCCCTCTCGAGTTGCACTTGCTGCAGTGATACCCAAGCACCCCTCATTCAGCATGAGATAAATATTCTCCTGTTCGTAAGCTTCTAAGCTCCTACCTGTCACTAGAATTAACTTCATATAGGCATTATGACACTAAACGAGACGCCCTTCACCATCGACAACCTTCCCTACGGTGTAATCTCCACCGCGGAGACACCAACTCCGAGATGCGCGACTGTTCTGGAGGACGATGTCATAGACCTGAGTGCACTCGAGAAGGATGGATACTTCAAGTCGATTCCGGGATTCAAAGGCGAAGTCTTTTCAACTGTATCTGATAGACACAAGTCCCTCCTTGATTTTTATTAAACAAGGCCTAATCTCTCTACAGCCAACTTTGAACAAGTTCGCCTCTCTTCCCAAAGAAGCCCACGTACAGACCAGAGCAGCGCTTGTCGACCTTCTCTCCGACAATGATATCCGCAAAAAATATGCTATTCCCCTCTCAAAAGTGCAAAACCACCTCCCAATGGAAACCAAGAACTTCAGCGACTTTTACTGTTCGTTCGAACACACCAGAAACGTACGTCTACCCCATCATCACTCTCTGCATCCAGATACTCAAAACACCAGTGCTCCGAACTATTCTCCATGAAGCCTCCAGCCTCATGGTTTGTCATTCCTTCTGTCTACAACGGACGGCAAAGCAGTCTCCGCATCTCCGGTACTCCTATCCGACGACCCTGGGGCGTGACGCTCGACTCCAACAAACCCAACGACCCACCAGTTTTCAGACCCAGCGCACGCTTCGACTTTGAGTTAGAAATGGGCGTTTACCTATCCAAGCCACTCCCCCCAGGCGAGATCCTCAACATCAACAACGCAAAGGACCACATCTTCGGACTAGTCATCCTGAATGACTGGTCTGCAAGGGATATCCAGACATACGAGATGGCACCACTGGGCCCATTCCACAGCAAGGGCTCGGGAACGAGCATCTCACCATGGATTGTACCTATCGAGGCATTGGAGGGGTCACATTGTAATGCGAGGGCGCAGGACCCGGCACCCTTGAAACACCTAGCATGGAAGGGCAAGGAAAGCGAGGCAACATTCGACATTGAATTGAAAGCGAGGGTTATCAGTAAGCCTTCCCCTCACCGCTCCTCGTCATCGCCCCTCCACTCTTGGGCCACCATGACACGACACTGAGTGATACACAGGAAACGGAAAATCCTACACCGTCACAGAAACAAATCTAAAGGAGCTTTACTGGACTCCGTTCCAGCAGATTACCCATCTCTGTAGTGCAGGCGAGGGTCTCTCAACCGGAGATATCTTCGGCACGGGCACCATAACCAGCGATGTATGTAACACCCCCCTTGTTCTCTACCATCATATTACTATATAGATTTATACAACACTAACTAACAACCAATAAAAGCGCCTCAACGCCCAAGGCGAACAAATCGGAGTCGCCTGCCTCCTAGAGCGAGGACTGAAAAGAAACATCCTCTCCGAAGCCAGCAAGGACGGACTCGAGTTCCTTGCAGACGGAGACGAAGTCATCATGGAAGGATGGTGCGTTAACCGGCTCACGGGGGGTAAATTCGGGTTTGGGGAGTGTCGTAGTATCATCCTTCCTGCTTTGAGGGAGGGATCTTGGGAGTGAGTAGTGAACCATCTAGCTATGCGGGGTCTTTGCCTGCTACGTACGATAGGTTGGAATGCGCATTTCTTATCACATCGACTATCGGCGAAAGTGACAGGCATGGATGGAAATGATGCTATTTATCGAGTCCTAATCTAGTATCTTTCCTATCCGGGTCGAGACACTTGAAATGATCAGACTGTCTACAACCCCAATAATAGTAGTAGCTGATGATTATATTTCCCACTATTTTCAAGTTTAATCATTGGTGAGTACTATTTGGTAGTAGACCATAAGGTAAAAAATCCTCCGAGATAGTTAGTACAATTTCCTCCGACTGGCATTTGCAGTTAGTTACTTTCCTCCCCTGTCTAAGTACTCCTAACCCCCTTGCTGACTAGGCTGACATCAATTTCTTCGGACAATGACCACCCACCAACGAGAAACAGAAACATCTTGGCATCGTGGATAAAGAAAATTGGAATTGAATTTTGAAGAACAGGTGACGATGAGTATTATATAAGGGATAAGAATTAAATTAGAAGATTAATGTAGTAGACACCATTAAGAATTCCCAATACTCATTTCTCTGTGAAACTCCGATATTATTCATTCAGTTATCATGAGATGGAAGAAGTGAGGGGGTGCGGTTTAGGAGAGGAGAGGTCGAGTGTCAAACACGGCTTTATTATTGGGAAAGGAATGAATTTCTTAGTATGGAGGTATTTTTTACGAGTAGTATTTTGATGCGGGATATATTACGGCGACAGGGACTAGAGGGATTAAATGGGGAGCAATCGGAAGGACAGGAACGGCAGAGGAAAAGGGGAAGAGAAAGAGGGGAAAGAAAGCGCGGGGGCGGCCACATATGCGGCATCATCGAACATCGTGTGCTCTTTTCTTTTCAACTACAACCATGTCAAAACTTCGAGGTAAACTTCGGGAAAACACTCGCTTTGAATTCATTCTAGGCTAGAATTTTGATTCTTATGGTCATCAAGCGTTATCATCAACTTTCATCCATCTAAAGACCGATATCCAACTGGCGCTACGAATTCAGGGCATCTCACACGAGGTGGCAGAGACGGTGTGCAACCGCATCACTCATGCTTGGGCTTTTTCGACAAGAGTCAAACCTCCCGCGCCCGTACGAGTCCTCTGGTCGACACGACAAGGCATCGTCCCTGGTCGGAATAAACCGTACTCAGGTGCTGACGATTTTCAGGCGCTGTCGCGGTTGCGTCGATGTACCAAGTTCATCCCAGTGCATTTGCCACTAGGATCCCATCCGTCACCTCCGTTGTGTCTGGCCTCTAGTTCTCGAGGCTGACCTTGACCTTCTTCTCCGGAGGGGGAATGACCTCATCCTCAGCCGCGCCGGTGAGCGTGGGGAGCTCGTTGACGGCTTCCTTGATGATGTCCAAGGCCTTCTGGACCTCCTCATCGGTGATCACCAAGGGTGGTGCCAGACGGATGATGTTTTCGTGAGTCGGCTTAGCCTGGAGGGGAGGTTAGTATTTGACCTGAAATTCAAGGCGACCGCATTAACTTACCAGCAACCCCTTCGTTTTGAGCAGCATGCAGAGGTCCCACGCAGAGTGGCCGTTGGTCTTGGACTCATCAATGACAATAGCATTGAGCAGACCCTTGCCGCGCACCGTCTGGATGATGGGGCTCTTGATGGCCTGCAGACCGTCGCGGAAGACGTGACCGAGCTTCTCGGCGCGCTCGACCATGTTCTCCTCCTGGACGACCTCCAGGGCTCTGATAGCGACCGCGCAAGCCAGCGGGTTACCTCCATAGGTCGAACCGTGGGTGCCCGGCTCGATAGTGAGCATCACATCCTTGCGGCCCAGCACGCAGGACACGGGGTACATGCCACCGGAGATGGCCTTGCCCAGCAACACCATGTCAGGCTTGATGCCGCTCCACTCGTGGCAGAGCAGCTTACCAGTACGGGCAATACCAGTCTGAATCTCATCGCAGATCAACAGAACGTTGTGCTTGTCGCACAGGGCTCTGGCCTCCTGCAGGTAATCCTCGTCGGGGACAACAATTCCAGCCTCGCCCTGAATGGGCTCCACCAAGAAGGCGGCGAGGTTGGGACCCGCCTTCTCGAAGGCCTCCCGCAAGGCGGCCTTATCGTTGTAGGCGATAGGCTTGTCCGTTCCGGGAATGGTGCAGCCGATACCGGGCAGGTAAGGGCCATAGTTCTCGCGCGACTCGGGGTCAGAAGATAAGGAGATAGCAGCGAACTAAACCAGGAAACACCGGTCAGTCTGGGTCAAATTTCAATTACACAGGGCGATATTCCAGTACTTACTGTGCGTCCGTGGAAGTTGTTCTCCGCACTCAGGACCACCGCCTGGTTCTCAGGAATGCCCTTGACCTTATAACCCCACTTACGGGCGATCTTGATACCGGTCTCGACCGCCTCCGCACCGGTGTTCATGGGCAGGACCATGTCGAAGCCAAAGTACTTGGTCACGAACTCGGCAAACCGGGGGAAGACATCGTTGTAAAAGGCACGGGAACTGAGAGTCAAACGGGAGGCCTGATCGACTAGAGCCGCCACCAGCTTGGGGTGGCAGTGACCCTGGTTGACAGCGGAGTACGCAGACAGGAAATCGAGGTATTGACGACCCTCGGGGTCCCAGACTGTGGTGCCCTGGGCACGAGCGAAGACGATGGGGAGTGGGTGGTAGTTGTGGGCAGCGAAGTCTTTCTCAGCCTGGATGGCCTCTTGAGTAGTGGAGGCATGGTAGGAACTGACGCCATTGTGGCCGTTAGTTCCATTGGTACCGTTGGACGCCATGGTTTGAGAGAAGAATCAGGGACAATTTATGGGAGCAGTGATCAGAGGATGAGAGGCTATGAGAGGCTAATATGTGGGAGAGGAAGAGAGATGTGAGAGCAGTAGGAGAGGAAGAGGAAGGACTGAGGGGGTATCTGGGAAGTATAAGATAAGTAAGAAAGAACAGACGAAGCAAAGAGAAGGGGGGAAAGACACGGTATAAGAAGGGTTGAGGCAGGGGAGGAGAGGAGTGCAGCAGTGACAGGAAGGCTTTTACCAATTTGGCTGGCAAACAGACGAATTGTGGTAGACAGGAAATTTGCGAGGCCGAAGCTACACCGTTAAGCGCAGGTGGACGCGGAGAAGACTCCTAAGTGCAGGTGGAAGCGATCATGATGTCTTTCTGACTAAGGCGGGCGGCTCCGCTCCACTTCCTGGTGGCCTGGGTTTTCTGGCCGCCTTCCTTGGAGGTTCTGGGCAGCCACTCATCATCCCGACAATTACTCTTTTCTTTCTCCTCCCACTCAACTTTCGAGAAGACCCACGGAGCGGATCTCGACGCTTGTTATCGGTCCGACCCAGTCCAGACCGAGAACGCGAGATTGATTGGTTGGTTGGCTGTCTGAGAAAGGGACCAAGTGGTATCTTCTGCTTTCCCATTTCCGCTTTCCCCCTGTAAACAAAACTAAACCAACAAAAGATGGCAGATTTATCGTGACCTGTAAACCTTGGCAGTTCACTGTGACTATTCTACATAGTGACTAGTGACTAGTGGCTGCACTGAACTAGTGCTGCACGCCGTGGTACCTTCCCAATCCACCCAACCACTTTCATCACTATCGTCATTTTTCATCCCTGGATCCATAACTTAATCATCCCAGAAAATCTGGGGTGTATGTGTGTGCCTGACTAGTAAATAATTCCCCCGATCATCCATCATGTCTGGGGTTCGTCGTCGGCGGAGAGCCTCTTCTTCAACAGCCTCCTCCTTTTCCTCCCCCTCATCCTTATCGGACAGCGACTACATCGCCGACGCTGATGTCTCCGATCCCGATGCCTCTCTTCTGTATGATTCCTCCTCCCGCTCTGGTCACCTGAGGCCATCCTCTTTGTCTTCCTCCTTCTTCCCCTCCTTATCCTCCTTATCTTCCTCCTCCGCCTTCCTCCTTTCCACCCCGCCATCCTCGCTTCGCATCTTCCTCTTCCTCGTCGCCTTCCGTCTGGTCAACGCTTGGACCGTTCGGACCTTTTTCCAACCCGATGAGTTCTTCCAATCTCTCGAGCCCGCTTGGCGGGCCGCATTCGGAGACGACCATGCGCCTTGGATCACTTGGGTGAGTTCTCCCTTTCCATTGGAGCATTCCGCTCTGTACCTCCCTGCATCTTCCAAGAAACCCGGTGTCATCATCACAACTCTTCAGCCAATCTGCTGGGGCTCTGCAAGACTAATAATCAATGACGACGTCCTTGTGCAGGAATGGCGCCACCAGCTGAGATCTTCCCTACACCCTCTTCTCTTTACCGCTGTTTATGCCACTACCGATCTGCTCGCTCGCCTACTCCACATTTCCCCTGCATGGCAAGCGGAATGCCTAGTTGTCGCCCCCAAGGTTGCCCAAGCCGTTATCGCTGCCGTTGGTGACCTATATACCTGGCGATTGGCTTGTCGCGTGTATGATTCTATGTCTCACGAGGCCTGGGCTGCAGTATGTCTCAGATCTCCAGCCAGCATGCGTCTCATCAGGACTAATCACAGAACATAGCTGGCATTGACCATCGTGAGTCCTTGGCAATGGTTCTGCTCCACAAGGACCTTGTCGAATTGCCTGGAAACCTCCCTTACCATTGCTGCTCTTTATCTGTGGCCATGGGTATGGTCGTTGGATCCCTCAACCACCACCCAACCAAAAGGGTCGCCCTCACGTAGCCTCAAGCCCCAGCCGGACGAGGACCAGTCTGACACGGCTGTCCTGAGCAGGTACGACCTTATATTTTCACCCAGCTTTGTGAAAATGCACTAACTCTATCTCTGGGGATAGGCTTCGACGATGCCTTGTGCTGGCGGCTGTGGCATGTATACTGCGACCCACCAACGTTCTGATCTGGATGGTACTTGCTAGCCTGTTGTTGTACCGGAGCACTCCCCTTCGACGGGCGACGCTTGTCCGCGAAGCTCTACTCTGCGGGTGAGCTTAACGGTTCCCTCCATTTGTTTCAATTACGCAACTACTTCTAACACTCTTACAGCTCAGCTGTTTTGGCGGTGTCAACTACAGCAGATCGGTTCTTCTACGGATTCTGGACTTTCCCACCCCTACGATTCCTGTACTTCAACCTTGCCCAGTCGCTGGCGGTCTTCTATGGAAAGAATGATTGGCACTACTATTTGTCTCAGGGGCTTCCCCTCCTCTTGACTACAGCCTTGCCCTTCGCCGTTGTGGGCTTATACCATTCGTTAACCCGACCGCGATCGGGTGAACTCAGCGAGTTGCAGGCTTCGATGCAGGTTCAGCTTGCTTCGGTGTGCCTCATAATGATCATTGGACTGTCGCAGATATCGCACAAGGAGGTGCGGTTCATTTATCCATTGCTGCCCTCGCTGCACGTCCTCACTGCACCTGCTCTGGTAAATTTCTTCCGCCCCGCGGTCACGGCGGGAAGTCAGAGACACACCCCCAGACGGCTCACCTTGGTTTTCTTGCTACTGGCGAACGCCGTCATTGCACTCTATACGACAGTCATCCATGCATCCGGCCCAGCGGCCGTGTTGTCCTACCTTCGGGACCAGCGACAGTTCCATGGTTCCAACGATATGACCGATACTTCTCAGCCCGGGATCACAGCCGGGTTCCTCATGCCTTGCCATAGCACTCCTTGGCGCTCACATATGGTCTACCCCACCATCAGCGCCTGGGCACTATCCTGCGAGCCTCCTGTCGGCCTCGACGCGTCCGAGAAAGCTACGTACTTGGACGAGGCGGACCAGTTCTACGCCGATCCTGAGCAGTTTCTGCGCACGAACATGGTTGGCGGTCTGCGCAGATTCCCTCGAAGGCCATCCTATGACAAGTATAATTGGAAATCTTCGCAGTTGCCCACACAGTACCAGTCCAAAACCCCGCACGAATGGCCCGATTACCTCATCTTCTTCGCCCAACTCGAACCCACCCTACAGAGTCTCCTCCGCTTCTCCGCTTATAAGGAATGCCACCGCACCTGGAACACCGCCTGGCATGACGACTGGCGCCGTCGGGGCGATATCGTCGTCTGGTGTGTTGATCCGTCCGAACAAGCCGCGCGGGACAGTGTGTACATACAACGCCAACGCGAGAGCCGAGATCTCCACTTCGATCGCATCGTGCAAGCTTTCACTAAGCCCACGCACAAGCAACGTCTAACGCATTTCTGGAAATCCATATTCTCAAGCCAGTCCCAATCGTCCTGGTCGTGGTCATGGCCATGGCAGCGCCGCAAACGCACAACTATTTTTGGGTTTGAGTTGCCGGCCTGGCCGTTCTCAAAATCGTCAAGAAAATCATCATCTTGGTCATTTCCCGCCTGGGAAGAGCTGAACCGGCGGATGAACGATCGGGCAAATTGGGCTTAGTAACTTGATGCGTGCACATATAGTCGGGAAGATATGATCTATGTTACTATACTAAGCTGTATATTCATCTGTGAACATTTTGGAATAATACCTCGGATACCTCTGCATAGTTTGATACGGAAGATTTTGTTATGTTGTATCCTATTTAAAGTACCATATACCATATACCAAGTCGCTATATAATTGAATTTTGCCCTGCTATCATCCAAATATATATCCAACAACCACTAGAAACGTTTTATCTCTATGCAACAATCTCCCCGATGAAGTGAACAGAGCAAGAAGGAACCACTATATACTTTTCCACCACAGAAAAAGCCGGCTGAAAGTAAAAATAGAAAATGAAGAAAGATATAAGTAGTTGATACTCAATGATCGCACCACCAGACCAACTACAAAGCAAATATAGGAATATAGATATATACCGCGTAAACCCTCAAAAGCATAGAAACAAAAACACAGGCAACGCCAAAAATGCAATCAGCTAAACTAATCTACTTTACACTCGCCTCACCAAGCTCCAGATTCCCTTCCAGGCCAGATAAAAATAGTGGAAGTCCCGAGCGTCGACGAGTTCACAAGTAAAGGCACAAGGGCTATATATAAGATCAAAGGAAGAATGTGCAATAGATAGAAGATATATAGATTTGATCCAAAAGTGAAAGATAAGGGATGAACACTATCCATATCGTGCACTCAAGCTGGCAAATGCATCGGGACTGTGTCGTCCGCTTTGGAAGCCGTTGATATCGACGCTTTGCTGGCTCATGTGGCCTCGTGGGAAGCCGGTGGGCTTATTGGGCATTCCTCCGTAGACATTGAGTGTTTGTTGTTGTTGTTGCTGTTGTTGCTGTTGTGGGGGTGGGGCGGTGGTGGTGAGGTAGGGTGTTGTTACTTGTGCGGTGGTGGTTGGGACCGAGGAGGGAGCTCCTGGTTGGGGAGCTGTGGTGAAGAAGGGGTTGCGGGTGCCGCTTGCTGAGAGGGGGTCTGTGAGGGGGTTGCTCTGTTGTTGTTGAGGTTGCTGCTGCTGCTGCTGCTGTTGTTGTTGTTGGGGCATGATGTTGAAAGGTTGTGATTGTTGTTGTTGCGGCATGGTATTGAAGGGTGAGGGCTGGCCGGTCTGAGTGGGAGGGTTCACGGCCGTGGAAGGTCGGTATTGTGGTTGTTCTGGGGTGGCGGAAGGTTGCGGGGAGAATTGATAGAGGGAGAGGATGCTGTTCTTGTCGACGCGGCCGGTGGGCTGCGGCGCTAGATGCTGTGCGGATGCTTGATATCCGTATTGCGGTTGCGCCAGGTATCCTGCGTTCTGGGGGGTAGCTGGCGCGGTCATGGTTTGATAGGGGTTCAGAGACCCTTGCGGTTGTTGCAGATGCTGCTGCATTTGGTATTGGGTTTGCGGTTGTGGTTGCGCCTGGGGTTGAGGCTGAGACTGAGGCTGGGACTGAAGCTGCGATTGGAAGGGAGAAGGCTGGCCGAAAGGCGATGTGGAGGGCATGACAGGCATGGTGTTTGCGTGTCGAAGGGGGCCGAATGGGGAATTGGATGCAGCCTGGTTCTGAGGTGGTTGCTGCATCCCTGTCGGCTGCGGTGCAACCTGACTGAAGAAGGGGTTTGTCTGGGCGAGATTGGACGCGGGAGGGGTCATGCTGGCCTGCGGCTGAGCTCCGGTCTGGAAGAAAGGATTGTTGCCACCGTCTAGTGGCTGCGGAGAAGAGACATATGGGTTCTGGGCAAAGTTCGTGGGAACCGGGGGCGTCGCCGTCTGCTGGTAGAGAGGCTGAGGGAGCGAGACCTGCCGCATTGGATAGCCACCGGTGGAGTGCGGAAACAAGGGCTGCGCGACCTGCAGGTTCTGGAAAGACTGCTCCAGCGCTTGCACAGGGGCCTGCTGGGCCTGCGGCTGAGACTGCACAGGTGCATCGAACGGGTTGTAGCTCCCACTTGCTTGGCGAGTAGCGGGCCTGGCATCCAGTTGATCGAATGGATTGGAAGATTTGCCAGCATCAGGAGTAGGTTGCGCAGCCGGAGACTTGGCAAGCGAGATAGATCCATTGCCTTCTCCCAGCCTCACTAACGTCTCGATGGTCTTGTCTAGATTGCCGTCCAGCTCGCGGAGGGCGATCGCGTTGCGGCGCTCGTTCGCGAAGCCCATATCCCGTAGGGTTGCCAACTTCGCATCAAACGACGCATCTCCCGAGCCTTTCCTCACTGATATTCCCGACGCACCGAAGCTATCCGACTGTGGTGAGATTGCCGAACCTCTGTTGGACATCCGGTTGAGGTTGGTCGCAGATGAGGCGGACCGAAGACCAAAGCCAAAGGGCCTGGCAGGCTTGGGAGGGAGGGGAGGAGGAGAGCCTTCCGGAGACCGGTCCTCTGCGCGGGGTCTATCGTAGTCCGAATCATGACGACTGGGAGGCTTTTGTTTCACCTCGTCGAGGGAGCGGTGCTGGTATTTCTGGCGAATGAAGCGTTCCATGCATGCGTCGGACTCGTCCACGTCGGTCGGAACAGGCGGCTTGACGTTCTTAGGGTTGTAGATCTTGTTCATGATGTTGTTTCCGTGCGATTTCATATTCTAGACAATCCCACCGGTTAGCGATTTCATTCTCTGGCTGCGAAATGTATCCCGGGATCACTATGACAACTCACATCGACCTGATCGTCCGTCCATGTATCCATGCTCAAGGATTTGACCTTGGAGATATGTGTGCCCAGCTTGCGATGCAAAGAGGCACATCGCATGCAGATAAAGATACCAATCTATTCATGTATTCCGATCAGTATATCCTGTCCTTCCTCACAAAACGAAAGAGTTCACTGCATTGCATGTATGTATGTATGAATCGGGTTGACGAGAGACGTACGTTCCAACTAGCCCATCCTATACCAAAGAAAACAATCCATTAGCACTCTGCACATAGAATAAGACATACGGCGACGCAACTCACCTGGATTCAAGGCCTGACAATCGGCACAGCGGTCATTTCCAGGGACCGACCGAATGAGGTCCTGCAGCGCCCGCTCATTGCGGAACTGCTGCCGTTTGCTAATTCCGGCCACCATGATCGCAAGACTCTAACAGAATGGCGGGGTATCTTGCGCGACGACAGGGGTGGAATTCCGGTCTCACGAACCCCAAGACAAGGAGAGGGGGGAAGAAGGAGTGAGATGTAGGGGGGGGAGAGGGGAGGCGAGTTTGGGAAAAAGTCTCCAGCGAAGCAACAGCACGAGCCGAGCTTCCGGAACGGGGGATTCGGGAAAACCTTCAAGCTGAGAGGCAAAGCATATTTACACCAGGAAAAGCGTCGGGAGATACACAGCAAGAGTAGTCGACGAGGAGGAGGAACAGGGGGGAATTGGGCAGGGAAACAAGTAAAAGGAGCTGGCCAGGGATGAAATGAGGAGAGTGAGAGAGAGAGAGAGAGAGAGAGAGAGAGAGAGGAGTCAGTCGGCGGAGAGTAGAGGTGGGGAGCAGAAGAGCAGCGACGATGGATTGATTCAGTTAGAGTCCCACGATATTAATAGTTGTCCGTTTGCCGGCCCAATTCGGCCCACGTTGTCTGCTGTTTGGAAATAACTAGATAATAGATAGTAGATAAATATCTACGAAGGAAATATTTATCGGAGTGATGGCGCAGATGCCCAGAAGTCTTAAATGCAGAGCAAGCAATACATAAAAGGATAGGAGAAAATCAAGCGTCCGGGTGGCATCAGGGGCAGCACCAGCACCAGCAGCCCCCAATGGCTGGCTGCAAAGCAACGCTTGGAACTTTCGACCCCAACCAGCCAGGATTGTTAACACTCAGTCCTGTTCCTGGTGTGGAAACTCTATTCATCATGATTTGGCAGCAGTCACGCCAATGAGACACCCCTCCCCCCCCCTCTTGCCTTCGAATAACGTTATGGAAGCAATTCAATGCCCCATTCCACAGTAGTAAGTAGTTAGTAGTACTGGACTTTCTGCATGGATCCCGGGACGCGTCATGGAAATCCCACGGCCCGAAGCAACCAAAAGGACCCTGAGAAGCCCCAATTATGCGAACTGACAGCAAGGCAACTGTTGTTGCAGTGGTGTCGCTGATCCTGCACTCGCTCGGTGCATGCATCTGGTTCATTCTACATCTACGATCATATCACACTCCATACCTAATTCAGATTTGTCGATAGGGAATGTATGAGCAGCAGGTGACTCCGACCACCATTGCACAGACGAGCTCCGAGGAGGAACTCAGTGCGGTAGGGGAGTCAATTATGCCCGGGGTAAAGGGTTACTCTAGTACGCCAATATGACCTGCCATCCTATGGTCAATTAAGAAGGAATTGGAGGTTGATTATGCGTTCGTGAGGTATGAAAAGTGTAATAATAAGAAGGAAAGAAAGTGCGCGGAACGAAAGGATTTTTATATGGGTCAATGTCATAGTGCGGCACGTGATTGCTCCTGGAGTGGTAGTGGCCTCAGGTGTCACTGTGGTGTGGATATCCCAGCCATTGGCATTATTTCACGGTGCATCATTACACAGTAGAAATTGTTGCTATACACATCCAGCCAGTTTAGTCTATTCATAAATATACTACACGCTTGCGTCAATCACAAAGTCCCGTTCCCCATTCCCCCCGCCGACGGATACGTCTTGAGCAAGTTCACTGTAACATGGTCCGTGGCCAAACGGTGTCGCCAGACTCCATCGCATCTATCCAATGTAGCCCTCCCTGTTCTTCCCTTAACACCGTGATGATAGTTAAAGCGGTGCCAATGCCCATCTCCCGACCAATCACGTTGAAGCATCTCATAGCCCAGTTATGCATCGGGCTTGAAGCTCCGCCAACAAGTGCGGCCATGGTCAGTGGCAGAAGCATGGTGAACCCTGTGCCCGCATAGGTATGCGGAGAATCAAAGACATTCTTGCTTTCATTGCCAGCAACTCCGAACTTGAAAGGAACAGAGCAGCAGATGTCTGTCGCTAGCTGCCTCATCAGATCACGAATTCGAATACAATGGGCCTTGAAGAGGCCATAGTCTAGTACTTGATGGCCACCCAATGCCATGGATTGCAGATGGGTCAGGATCATGTTGTTAACGAGGATTCGGATGTAGCGGTAGTTGTTCCAGATATTGCAGGACCAGACGGATTGGTAAATGTGATAGGTCCCTCGGTAATGGCAGAAATTGCCCTTTTCGTACTCGCAGGATGACACACTGCCCGGCTGTGTCTCGACCTTGTAGGTGAAACTGGCTGAAACATTACTAGCGAATTGCTCTAGCTCCAAGTCTATGGCCATGGCCATCTTTACAATCTCACTGCTGTTCGAGAGAATTCCTTCTCTGACATCAGCCTGAAGCCCGGCGAACTTAGCCATGACCTTAACTAGTCGATCTCCGTCAGTTGGGAGAGGATACGACGCCAGGTCGGTAGCTACTTGATCAGGCATATCGATCAGGACAGAAGGGAGTCTCGTTTTCTTTTGTAGGCAACCAAGGAGCTGGAAGGGTCATTAGCCAGATTCTGAATAAGAGACTTGGATAACACCCACCACCTCATTTCGGAGGGCTTGAAACATCCAGAACCCGCCTTCGCGCCGAAGCTGATCTCTGCCGCGAAGTTCAAGGACAGTTGCCACCCCCTGTGAGTGTTCGATCCAGGATTGCAGGCTCTCATTTCTCTGGCAAGCAATAATCTTAATAAACCAGTCAGCCATATGCTCTGTCAATGGTCAAAGTCAAACTCACCTCGTATAATGATAAGCAAACGATCGCGGTCAGCGTGGTATCTGCTGTAACCAGTTTCGGATCGCATAAGGCTGAGTTTGTCAGCTGCAGAGCCTTAGTATACTCGCGCCGAGCCGACAACCGCATTGACGAGGACCTCTGCATACTAGCAAGATTCGCTAAGCCCACGGATGCAATGCTAGCCATCATAGCTTTCTGGCCAAGGGACTCAGCGGAGCCGGCACCATGTTTGAATGAGGTCTCCACCGTGTTAGATGCATTGAACCACGTGTACGTGTTCAGGAAAAAGCATGTGGCTTGGAAGGTATGATCCAACGCAAAGTTAACTATCGCTAGGGGGAACCGCAGAGGGTAGTGTCCAGGATTTACTTCCTGGGAGGTATTCCGTCTTGCTAGCGTTAGAACCGAAGGCTCCGTGGAGGAAGATTCTTTGTCTAAAGTGGCAGATCTCTTGACTCTTCGGGCTACTGCATCGCTCTCGTCTCTAAACCATACAGAGTGCGGGTCTCGATAGCCGGAACAACTCCGCCTTGCTTTTCTACAACGACCGCAGACTGGTCTAGCTTCATCGCACTAGGAGCAGTGATCAGATCAGATGGAATGGGTGGAAGGCGCCGGTGTCTTCGATACGATGATAGGATGGTGGATCATAGACAAGGCCATACTACTTACTTTGACTCTCCTCGCACGACACGTACCACACCCTCCGCTTGGTTTGCCCATCACGAGTGAGGAGCCGCATGTAGACTGGGATGGTCGTATCACACGCGATGCCTAAGTAGCGTAATAGAAGGGTATAGCAAGCTTGACATACTGCGGCCCCAACATGCAGGTCCTTTCCAGACTGAGCTTCGGGGAGCAAGATAGATAGATGAAGTTCGTATTGAGGGATCACCAAACGCCACGAGTCCAGCGAAGCCCCAGTCCGGTGGGGTTGGTCTAGCCGCATTTGGAAAGCAGGGCGAGCAATACCGTGTTCTGATTGGACCTGATGTCCATCCATGATATCGTCGTTGAAATATCCATCAAGTTTGCTCCATCTGGCCTTCATTATGGCCTTTGGTTGGGCAGAACGATATGGCTAAGCATAGCCTCAAGCTCCCGATAGACGCTTGTTTGAGGTACATTCCAGGAAAGCACAGCCTTGTGGGTGCAGGTATTGGTACCGTGGAGAAAATATGTGATTATAGCAGTCTTCAACAGGGGAGATAACGGTTGCCTGGAATTGTTATATAACTTGCCTCTCCTCTATCGACATTCCAATGAAGCAGATTGTTCTGAAGTCAACACTTCTTCTCTTCTAGCCCATAAGAGACACTGACTCGTTGTTCGTCTCTCTATCGCAAGCATGGCCGTCAACTACCGACATGGTCTCTCCATTCTGGAATTGATCGTATACTTCCCGTCCCTATTCGTCTCGTTGTACATGGGCTTCCGTCATGGCTTCCAGAGAAACGCTGGCTGGGTTCTCTTGATAATCTTCTCCTTGGCCCGCATTGTTGGTTCGTGCTGCTACCTGGCCACGATAGCCCACCCTGAGACCATCGACCTTTATATCGCATGGGGAGTTTGCACTTCCATCGGACTTGCCCCTCTGATTTCCACGTGCATCGGTCTCTTGTCCCGAGTGTACGTGTCATTCTGATCTGCTCTAAGTCGTCAAGAAACTAACCAGTCCCTCGTACTCCAGTAACGATTCCATTCAACGAAAAAGCGGACGCGGCCTCCTTCCAGCCTTCTTCAGATTAGTCGGTCTCCTCACACTGGCGGGCATGGTCCTTTGTATTGTTGGTGCAAGCAAGAGCTCGAGCCTTCAGGGAATCACGAACAGTACAGAAGCCAAAGTTGGCGACGTTCTATACGTCATCGCATGGGCCTGTCTCTGTGCCCTGCTACTCGTCGTCGGAAGCAAGTATGGAAGCATTGAGGATGGCGAACATCGCTTGGTTTTGGCAGTCGGAATCTCAGTTCCGTTGCTTCTCGTGCGCCTCATATACTCCCTGTTGTCGGTATTCACGCACAACCCCACGTTCAACATGTTGACCGGAAATGTCACTGTCTTCCTGGTCATGGCTGTTCTGGAGGAGATCGTGATTGTTGGGATCTGTCTGGGAGTTGGGATGACTCTAGAAGTCCGTCAACGCACGACAGAGTATGAGGCCTGCGAGGCACCGGCTCAGGGAGGTCCTGAGCTCGAGTCTCAACAGAGACCTGAGATGATGTCGTACAACTCCGGAAAACAAGAACGGAGGAGAAGAAAGAGACGTGGTGGACCTATTAGCCAGCTCATCGGATTGGCCATCGATGCGACCAGATCTAGGAAGCAGTGAGGTCTCAGTTGTACTGAGCATTGCTGTTAATGATATGTATCTAAGTCGGGTGATAATGATATTTCGAAGGAACAAAATCTTTTGACATTTCTAATGACATGTCAGTCGCATAGACATATATTTCCTCTCGCCTGAGGCTCGCAACGACTTGGCACAGTAAACCAGGCCATACTTAGTATATAGGCGATAGGTATAGCACCAGACATTGATGGCACGCACTCAGTCACTCCAACCAGCCCATTAACGTAAAATAGCATGCTGGAGCCATATATGTAGCAACAGATGTTCAATGCTGAAGAGTCTATGAAAGTGCCAGACAGCCTGCCAGTATGTAGATAGCTGTATCCCTATCGAGCAATAGGAGCAACCATACTCGCTTAGGCTAGCGTTTACATCACATGACCTAAAGCTTAAGCGAAAAGACCAATTTTCTCCCCAAATTTCCCTCACTCACCGTTTCCCCCTTCCTTTACAGTCACTCAACCTGCCTTCAACCCTCAGCCATAGGGGGTCTGGAATATGATGAACGATTCCTTCCCATGTCTGTTGGTTGAAGCGTCTACATTCACTGTAGAAGATCGACTGCAGAATGTTTGCAGCATCATTCAGCTGTTTATTGTTTTCTGCCATTTTTGTCTCGCTTTTTCTTTTCTCGTAGCACAACGAAAACCACACAGTGCGCTTCTAGCCTTTTCAATGGCGAAGAGGCATACTTTTTTTCAAGTTCGTTCAGTGGAAGATCAAAACCAAACAGTTTTTAGCAGAGCTGCGTCTACTCCACCCTGGTGTTCGCTTTTATCGGACGGCAGGACTATTTTTACGACGGACATCCTGAGTTTATCTCTACCTTTTTTATTTGTAGCTGTGCATATGTGGTGTGCGGTACGTAGATCTGGCAGACCAGAATAGGTGTTTCTTCGTTTGTACGGAAAGCATTCCGATGAAGGAGTGGACAAGTTCCGGTGCTACTGAAACGGGTGCTTTGCGCCCTGTGGAAGTACGAGCCAGTTAAGGCCCCTTGCTTCTGGTCGCTCCTCGTCCTACCTGTCTGGGGATGATCGTTGCTGCAGCTCTGAGATCAATCAAAGAGGAGCTGAAGCTATGGTTGATGACCGGACATGCTATTTTTTGCGGTCGCCAACGTGTCCGACTATATTGGGGGCCAAGCTACCATAGCAACTGATAATGATAAGCATCAAGGCCTAGTTATTTATCAGAAGCGGTGTTTGTAAGAGAGCTCTGTTCAGCAGACTTCTAGAATGGTTCTGAAGGGCTGATAGCAGTTATCATAAGAGCCAGACTCCAGAGCTGAGTAATGGGAAGATTCTGGACGGATAAAAGTTTAGTAATAGGAACCAGTTGAAGGGAGAAGGCAGTGGGTGGCCCGGAATTTACCGCGGCTCAGAGAGCAAAGAAGCAGGTGAGACCAGCGAGTCTCTGCCAAAGAGAATGTTCCTGTTAATAATATGGCAACGGACCCGCCCGCGGACCCAGAAACGAGCGATAGACTAGTCGCATCGGTTATGATCGTTGCATGGAGATGGGCTGCTTGCCCCTCCTGAGAGCTCTGACCTCTGACCTCTCAACTCTCAACTCAACACGCAAATCACTGTCAATCGACCAAACAATGGCTCAGTCAATCAATGCTCTGTGGCACTCTGTAGGAATCAAAGACTCGTAGACTGAGATTGGAGCCATGGGTCGGGAAAAGGGCCATCTTGCCACGGACAGGTTCCAATTGCCGGAGATCGGGTCACCCAATTCTGGTCTCCTCACTCACAACCAACTCCAACTGGCAGTTGCCCGCGGACTAAAGAGATTCACGGCGCCTGAAATGCGGAGAGTGACTTGCTGACTCAAAAGATTCGGCCCAGAGCTCGTCAATCTGCGTGTTGCCATTGGTGCGCCGTGCCTGGACAACGGACTCGGCATAATACTAAGTCGTTTGTGGAGGAAGTCGCTGGAAGTGCTGAGGAGAACATTCGCAGCCTATTAGTATCCCTGTCTTCGTCTCCTCTTCTGTCTTTCTCTCCCTCTCCCCTTCTCCTCCCTCCTACTTTACTGTCCTTCCCTTCTCTTCCGTCTTACACCCGAGGTAATCCATCTGTCCCTGGGTTTTCTTCATCCATCCTCCGTGTACATCCAATTCACCCCTGAGCATTCGTCTCCTTCCCTTTACATTCTTTCACAATGGCATCGGCTGCTAGAACGGCTTCCCGGGCCTTCCTTCGCTCGACCCCCGCTACCTCTTCCTTCAGACCTGCTGCTCGCAGTGCTCGCTTTGCCCTCCCTTCTCAGGGCTTCCGTGCTGCCTCTCGCCGCGGCTATGCATCTGAGGCTGGCGAGGCCAAGTCCTCTAACAGCCTCCTCTGGGCTGGTATTGCCGCTGCTGGTGGTGTTGGCGCCTACTTCTACCTGAAGGGTGGTGATGCCTCCGTCAGCTCCAAGGAGTTTGTCCCCACCAAGGAGGACTACCAGAAGGTGTACGATGCCGTTGCTCAGCGTCTCGCCAACGAGACCGACTATGACGATGGCAGCTATGGACCCGTAAGTGACATACACCATCTAATGAGCTTGAGCCGTTGAGTACCTGGGAAGCTGACACACGTTGTTGAATAGGTTCTTGTCCGTCTGGCATGGCACGCAAGCGGTACTTACGACAAGGAGACTGGCACTGGTGGAAGCAACGGTGCCACCATGAGATTTGCCCCCGAGTCCGACCACGGCGCCAACGCTGGTCTCAAGCACGCCAGAGACTTCTTGGAGCCCATCAAGGCCCAGTTCCCCTGGATCACCTACTCCGACCTCTGGACCCTGGCTGGTGCCTGTGCCATCCAGGAGCTTGGTGGCCCTGCCATCCCCTGGAGACCTGGCCGTCAGGACAAGGACGTTGCTGCTTGCACCCCCGATGGACGTCTCCCCGACGCCACCAAGGAGCAGTCGCACATCCGTGACATCTTCTACCGCATGGGATTCAACGACCAGGAGATCGTTGCTCTGGTTGGAGCTCACTCCCTTGGTCGCGCCCACACTGACCGCTCTGGCTTCGACGGTCCCTGGGACTTCAGCCCTACCGTCTTCACCAACGAGTTCTTCCGTCTGTTGGTTGAGGAGAAGTGGCAGCAGCGCAAGTGGAACGGCCCCAAGCAGTTCACTGACAAGACCACTGGTACCCTGATGATGATGCCCGCTGATCTTGCCCTGACCAAGGACAAGGCGTTCCGCAAGTACGTCGAGCTCTATGCTAAGGACAGCGACCTCTTCTTCAAGGACTTCTCCAATGTGTTCGTCAAGCTCCTTGAACTTGGTGTCCCCTTCAAGACTGAGGACCGCTATGTCTTCAAGACCTCTGAGTAAATACTCTGCAGGTCTTTGTGAATGTTCTGGGTTCGGTTTGTTTCAGGGTTTTAGCTGCGGAGCATTGTTTTCTCTTGTTCACATTTTGATATCCGACATGTTCTCGATCGATGTTCGACGACCATAGCATGCGTCTTAGACAGGCATGTCTTGCCGCGGGGCAATATACCATACAGGGGTGGAACTATCTAGAAGATTAGATCAATAAACCATCCATTGAAGATTCAGAGAATACCTTGTAACATGGCCGTACTCAGTACCTCATTAGCGAACATGCTGCGGTATATGTATCACCCCTAGTAGTCGAACAGGCTAATTACCTACTATTGATCGCTCAACCCACAAGGCATCCGCTTTCTTACCATCGATGTCAATATAACAAAAGAATCTGTCCGACATTGCATTCCATCACGTAGCACAAGGTATCGTGGTTGTCACGCCGAGTCGGCATCCCTCCGTAAGTGCACAAGAAGTGGCGGCAGTGCGGAGCCGACGAGAAAGTCTTTCAATCTCCGAACTCCAACCGCCGCATCTCAAGCACCCAACCCAGAGCCCACCAAAGCCTTCATCTCCCAAGATACAAAACAGACTGAATGGAACAATAACTATATACCAAATCAACTTATCCTCGGCGAAGGAACCAACCCTCCTACCAACCCGCGCAAAAAAGCCATCTACATCTGCCGCACCGCAAAACCCAACCCACCATGACCAGATCCAACGACCCCCTCACCCAAGACCACTACGAAGTTCTCAATCTCCCCTTCACAGAGACGCCAACAGCACTCTCCAAACAACAGCTCAAGACAGCTTATCACAAAGCCCTACTAAAGCACCACCCGGACAAAGCGCCCGGCGCAATCGCAAAAGATGTCCAGACCAGCAGCCATCCTACATCAGACACAAACTCCTCCTCGCACACGACCCATCGCTACACAATAGACGAGATCACAACCGCATACAAAACACTATCTGATCCATATCTACGCGCTGAATACGATCGGTCGCTGCGACTCGATCGCGCTAGGGTCGCGGAGCGGGAGAAGACGGGCACGGTTTTCCATACGGGGCTGGAGGTCGTTGATCTGGAGGATCTGGCGTGTGATGAGAGTGATGCGGATGCTGCGCTTTGGTATAGAGGGTGTCGGTGTGGAGATGAGAGGGGATTTTTGGTTACGGAGCAGGATTTGGAGAGGGAGGCAGAACATGGGGAGATTGTTGTGGGTTGTCGGGGGTGTAGTTTGTGGATGAAGGTTTTGTTTGCTGTTGAGGATGGAGATGAGGAGGATACTTGAGTGGTGCTGTGGGATATGTGTGATGTATGATTGGTTTTGTCGCCTTAGGGCGTGGATGGATGGATTCTTCGCTCGGGGTATACCTGTGGGATGCCTTGGTCGCGATCGTTGTGACCAGCACTTGGCTGGCAGGGTATGGTGATGGTGCATAAGCCCACGAGTGGCACTGTGCGGTGCGTACTCTGTGTCGTCCGAAGAACTCTTCGAGGATAGGCTCGTGGTGAGCCATGATGCCTGCCGCACCGGACGCTGCTGGTCAAGTCGCATCTTGATCTGTGTCCACCCTTTCAGAGGCGGTCGGGATACTGCTCGTGGGTTGATGCAGTGCCCTGGATACTTATATTCTTGTGGTAAGGATGGTTTATTCTGACGCTGTTGCTATCACCTCCAGGTCTACCTGCATTAAGACCTAAGCCACAGAGTCAAGATATGATATATGAGATATGAGAAACGTTGAGAGTATAGACTACAGAATAGAAATTGCCGGATACATAACCTAACAAACATTTTATTACAACAAGTTATATCTTGGAGTTGACAAGTCTTCACCATATACATCTCATAGTAGTACTGCTGTAGGTGGGCGGCGGGGGCGTTGATGACATATCGGCAATATATCTCCAGTCCCTAACAGTAACCACCACCGCAGCTCACCAAACCACCGCCAACCTCCTTCCATCTCCCTTCGCGTCCTTCACTACGCGACACACACCTCCACCATGTCGACACTCGTGCAAATCAACTCACGCGAGCAATTCAGCTCTCTATTGAGCTCCTCCACCTTTGTTGTCGCCGACTGTGAGCTCCCATCTGCTATCCCCCACCTTCCCCTCCCCACCACCATCACCACCCATTCACTCGCAACGTCACTCCATCTCCTACACTCAAACAGACCTCACAAAGAGATACAAACTAACCCATCGAAACAAACACAGTCTACGCAGATTGGTGCGGACCATGCAAAGCCATCGCCCCCGCATACGAGCAGCTAGCCGGGCAGCTCTCACGCCCGAACAAGATCACCTTTACGAAGATCAACGTTGACAAGAACCAAGACATCGCAAGACAGTATGGGATCACAGCGTACGTGCCTATCCCACATCCTACAAACCCGACCAAGCAAACTACAATACAGCTACTAACCCCTACTCAAGTATGCCCACCTTCGTCCTCTTCGAGCGCGGCCGCCCAACCTCCACCGTCCGCGGCGCCAACGCCAAAGAGCTCAACGACCTCGTGCGCAAGCTCGCCACGGAAGCCGAAAAAGCGCCCGAAGGTAACGAAGCCGGCTCCAGCAGCGGCGTGGGCTGGATCGGCCTTCCGGCACCCAAGAACTACAGCGATATCTCGGACCAATACGACCCCAAGGGCCTGGAGCTACTGAACCGGGCGAGCGAGTTCGGCACAGCCAAGACGCTCTTCGATAGCTCGAAGCCATCCTCCCTGAACAACGCCAAGGGCAAGGCCGGGGCCGCACCGGATTGGGTGGAGAGTGATACAGACGAGCAGTTGATGCTGTTCATCCCGTTCCAGTCTACGCTGAAGGTGCATTCGTTGCAGATTACGTCGCTCCCGCCGTCAGCGGAGGAGGAGGTTGAGGATGAGGATGAGCGGCCGATGCGCCCCCGGACGGTGTCGTTGTATACGAATCGGTCGCATGTGTTGGGCTTCGATGAGGCGGATGATATCCCTGCTGTGCAGACGGTTACGATTCAGCCGGAGGACTGGGATCCCAAGACGGGTACGGCCAAGGTGGATTTGCGGTTTGTCAAGTTCCAGAGTGTTACGTCGTTGGTGATTTTCTTTGTGGATGGGGATGGAGATAGTGAGAAGTTGCGGGTTGATCGGGTGAGGATCTTTGGAGAGGCGGGTGAGAAGAGGGAGATGGGTAAGTTGGAGAAGATTGGTGATGAGCCGGGGGAGTGAGCAGGACATACGAGTACAAGGATGGAGTAGATATATGATAGCAACACTTAGAACAGAGCAGAACAGAAACCACTACATTTCTACAACGGACTACTTAAGACATTTGAAACTCATGACCATGATAATATTCATTCACATTCAACAATCTACGACATCTATTGACCATAATCTGACCACAATCTGCACCACACATAACCAGCACAGAAAGCAGCAGTATCACTACAGCCAACAAATCTATACTAAAATAATCACACCACCATAGACATAATGCCTAACCACACATCTATGATAATAGTGATAAATGAATGTCCGATCCCAAACCAAATGGTCTAATCCTAGTGGGAAAAGAAAACAGAAAGACCAATAAAGTAAGAACCGGTGTGCAATTCCGTTCGTCTGTGACGCAACTGACACCTGGGGTTTGACAACATCACAGGAGAAAAAATGATGTCCAGGCAACACGGGTGAAAATAGTTGCGTCGCCGCACGAAGAAAGAAAAGAGAAAAAAATCCTGCAAAGGGGTGCTGGGGTGAGGTTGTATTTATAGGTGTGCTTGGTGGGGAGGGTGGATGATTGGTTGTTCCGGGTTAAGCGAGATTCCAACACCAACTTCTAGGGATGAGGATGGGTTGGGTGGGTGATGAGTAAGCGGGTTTGGGTGGGAGTGAAAATTTTCGGTGTGGAAGATTTTGATTCTTTCTTCTTCTTTTTCTTTTTGATATATTATATCAGGTCGATGATGAGATTATTGGATGTTTTCATATATGATAGGAAGAGACTGACTCCCGTTGATCTGGGAGATTGATCTTAACTTCATCCACTGAGGCCTGTTTTATTTAGGATTTATCTTATATCTTGATGTTGATATTTGATATCCTTGTTGTGGTGGTTATATGATTATGGTTGTGGTTGGATCATAGCGTATTTACTTTCTACCTATCGGTGATATTCGTCGGAGGTATGAGATCGTTTGCTTATTGCTATGCTACTCCGGTGCTATGCTAATATTCCGCTGTGCTATTGCATTGCTTGTTGCTTATGCTTACCTTGTTTCTCCTTCTGTCGGCGTGGCTGTTTCTTAGTGGTAGTACAGAGTACCCGTGGTACTTTTTTCTCTCCGTCGTGCGCGTCTTAGTAGAATCTTTTCGCCGGCTGATTGCGTTCGGATGACAAGGATTCTCATCCGTTTGCGCCTTGCGCCCTGGCCCTGGCCCCAACCCCAGCCCCAGGGCCTATCTACTAGGGTCGGGGTTCAACTGCCATCATCGCCTAGCATGATGCTTGCTCGGTTAAAACCAATCGCGTCCAGGAATACCGGCATACTCCGTACATACCAACTAAATACAGTGACGGCAGATGCGCCTGCTGCATTGGTTTGGGGGCAAATTGTCGTCGTAAGCCGGAACCTGGTAGTATCGAATTAGTAGTGTGCATGTCAGATTTTTTCTTCTCTCGCGATGGCTGTGTCTGCAGGCTGCAGATGTCCGTGTCCTCGTCGCTAATCAGCATCACTGCCGATGGATCGTCTGATGCATTAACTGTTTGAGCCACCTTTTTTGGCCCCAACCCGTGAGGACTATGCAAAAAGGACCCATGGTTCCATCCCACTCGCACGTTCTGCAGCCTGCACCGCGCCGCGCCCGGGCACCTCTCACGTCAGGACCTTGGGGGCTGATACCACCGGGCAACGAAGAGGTAAAAAAAAAATCTGGTTCAGCACGGTCCGTGAGGAAGCGGGCTGACCAAGGAAGCTGAACCAGCTGAACGAGCATTGTTCTTTTCGGGATGTTCAGTGCTTACCGCGATCCGCTTGGTCTGACCGAGATCCCACTGCGACCCAAGGAACCGCAAGCCTACCTTATCTGAGACGAATTCCCTCACGTAACTATTGTTGTCGTGATTGATTGAGACTGATAGTGGTCAGTCTTTGCGCCCGCTCTCCCCCACTCGCAAGGGTGCAATGTGCAGAGGGCAATCCAAGACCTTTTCTGGGCCCTAGGCTGGGGCGGCCGTCGATCATGTTGGGACACTGGTCGACGCAGCTATCGCACAAATCGCATCACTCTCTCTGTATGGATGCTCATTATCCCGTGCATAGTCACACTGGCGACCCATGAGGCAGAGGGGGCTATTGGGTCGCCGCCGGAAGTATCAGCGTGAGACAGCGCTTTCCGACTGGCAGAAGCTGCCCGGAGTGTGGAGTAGCGCGCCATGGAAGTAATTCCTTCCTGCGATAAAGTTCACCCGAAGGCACCTTGGCCTCGCGCTATTCCGCGCAGGTTTGCCTGCGACCCAGAAATTCGAATTTGTTGTATCCATATCTGCATGACTCTGTTATCAATCCCAATTGCTTAGCGATGTCGGCGTGAAAGTTTCCGTGCACAGAGAACCACAAACCTGCCACTTGCCCCTTCGAGGATTGGTACCTCCAATCGCATCCCAGCGGACGGTGCCGGATCACCTGAGTGGGAGACTTACTCCATCAGATGTATCGGGTCCGATGTTGCTCTTATCTCTGTTTTCGTCGTGCGGCGGATGCTGTTGTTTTGGATTCTACATTCTGGTCCACTCTGACTCGAGAATTGCTGTTCGTGGGATCATCAGTATTGCAGGTATACGGTGCACAAATATAGTAAGTCGGGTGGTTGATGATTCGAGCTTGCTTGCCGTGAGCTCCGAAGGGACCCCAATTCCAAGGCCAAGTTTAATGGCGCACCATTTGCTTCTCCGCATTTTTATTTTCGATAGCCCATGTCTGGCGTCTTGGAAGTGGCGATTATGCGCATTTGGTTAGTAAGAAGAATTTATAGATAGGTAGTATTAGCCTGTCCCGTCGGGAGGGTTCGCACTATTTCTCCGTTCTCAACTTTCGTAAAGAGAGTTTTGTTAGAGACAGACTTTCTCGGGCGAACGGTGAGCTTCCTCTCTGTTTGCGTGATTTCTGTATCTTAATCTCCACGGTGACGCCATTTCCAATGGAATCACGGACAATCATCATACTGGGAGCGGCTACGGGACCAAGATCCCAACTGGAGCCCACACGCAAGAGCTCTCCAGGTCCCCAATGCGAGCTGGAACCACGGGTCGGAATACTATCTATATACCCGACTGGGCTAGGCTCGGGACGAATAACCAATGCCCGTGGCCGTCCAGAGCCCATGCCTCCAAAAGCCCCGACGACACGATCCAGGATGGAGTAGCGCTGGGATGGGGTTGAGTAAGAGCTCTCTCATGATTTTCGCCATGGCTGGTGGTGCGAATCAGTCCCTCTTCCCCCGCTGGCATCCATTGGATCACTCCCGGGTTTCTCCACGATTGGAGCAATTCGTAGCCACAGCATAGATACACCCGAGTATGATGCTGTTCAATCAATACGCACGTGCAAAAAGAAGGTTGGTGGCTTATCAGTGTTGGGCTTAGGTAAATTGTTTGTCGTATTCAGTGGTCGCTGCGATCGGCCACTTCAGTCCATGATCTTCCCTGCACCAATCCAGGAACAGAACTCAAAGGAGCACGCCACATGGATGTCTTCCCGTCTGCCCGCTGGGTTCGACGGTGTTCTGAAGTGCCGAGACGAGCATACAGTTGTGATGGGAATAATCAGCACGAGATGGAACAATCACACATAGAAAAAAGGCGCACCTTCCCCAATCGGTATGGACTGATGGGCCTTAGAAGCAGTTGAACACGTCGAAGTCACTCGTGGATTGGCCCTGTGGTAGTCTCGGGGTAATGTCTTGGATCCCTGTTGGCTCATGAACCGTAAACAAAAGAAAAAAAAAATTGCGGGATGGTAGCTGCTCATCACTATCACACTTGATGTATCCAAAGACACCCAAATCAGGAATTAGAAGGAAAACGCCCAAAGCCAAAAGAGACATGGAATTCCGACTTGGTTTAGTCCGCAGTGGAACACGCAGTAGTGCAGGTAGTGATGGTGGAAAGTCCCCGCAAAAAGTGCGGTAGCTTCATGCCGGCAATCGAAGACCGACTTGCGCCAGTCCCAGCCCGTCCAGCAGGCACGAGGACCGCTTGGCAACTGGATAGTTAGCAGCTACGACCAACTCAAATGTTCCCGTTACTCAACTCGGTCGGTCGGCATCCATTTTGCCCAAGAGCATGACGGACATCAAGTTCGTCTCTGTTGGCGAGTGCATCTTAGGCGAGCATACGTTGCAACCATGGTCTACTGCCGAGGATGGGAGAGTTGTGGCGTAGCTGGCATATGGCATGGTCTGACGACGGGGTGGATTCTTCTTCCGAAACGACCCCCAGTCGTGTGTGAAAGAGATCACTCGGAAATATGTTGCAGAGTCCTGTGTATGAACCATAGTTAAAATCATAACACCACCCCTCTTCATCATCCTTGGTTCATAGAAGGGCTCGGAAGTCTGCCGGAATCGGAACCATAGACAGAGAAAGAGAGGGTGAGGGTCCTGGATTCTGAGGCCACCACTGTGGCACAATTTGGAGACAGTCGTACGTGGCGGTTGCTATTGCTGAAATCAAGCTCACCCCGTGTCGAGGATTCGAAGGTTCGAAGAAGCCTCTAAAGACTTCGGTTGCATTAGGTAAAGACACCATGTTCGACGTTAATTGATTGCTATGGAGAAGGTTTGTCTGCTCATGACGTAGCGACCTTCACAGCATTATCCCGTTTAGTCAGGGGCCATTTGATTGGCTTCAGGATGAGGGATGAGGTGAGATCCCTAATGGCGATTTAGGAGAGGTTATCGCCAATTTAGTGTCGTACGGAGAATATACTCCATTCTACTACCAACTAGTGGATGCTGAGAAGTAAAACAGTCGGAGATGGCTTGGCTCTGTCCCCTCCCCCTTTCCGGAGGCAACGAGGACTGCCAACTACCAACTAGTATCTAGTAGTACAGAGTAGTACTACTCCATAGTGCTAGTATACGCAATGGGATTAGTGCTGTTCAGTCAGAATTCTGGGGACCTGACTAAGACGAAACCGAGACACGCCTAGACAAAGCCAGCTGTGATTGGAGGATTGCTGTCCGCGTAGTGTGTTTCAGATTTCGAGCTTACTGCTTTTACCAAACGCTCGACGTCGGTACGATTCTGTAAGAACTAAGAACAGAGTATTCCTCGGAGAGGAGTTTAGTTAACCGTCGGAATTCCTGTTGGCTGGTTTGGCGTAGTGGTGCCCTAATGGATGGAGAGGCCCATTACCATAGTCCCAGCCACATTAGGTCTAGCCCCATTAGCCACTCTTCCCTCGACTGCTCGTCTTGACTCGTTCCGGAGACAGTACTACTGTGTTCAGTAGTAAAGCTCCAGTTTCCAGCAGGTAGATTAGTAGCAGTCATAGTATGGAGCAGACACGGAATTGAAGATCTGCTGGTTCTGACTCTGCACGATGCACGGCGGACCCGGTCGCTCGGTGATAGTCTCGCACCGATTTGGTGCTGGAAATTGACAACGAGGGTAATTTCCAGTCCTGCCTCCCCGTTCCAATTCTCTGGATGGTGTCAAGCCCTCATCCACACTAGGCGCTGCACTATTGGTTCGCCTGAACTTTATCGTATCAGTCCACCAAGGCCAGCATGATCTCGAGCGAGCTTAACGGGCAATGCCCATATTTTGGGTGTTGCATTAATTCCAATTAGATGGCAATGATTTGATCGCTACGTGTGTCGCATCGAAGTCATTTGTTCACGCGATCAACCGTCAATCATTCCCCCCACGGCGGTTGTACGACAACTATATATCAGGCGATCATGGTGCCTGAAGTATATAATCACCTTCCTGCTTGAGAATCGCTCCAGTAATAGTAGTGATTTATCGGCGTCGCATGATGTGCTGCAGTTTCAATGGTTCAGCATATACGCCGTACGGTGAGTACCGAGGAGTAATTAATTGGGAGGATCCGCAATCGGATTCTCCGGCGTGTCTTGTTCAAGGCAACATCATAAGATATGGTGTGTCGTGGTCTTGGGAAGCCGGTACCGATAAGGACCACTTCGCTCTCTCACAGGCCCTCTGTCGTTCGCTAGTCTTACCTCCCCATAGATCTTGTGCCACTGTAAAACCAATTGATATCCATCTATAATCTTGGTACATATCTGGGTATCCGATAACCGTTGCTTCCGGTCTCCGCGGAACCTATTGGAAGTCCAGGGTAGAATACGGTGCCATATCTGACCCATTGTTGATTCGCCTTTTTTTCCCCTCTGCTCGCCTCCAGTTTCGGATCCAAGCGGCATTGAATCTGTCAGGATTCCCCATTCTGCCACCACCGGATACGCGCAGCAGCCCGGACATCCCACAGTGCTTTGTCCAGCACGACTTTTTCCTGACTCTGATTCGCCCGAGAAGAAGGGGGGCCACGCATCCGAGAAGGGCCTTCGCCAAATTGACACTTCTCGCACGGTCGCAATTGAGACCAGAAAATTTTTCTTTATTTCCCTCACTCGTGAGGACCTGCGTGGCCACCCACACGGGTACCACTGGCGCGGAAGACGGGATTAAGTCCCCTACCGCCCGTCTGTCAGCGCGGATGCGCGCCCATCCCCATTTCGAAACCCACCGCCGACGTCGCAAAGAGGCAAGATGCGCTGCCTTCCGGTGGCGCTCATCTTCACTACTCATCTAAACTGTCGGTGGCATGCCGAAGCGGCGCCATAAAAGATAATGCGAGACAGCCGTCGAGTCTAGATATCTTTCGTAATCTTTCCCTGGTGGAGTCCGGGAGTCGAATGGAGAAGGTGGGAGGAGGTTATGCCTGTCACCGGTGTACGGAGTAAGGTAAACACTGGTGTCGGGAAATGATAGAGTTGTGGGTATAGTGAGGATCATACTAGACGACCGTCGTCTGGAGTAAGTGTCCTGAAGGACATGCAGGTGCATGATGGGAATGGATGGGATGGGGACATGCTGGTACACCATAGTAGAACAGATGATGCGCCATTCTCATTCCCCCTTCTAGACCGAGACCGCCTTGACAGTGCAAAAGAATAAAAAAAAAACAAAAGAAGCTACTTTGGACTATCGCTATCAATTTGTCAACCGCGGGCGATGACGACGGATTTTTATTTACCGCCTCCATTAGCTTATGCAGGTTTGATCCTATCGTTTCTTTTGCGCGATTAGAATCCTACCAGATGGGACCCGCATCGGCTCTTCCTTTGTTGTTGGTTTGTAGTTGTGGTTGCGTTGCTATTGCTGCAACGGTTCTTTGTTTGTGGCGACGGTTTACTTTGTGGCGACCAACAGGGGTCTTGCGGCATTGCCTCGAAGGGCCAAAATGGACCAGTTATTCCGTAGTATTACTGGGTATGATTCTCATTAGTGGCATACACTGAACGAATCCCGGATCTTTGGGGGGTGGGATGCTTCGCTGCTTACACTTCGTGGGTTTGCCAACTCGAGTGAAATCCCCGGCATTGTCAACGGAATTCCGTAGATAGCTCCCTAACTAGCTAGCTAGCTGCGATTGTTGACCTACTGTAGCTAGCTAGGCCTGGCCGATGGAATCCCTCTCGCCTTCCACCATAACCCACCCCGCCTCCTTCGGTGTTTGCTGGAAGCGGTACTCCGTTCGTAAACAGTGTAAGTCTGCAGAAAAGTAGCGCATAGAAAATTCGAAGAACTGGAGTCTCTTTCCTTCCAAGGAGCTAGATACACTGGAGCTCCGTAGCTTGTGGAGGGTTCTAGTGAGTAGTTGTGTCCCCTAACCAACCTCACTAGACCTTAACTAGGCAGTAGCTGGGACGGTAGAACTTGTTTTGGCTTCCTTGGTAAGTTTTCTCGAAGCTCGACGGCTTCCATGCATAGATTAACCCAGTGGACATACTAGCCTGAAGGGGTAAGTCGGCAGTTCTTCCCCCCCTCCTCCCCCTCTTCTTCCTCGTATTGCTTGCTAATTGTTTAACTTACGCCGGTCGTGGCAAGCAATATAGCACGCTTCTAAAGCGCAGGATAATTGTTCTAGTCTCGAGACTACGCACTTCTAGCATTTCTAGGCTACGTACTACCGCGAAGCTAGAAACACGCCGAGGAACGCAATAGATAGATATTCCCACTTCTCTTAATGTTCCTGAATGCTCCATAGTCATATCCCGATTTCAAATCTTGGTTTTCTGCCTAGCTTTCTTCTCACTACAGTTAGCTTAGTGGTGGTTATGGTATAGTAGTACTCCGTAGTTACTGTAGATAGCTTGCGAGGTAGGTGAGTAATATTATTGGCAATTTTACCTCGCTCGGGGCCCGTCCCGACTCCCGGAAGCTTCGTTCGAAAAAGGAAAAGTGGCCTGGCCAGGGAAATGGACGGCTTTTCTATCTTTAGATCCACACACACACACACACACACACCCCCCGGGCGGCGGTGCGGTAAATCGGTCCGGGATGGGTTTTACTGCCCATTACCGTATGTATGTTATAATGTATGCATGTAGTATGTATGTTTGTAAGAAAAAGTCAATCAATCATTTCACATTCAATCAATCAATCAATCAATTGATTGGACAGGAAGTGAAGGTAAAACAAGAGAGAATATGAGAAAGTCTGTGCAACTGATGTACAAGCTGAGATACTCAGCAGGGGCAGACGAGATGGACGAGTCATGTCGCTGAGCAGGGGACTCGGCAGGAGAACGTTTCAGACCGGTTGGGCCAGTTGCGTGGCGGTGGCCAGGGTTTGGGATGGGCTATTGTGATGCTCATGGGCCGAGGCTGGAAGGGGAAATTGATAGGCCCAGGGGTCCGTGTTCTGGAGTCTGACAGCTCTGCTTGTAATCCCCTTGCTTCCCATGATTTACCGTGGCGCAGCCTGTCAGTTGGTGGTCTGGCTGGGTTATCGCGTATCATCATCATCACCGGGCATCATCAGCGCCTCTCTACTCTCAGGGACAGGGACAATCTTCAGATGTCGTCATGTTGATCCTCTATTTTGTGTTTGCTCCTGCATATTGGTCTGTTTGCATCACTTTTTTCAACTTTGGGGGGGCTTGCTGCGATGGGTTCTAATTTTTTCCTATTTGGCAAGTAAAACACGTCGTTCGGGGGATTTACGCGGCGGCCAACGCACCGTACCTGAATTTGAAACCCAAACTATCGAACGCGAAGATTGCCGGGCTTGCAGAAAATAGATAGTAGCAATCAAAGAAACCTCTTTATTGGCATTGAAGCCCTATCGTAGGCAGTCACATTCTTCTTTCCCTCCCAAGAAACGAAGACTCGGCTAGGTAGTAGTACGACTACTTAGTACTACTATAGAACGTTAAAAATAAATTTATTAATATCGTATGAGACCGACTAAAGCATACCATCAAATAACTTTATAAAAACCGAAATGAAGAAAGATCCAAGACAGAACTAATCCCAATCAATGTAGAAACACCGAAGAGGAAGAAGAACTGAAGCAAATCAGATCCCAAGAATTTATTTTGACAGCTGCGTTCATCTGCCATGTAAGCCCTGTTGTGCCACTTGGCGCGCCATCGGACAACTGAAAATACACGATTCAAGCAAGGGTCGGGTTGCGGCAGCCCATCCCAGGGACGTTTCCCCTCTCTTACCAAGCCTGCAACCTAACTACCCTTACCATCGCTCCGCATCGGTTCCTGCAGTAGACCGACCACAAACCTGATCGATCCATTCCCGCCGTTGAACACGTCGCATCTCAAATGTGAGCGAAATTCCAGGTTTTCTTTGGTGAAGGGAAGGGCAAAAAATAGACGATTGATTGATTGTCGCTCGGTCGCGCTCGCGCGCGCCGCGTTGCCTGCGCACACTACTATCTGCTGCGTCACTGGCTCACATGGAGTAACTAAAGTTACTATCTACGTACTACTTCTTCCCAAATTTTAGGAACCTCCCAAAGTTGGTCTTAGGCCCCCGGTACTTTAGGTTTCGGAGTATCCCAGTACCTTGGATTTGACATAACGCCTTAAAAAGAAAAAAACACTACTATCTATCTACCCATCTATGTGCCCAATTTTATCCAGGTACAGTAAGTGGCTAGTCCTCTGTTACGTTTTCCAAGTATCCATCTACCCCAGAATGATAGGGCAGATGCATGAACGGTAATCTTCTTTGCCTAGAAATCTAGCCCAAGTAGGTTCAATAATGCTGTACGCACTATGTCTTTTGCGCATCGCACCTGGCATATGACATCCTATCGGATAATAGGGTCTCCAAGCTATTCACTAACTTACTGGTATGATATGGGATGGGGGTCATGGCGGACCTGGCCGCTCTCGGCTTCTACTTCAAGTAACGACAAGAATCATATGAAAGGAATCGTTTCGCGGACATTACTACCTAGAACTTACCTAGGCCCATAAAATAACGGTGAATAAAATAATAATTTACAACAGGAATAAAAATAGCCATATTAATAAACGTTAGTATGAACAGGGATTCGTCTGCCTAGCCTGCGCGAGGCCCCCCCCGGAAGTACCTGGCTGGCAGGTCCGTAGTAAGTACTCTGCTGTAGTGCCACCCATAAGGCCGGGTATCCCATAGTACCGACTCTTAGCACCATGCCATAGAGAGGGTGGGCCCTACTCAGGACCGTTTCACCATTGGTGTAGAAATAATTTATTCCAGTCGCTTGTTTCTCGAAATTGCTAGTTGCCACTACTACTGCCAGATAGATTAGGTATACTTACGGACGTTTTTTTCGTTCGTGCTCTCTCTTATCAGAACTGGGGACCGGCTTTCGGATTTGGCTTCATCGGTTGTCGAATTACGTGCATACCGTGGAGCCCAAAAAATCCCAAGTAAGACCGAAAGGCAAGTCCAGAGCGAAGTCACCGACCCTCAAGAAAGCAAGATAGGCAAGGAGGAGAAGGGGGAAGACGGAAAATGGGGACTTGACAATGGGCACTGGCCAATTTGGCCCGGACAACAGCAATCTTGACAACTGATTGACTGACTGACTTGCCCATGTGTGTGCGTGCGTTGCGTGGGTGTGAGTGAGTGAGTGGTGGGTGAGTGAGAGTTGACTTCTTTCTCCAACTTCCAACCAATTGTTCTCAGTCATTGCTCTGCTGATCTTACTCGAAATGTGGCCCGGGACGGTCCCAGTGTTGGAACATGGGCCATCCATTCCCTCAATTGCAGTGCACATCTTTGTTCCCTTCCCTTTTCCCTTTCCCGTTTACCCTTTGAGTTTTCCATTTGGGAGAGGGAGGGTGGACTAAAGACTAAGAGGACATCCCCCAAATGGCGGACGGGATGCTCAGTGGGGCCGACTAGCTTAGCCGGCGAGTCAATCCCTCCCTTTCACGGGTTGAGTCTATTGGCTTCCAATGCAGCCAACTTCGGTTGAATGTCACGATGTCCCCCCGGCAGGACCAGGCTTGCTATCAGTGGCCGACCTGCTTATTGGTTAGTCGGATGTGCTGCCCTTTTTCCCATTCAATCCTTTAACACCCGCATCCTCTTTGCTCTCTTGCTCTCTCTTTCGCTCTACACCATCACCCCCCGCCCCGCCCAACAAAAGCCCCCACTTTCATTCGGTCTGGAGATGCTGACTGGCCCGATTTGCGCTCACTCGTCCATGTCTGTGGGACAGACAAGCCGCTGATAAGCCAGATAGGCTAAGAGATGATGCAGGTCCTAATTGGTAACGGGACCATAATCCAACAGCGTAGCGAGTAATACTACTGTAAGTTGTAGAACATTCATCATTGCAAGGGCTGAACGAGTTGGCCGCCTTGTCATTTGATGGCAAAAATGTGATGGATGGTAAGCGCGCAGCTGTGATGTTGGGCCTCCAGAGCTGAGCGAGCAGGGGAAGGGAAGCATTGTGACTGGCAGAGAGGGAGGATGGGCAATCACAGAAGGTTGGCTACTATTTTGGGAGCAATAATACCTACAGTCTCGGATTGGGGTGTGTGGCAATTCACACACACAGCCATTCTCATGAGAATGCTAGTTAGTAGGTTGCTCATAAATACGGTACCAGCGAAAACATGGGTAAATTACGTGAGACAAACGGAAATTGTGGCCAACTTTCTACTTTCACACACACACACACACTCTCTCTCTCTCTTTATCTCTGTCTCCCACTTCTCCTGCAGTCAATCATTGCTATCAGGTAATGGAATCATATTTCTCAAGCCTAAACTACTCGGCCGTTACGAAGAGAGTTTCTGGGGGGGAAAAAGAGAGGGGGGGCTTAAAGTGGCCATTTGGACCACCACGAGTGGGAATTGAAAGGCGTCAGTCACACCTGGTACGACCTACTATATCAGGTATCGTATAGATAGGCGTCGTACCTCAGGAGCCAGGTATCTTGTGGCATTTCTCCCACACGCTCATGCCATCGCGGCCTCCTATTGGAACATGGTCATCTCCGCATTTACCAGGCCATTACGGTAGGACGTGGGTTCCGTAATAATGGGCTTGGAGGACCGACCATTTTCTCATGCACCATTGAAATGGGGTTTTGAGGGCCGCCAATGTTCCCACTCGTGCTCATGTGCCCCACGCAACTTACGCCTTTTTGGGCTCCGCGGCCGACAAGGTGGGGCCCAGTTTCTGGCTAGTCCGGTCGGGGATTCGTCGTCTCTTGTTAACTTCTGATCCAACTTACTACAACTTTTCTGTCCATCCACTCTGCTCTCCCCCCATTCCCCTCTCTCTCTCCCTCCGTCCCTCCCTCCCTCCTCCACCCAGAACCCACTCACCCAAATTGAGGAATGGCACAACATGTCCCGGCTAACTTAGGTTGGTCGGGTTCTACCTCTACCTGCCTAGGTTGAATATTGCTATGCTCCTGCTGCTAACTAAACTAAACTAAACTAACTACTAGTTAACTGCTGCTGATGCCGCTGACTGTGATGATGAAGAAGCCCGCCGAGGAGGGTTCCACCTCCCGTTGGTCTCCGCTCCCAAGTTTCTCATTCGGTTGGTACTGAGATGTGCACCGGCGCCAATCTGCTATTCTTTGCCGCCCCAGACTAGAAAATCGACTTACCCAGGACGGATGTGCATAAGGATAAAAAAAAAGTGGGCAGGTATGATGATAATCCGAGGATAAATGATCCCCCAAAATTATTTGGGGTCGAGAAGAAGGCTGTGGGAGAAATAAAAAAAAAAGAGGGAAATGGAAAAATCCAAAATAATAATAATTCACAAAAAAAGGGTTCAAAAAATGAATTCCGAAAAGAAATAAAAATAAATCTTACGAAAAGAGAATAAAATAAGAAAAGAATAATAATAAAAAAAGGAAGAAAAAGAGAGTCTCCGAACATATGACACCATACCATTCCGGCAGATTTATTAGTTGATTTATTACTATATTACGATTACTACTACTATTATAGTAGTGACCGTTCGCTGCTGGCACCACCACCAGCGAAAGTAAAGTTCCATGCAGCCCATCTCGCCCAAAAAGGCTTTCAGACTAAAAAGTACGGCTCCAGTCCTACTGCTCACTACTCACGGCGCTACCAGCTCGTAGCACAAGCAGATCAGTCGCTCTTTTATCCACTGCCCATCCTTCTGGCCGGCTTTCCTCTTTCCATATCGGCCCTGTCTCTCATTTTCCCCGCGACTGTCCTCGTCCTTCAAATTAATCTTCTTTATTTCTTATTTTTTCCATTTTTGCCCTTTTTAGACTTGTCTCGATCCTCATCTGGTCTTTCCTTTCTCTCTTCCCTCTCTCTTTTATCTCTCTCTCTTAATCTTAATTGTCTGCCCTCTTTTTCTCTCTTTTACTTTTGCGACTCTATACAGTCTCTCCCGGTTTCCTTGAATCGAGAACGTCCTGAACCATACTCATCTTTTGGTTTGGCTCGTTTCGACATACAAGGTGCCTGTCCTTCCTTCATAGACTTGCGGCATAGTCATCAGATATAATCCCAGATACCACCAACACGACATTCAACCTTTCTATCAAGAACGAAACAGTCGTTTCTCACAGCATACCAACCAATCAATCAATCAGTCAATCTCGCATCTCATATATACTCTACTGGTTGAGAGCGGTTCCTGGATTATCATCTGTCCTTCCCCCAGTCATTCTCTCTCAAAGTGCAAGCAACTCTGCAAGACATTCATTCACCCTCAGCGCTCATCGCTGTGGACGAGCTACCAACTATATAACTAATAATATCCATTAAAGAGTAGAGCTACCTCTACTCTTGTATTCACAACGTCCCACCATCTGTGAGTGCGCCTCTTCCTATTCAAGGCGCAGTGCGAGTGACTGACCGGGTTCCCTGTTTTTTATCTCTAGACACAATGGACGGAACATACACCATGGCACCTACTCCGGTGCAAGGTCAACCATCTTTTGCATACTACCCTGATTCGCAGCAAAGACAACATTTCACCAGCCACCCCTCAGATATGCAGTCATACTATGGCCAAGTGCAGGCTTTCCAGCAACAACCACAGCATTGCATGCCGGAGCAGCAGACTCTCTACACTGCCCCTCTTATGAACATGCACCAGATGGCTACCACTAACGCCTTCCGTGGCGCCATGAACATGACTCCTATTGCCTCTCCTCAGCCGTCACACCTCAAGCCCACAATTGTTGTGCAGCAGGGCTCTCCTGCCCTGATGCCTTTGGACACGAGGTTCGTCGGTAACGACTACTACGCATTCCCCTCCACCCCACCACTCTCCACAGCTGGAAGCTCGATCAGCAGCCCGCCTTCTACCAGCGGCACTCTTCACACCCCAATCAATGACAGCTTCTTTGCTTTCGAGAAGGTGGAGGGTGTCAAGGAGGGATGCGAGGGAGATGTTCATGCAGAGATTCTGGCCAATGCTGACTGGACCCGGTCTGACTCGCCGCCTCTTACTCCTGGTAAGTTGTTATCTAACCCGTTGTCTTTTTACTTGGTTACCAGATTGGAGGGATGAGTGCATCCAACGGAAAATGCACGGGGCCGGACATCTAGGGTTGTACAGGGAAACTAACTCGACTTGTTCTAGTGTTCATCCATCCGCCTTCCCTCACCGCCAGCCAAACATCCGAGCTTCTGTCAGCGCACAGCTCTTGCCCATCTCTTTCCCCATCGCCATCTCCCGTGGCCCCCACATTCGTTGCCCAGCCTCAAGGTCTGCCGACCGAGCAGTCCAGCTCCGACTTCTGTGACCCCCGTCAGCTGACGGTCGAGTCCTCCATCAATGCCACCTCTGCTGACCTGCCGCCTCTGCCCACGCTTTCTTGCGATGACGAGGAGCCTCGCGTGGTTTTGGGCAGCGAGGCCGTGACCCTTCCTGTCCATGAGACTCTTTCGCCCGCCTTCACCTGCTCCTCTTCGGAGGACCCTCTCAGCAGCCTGCCCACCTTTGACAGCTTCTCGGACCTGGACTCGGAAGACGAATTCGTCAACCGCCTGGTCGACTTCCCCCCTAGTGGCAACGCCTACTACCTGGGCGAGAAGAGGCAGCGTGTGGGAACGACATACCCTCTCGAGGAAGAGGAGTTCTTCAGTGAGCAGAGCTTCGACGAGTCTGACGAGCAGGATCTCAGTCAGTCCAGTCTTCCTTACTTGGGAAGCCACGACTTCACTGGCGTTCAGACCAACATCAATGAAGCCTCGGAGGAGATGGGTAACAAGAAGCGGAACAACCGCAAGTCGCTGAAGCGGACTAGTACCTCGGACAGCGAAACGGACTCGATTAGCAAGAAGTCGCAGCCTTCGGTCAACAGCCGTGCCTCCAGCACGGAGACAAACGCCTCGACACCCCAGGCTGTCCAGGCCCGCCACAACTCCGACGCGCATTCTTGCGCTTCTGAGGCTCCTGCTGCCCCCGTTTCGGTTAACCGACGTGGTCGTAAGCAGTCCCTGACGGACGATCCCTCCAAGACCTTTGTTTGCACTCTCTGCTCCCGTCGCTTCCGTCGCCAAGAGCACCTCAAGCGTCACTACCGCTCCCTCCACACTCAGGACAAGCCTTTCGAGTGCAACGAGTGCGGTAAGAAGTTCTCGCGGAGCGACAACCTTGCGCAGCACGCTCGCACTCATGCGGGTGGCTCTGTTGTGATGGGCGTCATCGACACCGGCAATGCGACCCCGCCAAACTCCTATGAAGAACGAGACCCTAGTACGCTGGGAAACGTTCTCTACGAGGCCGCCAACGCCGCCGCTACCAAGTCGACAACCAGTGAGTCGGATGAGAGTTCCTCTGACTCGCCGACCGTTGACCGACGGGCGCCCAAGAAGCGCAAGCGCGACAGCGACGCCTAGACTGGCATCCGCTTGGCTTGCAGCTATCACGATGATATGTGACCAGGAGCTCCCCATATATCACTTAATAACATCCTATACATAACCTTCCATTCCACTGGTTGGTCTGACTTGGTCTTGCGGTTTGGCGTCCGGGCTTTGTTTCTGGCGGTGACCAGAATAGGAATTACAGGTGTACGGGTTTTGACCGGTTCTGGTGCCCTACTCAAAAAAGGAAAAGAAAAAACGAAAACGATACAAACCATGAGTTAAGGGCACCCTTTATGGGACCGAATATTGGCGAAGCATTAGACCGGCGGCAACGGAACTTGGGCGCACTTGGAGTCCACGGTTGGACCAAAACTAATTAGAGCGCATGATGACTTTCACATTTGAGGCACTGGTGATCTGGGTTGATCTTTTCTCCGATTCCCCTTTCTACTCCTTTTTACCTTTCTTTTTTTACAATCTGTTCGCAGCGAGAGAATATCTCCGACTCAATCCTCGCGCGACGGGGGCTATTGACCCCCTGTCGGCGATTTTCTGTGTACCCGATCTCCCACCTCTTTTCCTTACCAGCTTCTGCTATATACTTCATTCTTCTTTTTCGTTGCCTTCAGTTGCATTCATTGTGCCTATTCGATGTAATATTTTTGCACACTCCTGTCATTCTGCTGATTGCAGAAACATCCACCCCCAATCCATTTGTGCTGGCCACATGTACAATTTAATACTATCAAATTTCCCCAATCGTTGCCTCATACCCCTGTGTGCATCATCCTATTTCCTTCCACTCTTGTCGGTTGCATCCACATGTGCATAATACTTGTGTGCCATTTGTGTTGAGCGTATTGTTCGTTCTGCAACTTAGCTAGTATAATTGATATTTTGAACATATCACAACTCATACCAGTAGACTCTAAGCTAGGGTTGTATAATAGTATGGTTGTAGTCTTAGCTATATGCAGCGTATAGATACTTGGTAGTATGACTCGGGCGGCTGCAGTCGGCTTTCCGAGTCTGGCCTCGAACGTCACCCGCAGAACAAAACCATGAACTTGATTTCTCCACATACATTTCTAGCTCCCTCAAAACCACACAATCATTCTAATTGAACCTTCTCATCATCCCAGTCCAAATTTCAATATACACCTAACCACTCAACTCTCCACCCGACTCCAGCAAAAAGAGGTGACGAGGGGCCCGATCAATCCTCTACTAAAGGGGAGTGGGAAAGAAAAAAAGCAAAGAAAAATTCCCCCGCACTCAAATCACTATCTACCCCTCTCCCACAATTCAATACAAAACATGTCTACATCAACAACACCATCTCTCCCCCTCCCCACCTCCCCCACAAGTCTAAATGTGATCGCCTTGATTTCGGGAGGTAAAGACTCCCTATACTCTATTCTCCACTGCATCCGGAACGGACATAAGGTCGTTGCGCTGGGGAATTTGTATCCGCCTACCACCACCACAACTACCACTCATCATGAGGAGAAATCACAAGGAGATGGCAATGATGATGAAGAGGAGGAAGAAGAAGACATCGATAGCTTCATGTACCAAACAATCGGACATAGCATTATTCCGCAGTATGAATCCGCGTTAGGGATTCCGCTGTATCGGCAGCAGATTCTAGGGTCTGCGGTGGATACGGGGAGGGTTTATCGTGATTCTTCTTCTTCTTCTTCTTCTTCTTCTTCATTATCACCCGGAGGAGAAGGAGGAGAAGGTAATGAGGGAGACGAAACCGAATCCCTCATCCCGCTCCTCCAACGCATCAAGGCCGCTCACCCGGAAGCCAACGCCATCTCCGCCGGCGCTATTCTCTCCACGTACCAACGTACCCGGATTGAGAATGTCGCAGCGAGGATGGGTCTCGTGCCGCTCGCTTGGCTGTGGCAGTACCCGGTGTTGCCTGCGCCGGAGGAGAGGTTCGGTCTTGGTGGAGAAGCGGGTCTATTGGAGGATATGGCTGCTGTTGGGTGCGAGGCGAGGATCATCAAGGTTGCGTCGGGGGGATTAGATTCCGGATTTTTGTGGGGGGATGTTTCCGGGAGGAATGCGGGTGTTAGGAGGAGAATCATCAATGGGATGAAGAGGTTTGTCTTGGATGGTGGGGATGTAAGGGGCGCGGTGTTGGGTGAGGGTGGTGAGTATGAGAGTTTGGCGTTGGATGGGCCGGGTTTTCTTTGGAAGAAGAGGATTGAGGTTTCCAGGTGGGAGGAGGGCGCTGGGGAGGGGGGTGTTGCGTTTGTGAGGGTTAGGGGGGCGAGGTGTGTGGATAAGGATGGTGATGGGGTGGTGCCGGGGGATGTGAGGAGGCCGGTGTTGTTGGATGAAGGGTTTGGGGGGGTGTTGGGGGAGGCATTGGGGAGTGAGGAGGTGGTAGGTAAGAGGGAGGCAAAGGTGTCTTCGTCTCAAGGGCACATGGAGGTGTTGCAGAGTACGAATGGTGGCACGTGGGTGGTTGCTAATATCTCGGCCCCTGAGGCTGGTCCTGGGGCTGCGGAGCAGATGGAGGCGATCAAGGAGAAGATTGAGGCGATTCTGGCTTCTACGCGGCGTGAGGATGGGACTGCGTCTCGGACTACGGCTGATATCGTCTTTACGACGGTGCTGCTGCGCTCTATGGCGGACTTTGCCTTGATGAATGGCATCTACGTCTCCTTGTTCAAGAAGCCTAATCCTCCGGCGAGAGCTACGGTGGCTTGCGGTGATAGTCTGCCTGAGGGTGTGAAGGTCATGGTATCGGCGGTTGTGGATTTGGGCCCTAGAGAGCAAAGGCAGGGTCTTCATGTCCAGTCGCGTTCTTACTGGGCGCCGGCTAATATCGGCCCTTACTCGCAAGCCATGTCGGTTCCGGTACAGGGTTCGGAGCACATGGTTTACATTGCAGGACAGATTCCACTGGAGCCGGCTTCGATGGAGATGATGAGTGCTTCAGGGGAAGCACTGACGCGGCCGTGGATCGAGAACTATGCCACGCGCGCGGTGCTTTCCTTGCAGCATCTTTGGAGGATTGGGCACGCTATGGAGGTTGACTGGTGGCTGGGGGCTGTTGCTTTCTTGGTGGGAGAAGAGCACATTGAGACACAGGCCCGACTAGCATGGAACATCTGGGAGCGGATGCATGCTCGTCATGAAGAAGAAGAAGAAGACGAAGACGGAGAATCAGGCCTGGATGTCTGGGACATCAAGTATGGAGGCCGTGCGCATGAGCAAGCAACGAGTCCATCGGCACCTAATTTGCCTAATTTCGGGGTGGTCCAGTCAGACGCTTTGGTTCCTGCGTTTTTCGCGGTCCAGATTTCAGAGCTTCCCCGAGGAAGTGATATCGAATGGCAGGGTCTGGGGTACAGGTGTGGTGGATTGCGGATGGCTGCAGAAGATACGGAGTATGGCCGCAAAACCACTGTGTCCACAGAGCAGAATCTCAGTTATATCGGCATTGAGATCGACATGGAACAGTCGGGATCTGATTTGGACTCGTATCTGCAGCTTGTCCTGCAGAAGCTGCCTGAGGTGGCAGAAGGTTCTCACGCGATCATCTATACAAGTCAGCCATTGTCCAAGCCTGCGTTCTCAGCGCAGATTGTTCCCTGCAAATCTGTCTGGGGACCGAAAGGACGTGAGTTGGCAGCAGGTGTCATTATACAAAGACACACCCCGGCATCATAGGCGTGCTGCTTGCTGTAAGGCTGCCGGGCCATGCAGGGGTCCATTGCGCACGGCTTTCAAGTATGCATCATGGATCATTCGACGTCTTAGATTGGAGGCACCGATACAAAAGTACATATCTCCTGACTCGTAGAGGAACTAGGAACAACAATGTAGTGAATAACCTTTTGTAAGATTCAGGAGTGACGATGGGTTCACTTTGATGGGCTGATTCCAAGAGGCTCTCCTGCTGACGTGCTGCGCGGCATGTGATAAGCGAAAAAACCCGCCTTTCCGCCCTGGGATTCCGGTTCGATCAAAGCGATAACATTCTCACTTCATCTTCTTCTTCGCTGCTGCCACCCCACGCACCTCTCTTGGGTCAATTCTCCTGGTATATTCACACACCTTCTGTTTGACCCCGGTCATCTGGTCCTGTCATCGCTAACCCTCCGTCTTAACCCAGTGCTCCTCCACCGACCCCATCAGTCGATATGACGTACTCGCTCTAAAGGCCGCTCATCACCCACCATCCATGCCATGGCCGTTTCGCTGAGCCAGGAGGAAGATGAATCGCTTCCTGTCAACGGTTCTGCCCTCGAAATAGAGCTGTCTGACACTCCCCGACAACCCTCTCGTTCCCCTCACCCGTATCGTCGCAAGGGCTCGCATTCATCGTCGCTGCCTGCGGATACCGGCGACCGATCAACCGGTCTCCACTGGCCACGGACCTCGAGCGATAGTGGCACCGAGGCTGATGATGAAAGCACGGGCATACTGAGGGGTCTACCAGCAGCACCCTTGCGACCAAGGAAAGGGTTGCGTTCGGGTCGTCATGCTGTTGGCGAGGAAGACCAGTGGTTTCCCCTATTGCGCCCGTGGCCATCGATAACCCGTTCCACCTCACGGAGCTCGCGGCGGAGCTCAGGAGAAGAAGCCGAGGCCTCAGCGACAGGATTGCGCGAACAAGAAGCTCGGAAGCGGCGTATCGGAGTTTTGCAGAGGTTGTTGGAGGCTGCGTTGCTCCTCTCGGTGGGCGGCGTCGTTCTGGGACAAGAAAGCACGAGGGCGATTGCTTGGGCTTGGAGAAAAGGTGCGCGAGATATAATAGTGTATTTGAGAGCTTGTCCCTGTGATTGCTAATATTCCCTAGAGCTTCTTGCCCATTCCCTACTTGTCGGTGGGCTTTACGCCGCTTATCCTTTCCATCGAGATGGACGTTTTCGCTTCTCAAGATTACGGTCCTTTGTTATCCCTACGAGTTTCGATCCTGCTCCGCTGCTTTACCCGATCTTGATACCCATTTACGTTGCTTTGTCTTTAGCGCAGCATAGTCCTACTCTAATACTCCCTAATGTCCTCCTCAGTCTCTCATCTCTTCCGCCTGCCGTCATCCCACTGCACGATTGTGTTCACGGACACAGCATCGTCCATTGGATGATCACTCTGCTTCCGGTTATCGTCTCGGAGCAACTATCGGCAGGAATCTCGCCTCCCAAACCTTTATCTCTTCGCGGCCTCAACTCGGAATCTCTGGCTCTTCTTTTTCCTTTGCATCAAGCGTTGATACCCACTTTAGATTTTTTGTTGACTACCAGCGTCCTTCCCGCAGAACTGCAGCTTTTGACAAGCGCTCTGATCAATCTATTCTTATTTGCGTCCTCGCCTCAGGCGGAAATCCTTAAGGCGTTGCTATGGCTTGGTGGCCTGTGCATCTTCATCTCTTGTCGCGACGTGCTTCGCTGGGAAGTGGCTCTGGCCAGGATCCCCAGCTGGAAATTTCGGCGAGCGCCCAGCAACTCGCAGTCACCTCGAAATATCTTCAATGTGCTTGATTACAAGTTATGCCAGCGACTAAGCCGCACGGGCACCTCGGAGGACAATCTGTCGGACAGTGACTCGCCAGAAGGCCAATTCTCGCTCGTCTCACGAAAGACAATGCTCGAGTCGCGTGACAAAAACAAGGCGGGCGAGCCCAATCGCACCGTAGAGGCTGAAGTGACAGAAAGCATCCGGCAGCAGCCTACACTTACGCACCGGCGACGGCACACAATCTCTAGCGTCAGCGAGGTCGCACGCACAGGAAAAGTCAGAACCACGCCCAGTGGGCGACGCAAGCGATCAATGGCCCCTGGTCTAGCGTCGTTCCTGTCGCTGACAGTGCCTCAAGCTCAAGTCCGGAAATGGATGTATGCCCTGTTTGTCTACGTGACCGCGCTGCTCATCATCTTAGGACCTGTTCGAAAATATGTGGGCGAGCAGGCGTTAAACGGAGAAGACCCGTTCGGGTGGGCACTGAGCTATCTGCTGGGCAACGTTTCATGGTTTCGATTCTGGGTGATTATGTGGAACCTGGAGTATTGGATTCCTCTCCCCGCTCGCCTGGACCCTGACCTGTTGGACGCCTCCTGCACTCTTGGTTGGGTCGAACATCTCCGCCGAGATGTCTTCGGGGAGGCTAATTCGCGCCTCCTCGTTGCAGCATATTGCGTTGTGGTACTTGTGACTGGATTGGCGGTTGTGTTACAGTTGAGCTCTGTCGCGGAGGTCGATACGAGACGCAAGGTCTTCCATGGCATGATGGTGCTGATGTTCCTTCCGACGGTGTACATCGACCCCACGTTTTGTGCTCTGGCCCTGAGTCTAGTCCTGTCCGTCTTCCTGCTGCTCGATCTCTTCCGAGCGTCCCAGCTGCCCCCGATCTCGCGCCCGTTGACTTACTTCCTTGCCCCCTACGTGGACGGGCGCGATCACCGGGGCCCTGTGATCGTGTCGCACATCTTCCTCCTCATCGGATGCTCGATCCCCCTTTGGCTTTCCCTGGCGGATATCCCTCGGACGGGCGACCATCCTTGGATGGGGTGGAGTGCGGTGACCCGGGACGTGAGTATGGTGAGCGGGATCATCTGCGTGGGCATGGGCGATGCGGCAGCGTCGCTCGTGGGGCGACGGTTCGGTCGGCGCAAGTGGTTTTGGGGAGGAGGGAAATCGCTCGAGGGCAGCGTGGCCTTTGCGGTTGCTGTAACGTGTGGCTTATTGTTCGCGCGAGTCTGGCTCGTCCTGGGAGAGTGGCCGATTAGCGGAGACAACTATGGACCGCACCAGAACTTCCCCTGGTTGAAAACAGTGGTGAAAGCCATTTTGGCCGCTGGGGGAACTAGCGCAACCGAGGCGATTCTGACAGGTTGTAATGACAATGTCGTGGTTCCGATTGTGCTATGGCTCCTCGTGAGAGGGCTTGGGGTTTGAGGAGGCTTGTTGTTGAACCCTACCTTTACCCCGTTTCTAGAACGTCTCTTTGGGTGAAGTTTAGTATGTGGTTCTGTGGTCGCGAGGGACACAATATCGAAGGGACGCCCTGTTTTTGGTTACCCAAGAATGGCCCGACCGTTGGGGGGGGGATATAGACAGGAAGAACTAAATCAGACCAAAAGGGCGGGAATTCTCTTTCTCATTGTTCCTTGTTTCTATATACAATTGCCTTTGAAGGAATAGAGGAAGAGCCAGGCGTCAGGCGGTCATTTTTGTGGGAATGACGTGGAGGGCTTGTTTTTCTTGGTTCCTCTTCATTCTCAATTCTTCATATTATCTTTTGGCAGGAATGTGTACGTGTGTGTCCCTTCTGTGTATGATGCAGTTGTTTTTTCTTTTGGATTTTTTTTTTACTACTTTGGCCTTCCACTTCCCTGTGAATATTGACGGGCAGTCAAGAAAATAGAAATACTACCACCTCCAGATACCAATCTACGACAGCAAACAGGGAGCTACTAGTACTGTGGAGATAACCAAGTACTGATAACAATCAGGCAGCATTGCGACGGGGCCACGGGGTTATCATCAACCAGTCAGCAGCCACCGACGCCGGCGTAGGCTTGTTGATCGCCACCTAAGTAAGGTTTCCGTGGACGAGGCTACGGGAGTGCGCAGTAGAAGAACTTAACAAGTGAGGTAGGGTACATAGCTTTAGCTTATCAGGGCGATCCGGTTCTTCAGTCAGTTTTCAGTCAGTCGGTGGCGAGGTCGCATGGGGAGGCTGTGTTTGTGTCATAGGTAGAAGTAGTTCTGTCCGACGTAATAAATGTTAACTAGTTAACTAACTTAGTTGAAGATGAGTCACTTGATGATAGTAGCCAGCCTCTGGGGGTGGGAAATGGGAGCCTGCAGAATGATTCGGTGTCCGGGGAATGGGGGAGAATTCTCCCGAGAACGTTGGGTTGGTTACCATGAAACTGACTGACTGACTGATTGACTGACTGAAAGTTGAACTAACTGGGACTGGGTCGATCGGGGATCGGCTGGCTGGCTGGGGGGGGAGGAGGATTGATGATTGATGATTGAAGAGAGAGGGAAGAGAAAGTGGAGAAACGAGAGGTGTCACTGCTGCAGTGTCCCTTGGGAAAACGAAGGGAGGGTGACCTGACTTGGTTCTTACCAGGAATAGAATCTCGTATGGTAAGTTAAGAACATCAGTCAGGCGCAGATGGAATGTGATGAAGAGGTGGGTTTCAGTGCAGTATTGGTTCTATACGGTATGATGTAATACCGATCATCTACTCCGTCCTTCCTTCCCCCCTCCGCTTCTTCTTCATCCGGCCTCAGGCGATGGATGGGTGGATGGGTGGATGGATGGATGGATGGATTGGATCGCGCCCGTTATCATCGTTACTGTCGCCTGCAGCTTTATCTCTTCTTTGCTGGTAATTAATTTTTCTGGCAACTTCCGGGGTCCCCCCCTTTTTTTCTTTTTTCTGCTGGTGGGTTTTTTGAGTCTGGGGATTTCCTTCTTTCCCTTGTGCAATCCTGCAGGTTGCTTTGTTGGTTGGTGAGATTAGTATATTTATGAGTGAGTTGATGCCATTTCTTTTTTTTGTTTTTCGTCTTGTTGCGTGATTGATTCGGTTTCTGTCGTATACTGCATTGGTTGGTTCCTGTCTGTCTTCGTACTTTTTCTTATTGTTTTTGGCAGATGGATTGATTAGCTAAGGAGGACCCAAATTTGGTTGCGGTCATACCTGAGATACCAGTAGTCTAGTGGTTCCGCTCTTCTGACCGCCTTGGTTCTCCCTCTCCCCCAGGTCATTCAATCATCCGCCAGTCCTATTCGGCTCGTTATCGGCGGTCACGCTCTCTGTCTCTCGTTGCGCTGCGCTGCTCTCCCAGACATCGTCAAGGATCCCTGGGTCCAGCTGCTTCCCGCCTTTCCTACCTACTCTCTCTTCCCCCATCACATCATTCAGCTTCCTTTCCCACTCACTCATCTTCTCTCTCGACTATTTTTGCTCTGATCTTCTTCTTCTTCTTCTTCTACTTCCTCCTCCTATATCTTCTTGCTTCGTCACTTTTAACCTAACCCTCACCTCGCACGCCATCTCTGGCTTATCTATCACGCCTCCCCACCGTTCTCGTCCCTAGTGCGGTGATTCATACCTTATCGTCGATCCCCCGATCCTCCTCCTTCTATAGTACTTACTTAAAAGTCCCACGCCTTGGTCGTCATCCGTCTGGCCATCCCTGTCGCCCTTCATCCTATCATACAGGCCCCCGTTTTCCGCCTCACCGCTCTCCTGCCTACTTGCGCCCTACTGTAGGTGTGCTGCGCACCCTATTTCTCGTCCCCCAACTTCTCCGACTCCTACTCTACTACTACTACTACTACTACTACTGCCTACGCTCTGGACCGTCCCTTTCTTCCTGCCCCGTCTACTGTCCCCGTCGTCTGCCACGCAGTCTAGCCCTCCTTGCCTCTCCTCCTCCGGCTTGCCACGCTCATCCCATCCATCTCTCCTACTTCCTATCTTCCGTCTCGCTTTATCATCCGCTCTATCCACTCGCCCATCACCGGCCGCTCCTCTGATCTACCTTTCGCTCCCCTGATGGGCCTCTTCCATCACCCGACGCTGTTTCTGCCGCTGTTGAGGTAGTGTGTGGTTGACGGGGCGTGTGGTTGGTCTCTAAAGACGCTCTCATCGCCTGGCTGCAGTCATGGCATCTGCACATCATTCCAGGAGGTCCAATGAGGGCCCTCACGGCGAGATGCCCATTGGCCATTACACTCGGCTGAACGAGATCGGTCGAGGGAGTTTTGCCGTGGTCTACCAAGGTGTTCATACGGTAAGTTGGGATCCTGTTTCCTCTGATTCTTATCTCTGTTGAAGATCCGGCCTGTTTATATAGTCCGGTGTTTTCGGGTGTGAAATTACAAGGGCTAATCAGTGATGATGCGGTTATCGCGATTCAGAGATCACGCACCTATGTGGCAATCAAATCGGTTACCATGACCAAACTCAGCAGGAAGCTCAAGGAGAACCTCGCCTCTGAGATTTCCATCCTCAAACAGCTCCACCATCCCCATATCGTCGCTCTCCTTGACTGCCATGATACGACCTCCAATATTCATTTGGTGATGGAATTCTGTGCTATGGGGGACCTTTCCCACTTCATCAAGGGGCGTCATACCCTGCGGGACAGCTCATACACACGGGAATTGATAGCAAAGTACCCCAATCCTGGGGATGGTGCGGGCCTTAACGAGGTGATCGTCCGCCACTTCCTTAAACAACTTTCGAGCGCACTCAGATTCCTTCGGGATCGTGATTTAATTCATCGGGACATCAAACCACAGAATCTGCTGCTCTGTCCTGCACCGTCGTCGTACCGCAGCGGGGCTGCTGAATTTGTACCTTTCAAGAGCAGCGAGGACTCCTTTAGCCCGAAGACCGGACTGGAGTCTCTGCCAATGCTAAAGCTTGCTGACTTTGGCTTCGCCCGGTCTTTGCCGGCCACCTCTCTCGCGGAGACTTTGTGTGGCTCGCCACTGTACATGGCCCCTGAGATCTTGCGATACGAGAAATACGACGCGAAGGCAGATCTATGGTCTGTGGGCACGGTACTTTATGAGATGGTAGTCGGGAAGGCCCCGTTCCGTGCAGTGAACCATATTGAACTCATCAAAAAGATCGAGAAAAATAAGGACCAAATAACATTTCCGCCGGCGAATCGTGTGTCGGAGGACATCAGGAATCTCATTAAAGGTCTCCTGAAGCAACACCCAATGGATCGGATGAATTTTGATGTTTTCTTCGCGCACAAAGTTCTCACAGAACCGATTCCCGGTCTGGTAGCGGATGACACTCCCCTCGGGCGTTCTCCGGCCGACCCAACACCTCGACCTGGTTCCGGGTCAAGGCGTAGCACGCCCGTTCAAATGAAACGTGAGAATGCGCTGTCTGCTGGAGTCCGGGACGAGCCATCGACTTACCCGGCGGCTCAACGAGCCATGACACAGAGCCCTCGGCCAGAGACCCCTTCAACGCCTATGCGGAGGACTGGAAGTGCGGGCAAGCATCATGCTGCTCCGAATGAGCCTACACCGCCAGCATCTCATCCCACAAGGCCGAGCCCAGTGTCTCTGGCGACTGCCCCTGGCCGCCAGGAGCATGTCGATCGCCCTCCCACAACGGCCGTCTTGGAACAGCAACGGAGACGTACGGCATCCTCGGGGGTGCCCCAAGTTGACAAACCCGCCGAGAAAGCGAAGGACGAAAAGGAGCATGCTGCACAAGAGGTAGCATTTGAGAGGGACTACGTGCTTGTGGAAAAGCGTGCGGTAGAGATGAATGCTTTTGCTGACGAACTGGCCTACAACCCACGAATGCAAGGTGGCCAAGGAGGTGCAGTATCCCGGCGTTCGGGAGCGGCTCCAGGCACACCTCCGGCCGGGGGGTCGTCGCCCCATGCGTCGCCCAGCAAAGCCATGCAAATCATATCAGGGCGTTCCCGTGCCGATTCAACCCACGTTCGTCAAAATTCATACGATCGCCGCTATGGGCAAAGCCCTACGTCGGCTACATCGGCCATCTCAAAGGCTCTCAATATGGCCAGCGGACGTTTGTTTGGAATGAGTTTCTCACCACCCCTGACCATCACGAAAGGCGGACGCTCGCCTCCGTTGGCCTACAATCCGTTTCCCGCATACCCCAGTGCCCAAACGAGCTTGATTGTCCACGCGGATGGGGGTAAGCACGGTGCCAACTTGGACGAAGATAGCAAAACCGTCCATGATCTTGAGGAGTGTGCCACGCGCAGTGATGTCGTGTACGGGTTTGCCGAAGTCAAGTACAAGCAGCTGATTCCACTAGCACCATCTGCCGCCACTGGGTTTTCAGGAGACCCAGTATCGGATGCTGTCGATTCGGCGGATGGTGGACTCACGGTCGATGCTATTGTGACCTTATCCGAGGAAGCCCTGGTTCTCTACGTTAAGGCCTTGTCATTGCTGGCGAAATCGATGGATATTGCGCGTGTATGGTGGACCCGCAAGAGCCGGGGCGATACACTCAGCAGAGCGGATACTGGAAGCACAGTTGCGGGCAATCGGATCAACAATGTCGTCCAGTGGGTGCGCAACCGGTTCAACGAGGTACTGGAGAAAGCCGAATTTGTCCGGCTCAAATTGGTTGAGGCGCAGAAGAGACTGCCCTCGGATCATCCCAGCCATCCCAGCAACCTGTCGGTTGCATCCTCCCTAGGCTCCGGAACGTCTGCCGATGTGGTGGTCAGCCCCGACGTGACAGCAGAGAAGCTCATGTACGAGCGCGCATTGGAAATGAGCCGCGTGGCGGCTATCAATGAGATCACCGGCGAGGATTTGGCCGGTTGCGAAATCTCGTATGTCACCGCCATCCGGATGCTCGAAGCCATCCTGGATGATGTGGAAGTATCCCGACCGGGCCAAAACGGCGGTGCTGATAGAGCCGACGGCCGGCGGGACAACGAGGATGGCGGACAGAACGAGCCCCAGGCGGTGATTCTGGCGAAAAGTAAGTGTTCTCCCCACCTTAATGCACGGCACTGCGTAGGTAGGCGCTAACGCTTGGCACAGTGATATCGAAGATCCGGAATCGCCTGGCGTCGCTCCGGAAGAAACTGGCGTTGTTGTCGAATCGGTACACGCCCCCGTCCAGTGGACCGGGCAAAATGCCGCCGTCGAATCTCGTGCCAGTCTCCCCTGGAGTGGGAGCCACGCCGCCGAAATAAGACGTTGACCGTTAGAAGCATGCAGGACCATGCTCATTCTGCCCCTTTCTTATTTTATCTTATTTTCTTTCTATTTCATAGCTCAGGTTGTGTGGGCATTGCTAATGCAGGCAACTACATTTCAAGCTAGTATCTTGACACGCGTGCGGGACTTGCTTCTACTTCTTCCATTCTCCACGCCAGTTCTCTCTGGGTTCTGATATACGCATTGGTGCACGAGTATTTTATTGTTCTTTATACGGGTTTATTATAGGGTTGCCGTGTTATCTTTTTGCGTGTGTTGTTCCCTTTTTCCTTTATCCAATTTCTTACTGGATTCGCATGATTTACTTACAGGCCTGTTGGGCGGGTGTTTTTCTATTGGCGTTCAAGCTGGGGACCCGGGTACACAAATTGCCAGCGGACTTTGGATACGAGTGATGATGATGCCATGGGATCATAGGGAGTCAGGGTGGGTTCGGGATGGATCTTGAGGATGCAGATACTGCCAGTCAGAGGCAGCTGTACTGTATATACACATAATAACACGCGAATATGTTCATCTCGTGGCGAGGAAATGGTGCCCACTGGTTGGAGGGACTGCAGCGGATTTAGAGCTTGACCCACGGCGGCGGCATTGGCTCTGGGACCCGGTCTGACCTTAACTTTACCTAACTTAAACGTGCAAGATCCAGGCCCAAATTGCGTGATTGATTTTAGTGTGTCATAGGAATTGCCTGAAGGACGTTGAACGGTTCACCATCCTCTGGGTCTTGTCTTAGTCTCTGGGTCATGGTTTGGGAGGATTGGGAGGATTGGGAAAGGGGAGTGGAGAGCTTCCCTCGTTCGGGTTCCGCTCCGACGCCCAGAAGAAGTTTTTTTTTTCTGTACCAAAGAAATTCCCTTTTTGCCTCACGGGATCCCGAACAAAAATGACTCGACACATGGCGGGTGTCTGTCATTGCCCGTGCTTCATCTTGTCTCGGTCGCTGTCGTGATCTTTCACCCGTATCTTGCCATTCTTTTTCTTTTCTCTGATTATTCTTTCTTCCTCTTCGTGATTTCCACAATAGACTTCAAGACTTCCCGTTTTCTAGAACATTTCTTTTAAACCTGTTGGGGGACTCGGTCGTGATCTATACTTGGAAAATAGTATTGACACCCGTGCCCTAACATAATATTATCTTCACCTTTTTCGCTTTTCTCTTACATCAAATTTTTCGTTGTTTTGCCTCCATCGCCCAGACACGTTCCTTTTCCAGTTGCTGTCCGGTTTTACAGGGGTCCTGCCTGCCTGATAGTTCTTGGCCTTCGTTTGTGTCCATACGCATCACGAGCAGACCCTGCTCGTTTTGGGATTGCATCACATTTAGTCCCAGCACATCATCGCGTCTTACGGTCTTTGCCTCCGGTGATAGCCGCTCACTTTGCGCCTGAATCTGGCCTGTTCGCTGCGCTATTCCCTACTGACTATATAGTCTTGGGGACGCTCTTTCGCCTGTCATCCTTGTGGACTCCTGTGTCTTTTTCTAACAATCTTAAAACTCAATTATGACGGACCCGGTTGTGGAATCTGCCTATCAAAAGGGCATCTTGCCCGATGCCAAGGCTGTTGAGGAAGGTCCTCGTCGGACAGACGGTGTTTCTGGCTTGTGTATGTGATTGTCCCATCACCTCCTAGGTCTTTCCGACATATGAAGAATCCTCCCTGACTGTTTTGCTCCAGATGAAGGAAATGTCTTCGAGGCTACTCCGGACGACCGTCGCCAGATTGGTGTCATCAGTGCCTCCTTTCTGATCTTCAACCGTGTCATTGGTACTGGTATCTTCGCTACCCCGAGTACTATCCTGTCTTTGTCGGGTAGTGTTGGTCTGTCTCTGATCATGTGGGTCATTGGTACCTTGATTGCTATGGCTGGTACTGCTGTCTATCTGGAATGGGGTACTGCTATCCCCAAGAACGGTGGAGAGAAGAACTACCTCGAATATGTCTTCAAGAAGCCCAAGTTCCTGATGACGGCCATGTACGCGGCCTATGCCGTCCTGCTGGGTTGGGCGGCCAGTAACAGTGTCGTCTTTGGCGAGTATATCCTGAACGCGGCGGACATCGAAGTGGATCGTTGGAACCAGCGTGGTATTGGTTTGGCCTGTATCACCGCTGCCTTCCTCATCCACTCCTTTGCTGTCAAGTGGGGTCTCATGCTTCAGAACTTCCTGGGTGTGGTCAAGCTCGTCATCATCCTCTTCGTCATCGTTGCGGGATGGGTGGCTCTGGCTGGTCATATGAAGATCGATCCTCCTCACAACTTCACCAACGCCTTCGAGGGTACCACTGATACTGGCTATGGCATTGTTATGGCATTGTACAATGTCATCTGGTCCTTCATTGGATACTCCAATGCTAACTACGTAAGTTATCTTGCTTGTGTACGTGGTGCGTGAAAGTTGCTAATATTGTTTTGCAGGCCTTGAGCGAGACCAAGAACCCTACTCGTACCCTGAAGATCGCTGCCCCCATTGCCATCATCTCGGTCGGCATCATGTACATGCTGTGCAACATCGCATACTTTGCCGCGGTCCCCAAGGAGCAGATGCTGTCCTCTGGCCAGACTGTGGCCGCCGCCTTCTTCGGCAACATGTTCGGTGCGCGCGCCGAAAAGGTGATGTCGGTCTTCGTGGCCCTGTCTGCCTTCGGTAACGTTCTGTCGGTCATCTTCTCGCAAGGACGAAGTACGTTGATCCTTTCCCCTCCCAATGGGAAATATAGAGCGAAGCTAACAACATATAACAGTCGTCCAAGCCCTCGGTCGCGAAGGAGTTCTCCCTCTGTCGAAGATCTGGGCCAGCAACCGGCCGTTCAACTCGCCCGCCGCTGGCCTCTTCGAGCACTGGGTCGTCTCCGTGATCATCATGTTGGCCCCGCCTCCCGGCGATGCCTACAACTTCCTCGTGAACCTCATCTCGTACCCGCTGTCCATCGTCAACGTTTTCGTGTCCGGTGGTCTCGTCTACATCTACCTGACCAAGGAGAAGAACTTCCCCGACTGGGCCCCCGGTATTCGGGCCACTCTCCCTGTCACCATCTTCTTCTGCCTGTCCAACATGTACCTGGTGGTGGCACCCTACGTGCCCCCCAGTGCCGGACAGAGTGTCTACAACAGCCTGCCTTACTACCTGCACTGTGTGGTGGCGCTGGGCATCTTCGCCCTCGGTGCTATCTACTATCTGGTGTGGGCGGTGCTGATGCCTCGCTTTGGTCGCTACATCCTTGTCAAGGAGTCGGTGGTGGATGCTGATGGCTGGTCCAGAAGTGTCTTTACCAAGATGCCGATTGAGCAAGCCGAGGCGCTGAGGTATCAGGAGGCGGGGGAGCAGCAACAGGAGCAGCAGCATCATCATTTCTGAGGGCTTCCTTTAGTGAATGATGCGGCTGCATGACTACTGCTGCTTCGTTTCGATTATGACGCAACGATTCAACATCAATGCCAATATTATGGCATAATTCATAATGTTTACATATATCATTTTGCATGGGTGCGGAGTTCATGTGCTTTCTTTGCTGGAGGGAAAGGGAAAAGGGAATGATTGATTTATTAGGGAGGGAATGGGTTGTTTTTCTACTCATAGACTTGTTGTCTTATGATGTCTTTTTTCGAGATACCTCTTGTGTTTTATTACTAGATTTAAAGCTCCTTTCAACAATCGACAACATATTGCTGAATACTGTTTTTGAACATATTGAACTCTTCATTCAAAATAAAAATAGTATATAAGTATATAAGTATGTCCCAGCCCTCTATGGAAGCCCATTCACCGGTGAAAAAAGCATCAAATCGATACTTTCTATTCATGAACCCCTCAAACTGGCTGGTGAACCGTCTGGCAAGTCACAAAACTCCCGAAGAAGCAGCTCGACAGCCAACTGCCAGATAGAGAAATATCTACCCTAGTGGGCAAATCTGGCAACCGACTGTATGGAGAAGACCTGCGTGTAAGAATGTATATGTATGGAGAAGAAAAGAGAAAGGAAAAGGGAAGCAGAAATGGGTGAAAAGATGGACGTCATGTGATGCGGAGAAACCCTCTTCTAGATAGCCCTCATTGTAGGCCCAAATAGGAATGGTAAGGAACAAGGGAGAGCTGATTGCCTGATTGAGCAGGTTAGAATTACAAGGTTAGAATCAGTTGGTCAGATGACTGAAAGATGTTAGTCATAAGAGAGATTACCGCCTACCGAATTCAGACGGACGACCGACGGAATTCCCGCGGCAAAAAAAGGGAACATTTCTTTCCCTTTCGAAGATTGCATTGATTTGTTGATGATTTGATAGTTTGCTGGGATTAATCTCTCCTTTGTATCAGTAGTAATCGTGTGATCGGGGTTGTCCTTTGATTTGTCTAATATTTTCTGTATTTCTTCTTATCCATTGGGTTATCTGGGTGGGGACTGTGTGTGTGGCTCTTTGTCTATCTGTCTCTTTCTCTGTTAACAGATTCATCCCAATGCGTCGGTTTCCCTCCTCCGCACGGCTCCCGCTGAGCAACAGCAGCACCAGAAGGGCAACAGCAGCAGCAGCAGCTCCCCTCCGCTTCCACCGACTCTCTGCTCTTCCCCGCCCCTCCTCTTCTTCTACTTCTACTTCTACTTTTAACTTCCCCACTGCTTCTTTATCTACTTCTACTTCTACTCCCTCCTCTCTCATCTCCTCCTCTTCCTCTTCTTCTACTTCCTCCTCTACTGTCCCTCCTCATCATCGCTCTTCTCTTCGTCGTGCTCCCCTCTCTCAAGCTTCCAAACGTTACTGTTCTTATCGCAGGATGTGTGGTGCTCGACGTGGAGAAGTGACCGGCTCGACCAACGTCCCTGGTGGTCGTGAGGTCTTGCCCACCAACGTCAAGCCTCTTCACTATGACCTGACCCTCGAGCCTAACTTTGCTAACTTCTCCTACGACGGTACCGTCGTCATTGAGTATGTTCATGTTCTACCTACCCACCCATGCTGATAACCTGGTTACCCCGCCATCTGGTACACAAGCTAACTCTCCGGAATCATAGCCTCGACGTCGCTGAAGATACCACCTCCATCTCCCTCAACTCCAACGAGATCAAGATCCACAATGCCGTCGTCTCTTCCCAAGGCGCCGTCGTGGCCTCCAACCCCGAGATCACCCTCAACCAGGACCAGCAAGTTGCGACCATCAAGTTCGCCGATACCATCCCCGCCGGTTCCTCCGCCCAGCTGAAGCTGACCTTCACTGGTGAGCTCAACGACAACATGGCCGGTTTCTACCGCTCCTCTTACAAGGCCGCCGATGGTCAGACCAAGTACATTGCTACCACTCAGATGGAGCCTACCGATGCCCGCCGCGCCTTCCCCTGCTTCGACGAGCCCGCCTTGAAGGCCAAGTTCACTGTGACCCTGGTGGCGGACAAGAGCATGACCTGTCTGAGCAACATGGACGTCGCCACGGAGACCGAGGTTGCGGGCGGCAAGAAGGCTGTCAAGTTCAACACCTCCCCCGTCATGTCGACTTACCTGCTCGCCTTCATTGTCGGTCACCTCAACTACATCGAGACCAAGGCTTTCCGCGTCCCCATCCGTGTCTATGCTACCCCGGATCAGGATATCGAGCACGGTCGCTTCTCGCTGGACCTGGCCGCCCGCACCCTGGCCTTCTACGAGAAGGCCTTCGATAACGAGTTCCCTCTGCCCAAGATGGACATGGTCGCTGTGCCCGACTTCAGCGCCGGTGCCATGGAGAACTGGGGTCTGATCACATACCGTGTCGTGGACGTGCTGTTGGATGAGAAGACCAGCGGTGCCGCCCGCAAGGAGCGTATTGCTGAGACCGTCCAGCACGAGCTGGCCCACCAGTGGTTCGGTAACTTGGTCACCATGGACTTCTGGGATGGTCTCTGGCTCAACGAGGGTTTCGCGACCTGGATGTCCTGGTACTCTTGCAACAGCTTCTTCCCCGAGTGGAAGGTCTGGCAGACCTATGTCATCGACACCCTGCAGGGCGCCCTGTCCCTGGATTCGCTGCGTAGCAGTCACCCCATTGAGGTGCCCGTGAAGCGTGCCGACGAGATCAACCAGATCTTCGATGCCATCTCCTACTCCAAGGGATCGTCCGTTCTGCGCATGATCTCCAAATACATGGGTGAGGATGTCTTCATCCAGGGTGTGCGCGACTACATCAAGAAGCACGCCTACGGCAACACCCAGACGGGTGATCTGTGGGCCGCCCTGGCTAATGCCAGTGGAAAGCCCGTGGAGGAGGTCATGGACATCTGGACCAAGAAGGTCGGTTTCCCCGTGGTGACCGTCTCGGAGAACCCCAGCAACTCCACCATCAAGCTGAAGCAGAACCGTTTCCTGCGCACCGGTGATGTCCGCCCCGACGAGGACACCACGCTCTACCCCGTCATGCTGGGTCTGCGCACCAAGAATGGCATCGACGAGAGCACCATGCTTACCGAGCGCGAGGGCGAATTCAAGGTGCCCGACCTCGACTTCTACAAGCTCAACGCCGACCACTCCGCCATCTACCGCACCTCGTACACCCCGGAGCGTCTGTCCAAGCTGGGTGAGGCGGCCAAGAGCGGACTTTTGAGCGTCGAGGACCGTGCCGGTATGATTGCCGATGCCGGTGCCTTGGCCGCGTCCGGCTTCCAGAGCACCTCCGGCCTGCTCTCTCTTCTGAAGGGCTTCGACAGCGAGGCCGAGTTCATCGTGTGGAACGAGATCCTGACTCGTGTTGGCTCTCTGCGGGCTGCTTGGCTCTTCGAGGATGCCGCCACCCGGGACGCCTTGAAGGCCTTCCAGCGCTCTCTGGTCAGCCACAAGGCTCACGAGCTCGGATGGGAATTCTCGGAGAAGGACGGCCACATCCTGCAGCAGTTCAAGGCTCTCATGTTCGGCAGTGCTGGTATGGCTGAGGACCCCGTCGTCGTCAAGGCCGCCCAGGACATGTTCGAGCGGTTCGCCGCTGGCGACGAGAACGCCATCCACCCCAACATCCGTGGCAGCGTGTTCAGCATTGTGCTGAAGAACGGTGGTGAGAAGGAGTACAACGTCGTCCTCGACCGGTTCCGCCACGCCCCCACTTCCGATGAGAAGACGACGGCCCTCCGCTGCCTGGGTGCCGCCGAGGACCCCGCTCTGATCCAGCGCACTCTGGACCTTGCCAGCAGCGACGAGGTCAAGAACCAGGACATCTACATGCCCCTGGGTGGTCTCCGCAGCCACCCCGCGGGTATTGAGGCTCGCTGGACCTGGCTGAAGAACAACTGGGATGCCATCTACAAGCGTCTGCCTCCGTCCCTCGGTATGCTGGGCACGGTGGTGCAGCTCAGCACGGCCAGCTTCTGCACGGAGGAGCAGTTGAAGGATGTGCAGGACTTTTTCCAGAGCAAGGACACCAAGGTAGGCCTGCCCCTTTATTCGATTATTTGCTTACCTTCAAGTTGAACTCGCTAACTCAATTCCTCGTATAGGGCTTCGACCGTGCGGTTGAACAGAGTCTGGACTCGGTCCGCGCCAAGGTCAACTGGGTCCAGCGTGACCGGGCGGACGTGGAGTCGTGGCTCAAGGCCAACAGCTACAACGGTAAGCTGTAAATCAAACTTGCATGACATATTTCGGAATTTATGGCGAATGCCGATTGAAATGAGAATATAAATGAGACCCAACCGACTATGTTCGGGGTGTATAATTAGAACAAAGAAAAAAATATAGAAAATAAGAACTCGCATCTCCGTCCGTTCGTTGTCTGGAAGTTTGTATGATTCGCTGATAAGGTATGATACATACGCCGTGTCCATATCGGCTTGATGCAAATTATAAAAGCAATTCCTCCTCTTCATATGATAGTTTAATATAATCCTTTCTATACCATAATGATAAGCCTTTCGCCTAGCCATATATCCATCTATCAAAGATAGACAGACAAATAGCTAGGCAGAAAGATAAAAGAGTGAATAACCTACCACCCCGACTTCCCACCACCACCACCCTCCTCATTATTCTTCTTCGACGAGAATCCCCTCGTCGGTTTCGACTGCGCAGCCTCATGTTTCCGCAATTCCTCCGGAACCCTCGAAATGGGCGACTTGATGAGCATCTGCTTAAGATCGTACCTATATCACCATTAGTATCATCCACAATACAAGCAGAACAAGGAAGGGGAACATACATAACATCGGCATCCTCATTACCCAAGAACGTAATAGCAACACCACTCTTACCCGCACGACCGGTTCTACCAATACGATGGGTATAGCTCTCAATACTCGTCGCCATATTAAAGTTCACGACGAGACTAACATCCGGCACATCGATACCACGACCCGCCAGATCCGTCGCGACGAGGACATCCGTACTTCCATTCCTAACGGATGCGAGGGCAGCTTCACGCTGGTCTTGGGTTTTACTACCGTGTAATGTAACGGAGGAGAATCCCCACTGTTTGATTTCGCGCGCAATGGCATCGCAGTTCCGCTTGATGTTGACGAAGACGATGATCGGGGCGCGGAATTCGCCCGACGATAGGATGTCCCCGAGACGTTTCTTGCGCTTGTCTTCGCCGGCGATCATTTCCACGCGCTGCTCCACGGTGTCGACGGCTTCGCCGGCGGAGCCGATGGTCACGATGGCGGGGCGGCGGAGGTATTTTCGCGCGATG